TTTTCTCAAGTGGAGAAGAAGTAGTTTGAGTTTCTGTTGATTTAGATGTTTGTTGTGAGGAAGATCCAGTTGGTGAAAATGAAGAGGTGAGATAACGAACACTCACTGGTGTATCTGTATTCACCCAAATTAAGTCAGTTTGACAGTCAATTGCTTTTTTTGATGGTTTCACGGCCTCAGCATAGGTTGACTTACCTCTCAAGGAAATGTTGCTGGAGGGGGTTATTGAAGCATTAGCTTCCTTGCATCTGAAAAATTAATGTTCTTTTCTCTTTCGATGCGTTGAATGATCATTTCAAACTGCCAAACTGGACACACTTTAGATGATGACCTGAGCAATGAACACATTTTATTTCAGAAGAACATGAGCTGCTATCATGATCTTTGTCTCCAAAACGATAGCAAGCAGCACGATAGGTACATGATTTCTGACCATGACCAAATTTCTGCCATTAAAGCACCTCAGAGGACTAGGGATATTCATGTCAATTCTCATGGAAAAGCTTTAATTGGTTGTGGCAACTGTGGAACGTCAAACGTAAGGAGGTAAGTGTTAGAAGGTAAATAAACTTCATCCTTCTTAATGTTGAAACGCTAAGCCTCAACAACGCCCTGCATACGTAGCTGACTTACAATTTCATCAGTGGAGAGATCAGCAAGACTCTTGTCTGTGTCCCAGGTAATTCCTTTGCTAAATTCAAGGATTTGTGTAGATAGCATTTGATTTGGATATTTGCAAACAATTTTGTTTCCATGAGTTTAGCTGCCTGCTCTCTCTTCACACATTCTATTAGAACTACACCAGATCTAGTTTTGGTGACATTCTTAACTGTTCCGGCAATACCTTGAATTGCTTTTTCTATTAGAAATGGAGAACAAGAAGTCAACATGTTCTCACTTGACTCTGCAGCAATGAATTGAGGCCAGGTTTCACGTTTAGAATAATTAATTCTGGTTATCATAATTTCCTCCTCATCAGTATCATCAGTATGATTACGTTTTTTGTTGTTTTAGATTTTGAGCAGCCATGGTGGTATAGTTTATGTTTCACCCTCCTGGCTCGCCACCCACCATGGAGTATCAACAAGGACGATGCCAAATGCCTGTGGGCCACCAACAGGCGGCACCAAGGATACCAAGAGGGTATACTCAAGCAGAAACATTAGAAATAATGTACGACCAGATTGGCCATAGGCCACAGCCTTCTGGGCTTTAAGACTCTTGGGAAATATTGCAAATATTTCAACAAGCAAATATATACACATGTTGTTTTTGAAAACAGTCTAAACAGAATTTATAAAAAGGAGAGTCAGGTCAAATAACGCACAGGGCTCGGCATGACCAGCCGTTTGATAGGACCGGGACCACCCTACCACCCGTCTAAGCAAAGAATGGGTCGAAGTGGTGTATTGACAAAGGAACGCTATTCCTGAAACCAGTGCCCTCAACCACCAGACTCCCGTCCTCCACCGACACAGGGGCGCAACCCACGGCAAACAGGCTGCCCAACTCGGTCGCCATTTATGACCAGCAATGGGGTGCTAAGTCACATTTTTGTTTATCTTCCCTAGGTCCCCACAGGGACACGGTATGTTGAAAACATATGTTAGCAGAATGATATTGATACCATGATGTGCTGTATATACCAAACAGGAATAAAGCAGGCGACGTGTGTATGAGGATTACTTGGTATTCATAAAAAACAATGACATTTATAGGGACGGCAAAAAGTCTTATATCCTATGCACATAATAGTGTTATGAGACATACGACTGTATACAATACTTTTCCTAAATCTTGCCATTTTGCTGTGACAGGGTACAGAAAACTCAGTACATGAATAACTTGACTGTCGTTATGGAAAGTACAGCTCAGGTTTATTGCTTGTAATTCTTCTGAGACCTATCTTATGAAATGTTAAAAGTATAATTTTCTATGACTTTCTGGATATGTTCAGGGTCACACCATGGATGTACCTCAAATTCACAAGTAGTGAAAATATGATACTTTATTAGAACAAGCCATGATATCATGTCATCTAAGATATGTTGTCTGTGCCAAGACAGCGAATTCTCTGACAAGGACTTCACAAAAGGTGAGGTGAGGTGAAATGGGGTTTAACGTCGCGTCCAAGATTATTGCACTAATATAGCGACCTGCATGTACGTGTGTGTGTTTGTGTGGCTGCTTGTACTAGTCCGGACTGATGCCGATTTATAGTGCTAGCCCACTGAGATACCATGCCGCAGTTTAACATGAATATCCCACTCAGACACAGTATACTGACTCCGAGCCGACCAGTCCTTGTTTTAGCCCCCTAATGCCGAGCGCCAGACAGGGTAACAACAAGTACCATCTTTTAACGTCTTTTGGTATGATCGAAGCCCGGACCTTCCGCTCTCCGGGCGGACGCTCTACCACTAGACGACGGAGGCGGTCGTTTCACAAAAGTTTATGATTTACATTGTCCTAAAGAATAACATTTTGGCGATTACGATTGAGAAGCGACTGGTCCTGAGCAGCGAAAGGAAAGCCCTTGGTCTCCCTTTTGAAACCATCCGACTACATTCAGGCAAACGAGTCTGTGTGAAGAGAGAGCATGCTGGGCAATTTTAGTAGAATCAGTGAGTATAGTTTTACGCCGCTTTTAGCAATATTCCAGCAATATCACGGCGGAGGAGACCAGAAATAGGCTTCACTCATTGTACTCATGGGAGTCGAACACGGGTCTTCAGCGTTACGAGCGAACACTTTAACTACTAGGCTATCCCATGGCCCGGCTTTTTGAAGAGGTTTCTAATGATAATGAAAAAAGTACTGTGACTCGCTTTTATTAGTTAATGAACATGATGCGTGACATTAAAGAAGGATTGTTTGGGCTTGCCGGAAAACGAAGGCATGTAGTTGAAATGTCCGTCTCTCAGTTGTGTGTTTTAGCAATGAACATGGCTGTTGTGTTTCGCCTTTTCCTGTCAGCCATTTTGTATTGTATCTAAGGCCGCATTGTATTTCCGGTACTGTCCTAAGTTCTCTTTGATTAACACTGACTGGATCTGTTCAACACTGGTTGGAAGAAATGCAGTACCCTCGCTTGACTCAGGTAACTCATATTTAAATTATCTATTAGAAACTTTTAGAATCATAATGTCTTTCGCACCTCTCTTGTGTTGTGCACCACCGCGAGCTCACTTTGTTGATGTATAAGAGAATGAGTGAGTAACATTATTCCAGTTATATCACGGTGTGTCAGCTTAATGTGGAAGGAAAGACCGAAGTGATGCAGGTCTCAGACGTTTACCACTTCGGTGAAACCCATGAGCATGGGTATGGTGCTGACAAACCTAGAAACATATTTGGGGCGAACCGGGATTCGAACCCACAATCATAAGTTTCTAGCGTGCTCAAGGGACGCATCTCTGCGGCGCCTTAGACGACTGGACCACCCGTACCCCCTATTGATGCATTAATTGTAGATACATCTATGTAGCTTGAAGCTCAAACGTACCCGTGTTACAATAGGCCAACTTCACTTAACATGACAACACTCAAAAATGCACTTATCAGAAACCATTAATGTTCTCTACTGTAAGATATGCCACATAATCCGTAAACTCGTCTCCAAAAGCAATCTGAGACAAAGACAATTTCTACGGTGCGATATCGGGTTTCGTCTTTCTCCTGATGCATGTAAATCAAAATCGCTTTTCAATACATGTTTCTGATTCGTATAACGTTCATTTTCTTGTTTCGTAGACTCCAACAAATCAACATTGAGAACACATGCACAATTTCTGATAAACATCTATAAAATTGACAGATGGGCGGTCAATATTGCTGATTGGGATGTTAGCGCAACTCACTGTCTCACTGTCCTTGTCCAGGCAACTATGGGCCGCCTCCTTGGTCTACTGGTAGAGCGTCCGCCCGGAGAGCGGAAGGTCCGGGGTTCGATCCCCGGCCGCGTCATACCAAAAGACGTTAAAAGATGGTACTTGTTGTTACCCTGTCTGGCGCTCGGTATTAAGGGGCTAAAACAAGGACTGGTCGGCTCGGAGTCAGTATACTGAGTCTGAGTGGGGTATTCATGTTAAACTGCGGCATGGTATCTCAGTGGGCTAGCACTATAAATCAGCATCAGTCCGGACTAGTACAAGCAGCCACACACACACGTGCATGCACGACGCTATATAAGTGCAATAACCTTGGACGCGACGTTAAACCCAATTTCACCAATTTCAACTATGACATTGGTCGGGTCACTGTAACTGTCATAGATATTTCTCCCTCACCAACTTTCTTTCGTTGTTGCATTCGCGATCGTGAATTCCTCAAGTCTATAACTGAGGGCAGATGGTCTGAGGTTCTGCAGTTCGCTGACTATATCTGGATTTAAAAACTTCCAGTGACGTGTATCCTATTATTCTCCCTGTTAAATCTCAGTCCCTGGGAGTTTATAGGCATATTTGCTATGTAATGCGTTATAATATCCTGGGGATTATATTTATACAACTTCGTTCCGATTGTAACATGTAATGAAATGTAAAATCAAATGACAAAGGTTTTCTTTGTATTCCCGAGGATCGAACACGCAACCTTCGTATCTGTAGCCCAGTGAGTGTACCATTAGGGTACAGATCTAGAGACGATGATAAATCGCAATGCTTTTCAGAATATCAAGAACCGTCCGCGAGCAACAGATATTTCACGCCCGTTTCCTAAGGTTCATGGAAATAAATGTTTGAAACATAAAAATGTTGATAAATGTTGTTTTAAGTTTCTTTGCTCGGTTTATGTGTTAGATAAAACCCTTCACCTCGGATTTTTATGATATTTAAAACCCTTTTCTTCAGGATAAAACCTCGGGGCTTAAGCCCCTCGGTTTTATCCCACGGATGTGGGTTTTTGGAATGGGCAGTGCTTTAGCCTCCACGCAGAACTTGCTCGTGGTTTAACCTCTATTGCGTTTCCTCCACACGCCTTTACCACATACAAAAACACCATTTCACTTTGCAACATCAATGTATTAAGATCGACAAAGTTTACAGTAATATAAACACAACAAAATAACATCAACAAACAACATGTTTCAACAACATATGGAGTCTTTCGTCTTGCACACTGCAATCTTTTCCGCTCTGCAAGAAGTAGACTCCATATGATAACCCTAGGTTCCCTGTCAACTGGACAATCTCAATTCCAAATTAATAGCACATAAAGAGAACGAAATAAGACCTAGTTCAGCAAATCAATTTTAGCTCAAAAATAGCAAAGAGCGTCAGCTGCGAAGAAAGAGAGAAATAGATCAAGAATGGTCGGTTAGGTATCGCTGACATCCGTGGAGGAGGCCCCGAAACATTCCACAGGACCGACCCTAAAGGCGCCCGCCTCGGTTCCGTCGTCACCTATAGAAGAACATATACCATTGAAGCAGAAAAGTCGCCACAGACATGCAAATTCACATCGCGTCTGCGCATGATAGGAGTATTTCCATGCAGGATGTTGAGGCCAGAGTGTAACATGCAAGAATGAATTAAAGTTTGTGCAAAACGTAAAACTTAATAATGCCCTTTACTGCTTTGAGCCGGAAGTATCGCCTGCGCATGTCAGGTTGCGACGCCTGTGCAAAGGATTCTGCCAACTGTTGCGAATCCGGCCTCGTCATCGGCGCCTGAGGATATCGAAAAGAGCAACATTGTATGAGGGAGTCTAGAACATAGGACATATTTGTATCACAACTACAGCGCCAAGAGCAAGTTTGAACGTATCTTGATACTTACGTATATCGTACCTGAAATAGCTTTCTACAGACTACACGTGCTCCCCTAACCTATTATACATGAATGATCTAATCTGTTGTGATTTTTATACAAATTCTAATATTTAATCATACAAAAATTTGGACACCACGTGACTATGCCTCGGAGCGCCCATTACCTAGTAGTGATTGTGATCATGTGATTTGTTATTGTAGTCTAGATTATGAGCGGTCCGAGGTTATGTCACGTGATGTTTCCTTTGTCTTCTGATCGCTGATTGGCTGGGAAACTGACAGCCGGAGTCTAGGTAAGTACGCCCCAACAGAACAATGGTCCGATTGTTTTATATCCTCCCTCGTTCATTCCACCTAGGAAAACATCAAAACATTTTATGAAGCGTTCGTGTTTTATAAACTGGACCATTATTTCGAAATATATGTCAAAAGGGAGTTTCTGTATACTTGTGGGCGGTGGGGTAGCGTAGTGTTAAAGCGTTCGCTCGTCACGCCGAATACCCGGGTTCGATGACCCACATGGATACAATGTGTGAAGCATATTTTTGGTGTCCCAAGCCGTGATATTGCTGGAATATTGCTAAAAACGGAGTAAAACCATACTCACTCATCCACTCACTGTATACATCGATGTAACTCGTCGTGACTCGATAACACGCGTTACTGACATACCTGTGTCATACTAGGTATTCTAGTGTGTAGACCTAACACTCCATACCAGATTACAAGCCCAGAGATCACGACTTCAATAGTGTACGTGTTCCGCTAGTAAAACAAGGATATTGTTTACACATAATGTTTACCTCATGTGGCCAACTAGCAGGCCATACATATCTCTAAAGTGTTAAAAGGTGGCTGTGTTCTATTCGAATTGTCGAGCATCTAACTATGTTAACACTGATATGCAGTTACACATTACACCAGGCAGACATATGGAAGAATCGGATTCCCTATAACCTTCTGAAATAATACAAATGTAGTTAGTCAAATAGAGGGCTCAAATTTGAAGCGATTCCGATTTGATATGTATGTCTAATAAAGACTCACGGCCAAAGATTTGTATACATCACATGGTGAGAGTTAAATAGAATATTTACGGTTACAGGTCTCAAATGCTGTTGTTAGTTAGTGCACATGGCCGTTACGACGTAAATTATTGTACATCTAAATTTGAAAAGTAACAATATGGTATGCATACTATAACTAGTGTAACCTAGTGGTTATACAACGTTCGCTCGTCACACTGATACCTACTGATAGGTTAAATCAGTGGCTCGTTACGCCTGATGGGGCGGTGGGGTAGCCTATTGGTTAAAGCGTTCGCTCGTCACACCAAAGACCCGGGTTCGATTCCCCACTTTGGTTCAATGCGTGAAGCCCATTTCTGGTGTCCCCTGCCTTCCTTATAGCTGGAGTATCTCCAAAAGTAGAGAAGAACCATACTCACTCCACTCACATAATAGAGCATTTTATGATGAATTTGTTGACGATTCTTTGTACAACAATCGCTGGTAAAAATATATGTGATCTGCAGTTCAGACGCCATAATTTTACATACTACCATGTGGGCATGTGAAAACATGTTTTCAAACATTTACAATAGCGACTGGTTAAATATTTTATGTACCAATATTGAAATTATGCAGTTTCATCTTCCATGATTACTAGTATAAGGGACGTATACCAGTATATAAGTCTGATGTTGGAGTCACGCATTCATGTTTCAAACAGGGGGCACGGGTGGCCCAGTCGTCTAAGGCGTCGCGATTCACTGTGCAGAGTTGCGTCCCTTGGGCACGCCAGAAACCTATGATTGTGGGTTCGAATACCGGTTCGTCCCGATTATGTTTCTAGGTTTGTCAGCACCATACCCATGCTCATGGGTTTCACCGAAGTGGTAAACGTCTCAGACCTGCATCACTTGGGGCTTTCCTCCCACATTAAGCTGACACGCTGTGATATAACTGGAATACTGTTAAAAGCGGCGTTAAACCCAACTCACTCACTCATTCATGTTTCAAACACTTTTGACAGGGTCTGTTGGGTCGAAGCCCAAATGACTCCATTCAATTACACAAATACTACGCTGATTATTGTCTAACTGTAAGAAATAATTTCCAAAATATATTTTTAAACTAAATGGGAAACATGCATTATGATCCCGGGAATTGGAATGCGGCCAATAATTACATTGGATACAGCACACATTTTAATGTAGACTAAGCAACATAGATTAACTGTTCCAGGATCTTCAATGGTTGATTGGTTAATTCTACATGCATATTTCTTTACTAATACTATAACACAGAGACACACACAACACACGTAGTTTCACGTTGCTGAAATTAAGCACAATATTATCCTGAAAGACAACCAATGTATGATATATGTGGATATATTGGTATAGCATATAAACGTTTATTTTACAATTGTTACCAACTATATATAAAAAGTGTGTCGACAGCTACACTTTAAAGCTTTTATTGTGGATATGTCACATTTTTAAAGCAGACAATTGCTAATATTAAAAATAACAAGTGCCCACTTGACTAAATATCTTTAAAATTATTTTTGACATTCAGTAGGTTTTTCGAGCTCATGCTCAACCAGAACTGGAATTGGAATTTCGATCAATCCAAACATAAAATGTCTGATGGCCGACATAGCAGGAACGTTATCACATGAATAGCATACACTTTAAAGAAGATACACTCAATGATAATCTGCCTTACTGTCGATGTTCTTACATGCTGCCCATAGATACAGTGGGTGATGATGATATAGAAATAATACTGTACACACAACTCAACTCCCACCCTATCTGACAAACGCGAGTAATGTATTCTCTCAACAGAAAGTCGTATCAACTGTATACATATTTGATGAATTTTGAAATATTTATACCCATATTTTACAAGAAACATATAAACTCATCGTGGAAACACATCTAATGCGACTAGGATTAATATTATCAGTAAGATTAACGTGTTGAGCTTCATGATGGCACCATCGTAAACATGACTGAGAGAATCATCTGATCTGAAATCACCACTCCACGACCAATTATAGTTCTTAATGAACAGGACAATGTGATTAGGAATGTGGTATTAGCACTGCATGCGGTCCTTTATACAGCATGGGCTATAATCTCCTGACAGAGTTATGGATCCATTGATCTGGAGTTGGTACACCATTTATCAGTATTGGTCCAGTTGAAATCTATATTTTTAACGCTGCGGTGGAGTTCGGTCAGATGTTTTCCAATTGTTGACCAGTTAACTTCTCTCAAACATTACTATTGTGTTCTCATTTAGAAGATATTTTTTTACTTTTGAATAACAAATTCACTTTTTATTTTCACCTACTTGCGTTAGAATAAAAACGTTCCGTCCGTCATAAATAGTATTGTTGCATGTTTTTACCATTTCGTTTATCAATTTAAAACCATGCCTAACCCGATACCCCCCCCCCCCCCACACACACACACACAAACACACACACCCATGGTAAAGCTGTAAAATATGACTTTAAACATTAAAAATATTATTCAATTTAACTTGAATTCCTAAGCTACATTACGTTGTTTTCATTATATGCAATCTTAGTTATTTTTTAAACGATTTATTCTCAAGATATGAATAGAAATAACCTTTATTACAATAAGAAACAACTTATTTTATCTTTAGAAACGTTTGATATAAACATTCACTTGCTTCGCTTATAGTAAATGGTAGGATTACAGCAAAACCAATGCGTATTATAGCATAACAACTGACAGGATTCAATAGGTTACACATAACTAAACAGTAGTAACTCTCTTACCTGTGTCTCCTGCAATGAACTCGGTAACCGGAAGGTCAGGCCTGTAAGACAGGTAGCCGGAGTCTTCTCTCCAGACGTCGTCGTTCATGTCGCAGTTGCATGCCAAGGTCGGGTCTGCGCATGACTGTGTCATACCACAAGTGCACATGCCACTTCCGGGTGTGGCGTCGCCGAAGTAGTCTGCAATTCCGCCAGTCCTGTTGCGCCAGCCGGTGGTGATGATGCCGTTCCCGTTAGGGTTGTGAATCAGAGCGGCCTTACACCTCCATTGCACAAACTGACGGCAGTTCTCACTGGCGTCGATGATGGCGATGGCGTGGTCGAGGGTGACGTTGTAGTTAAGTCCAAGAACATACTCGCCAGCTCCTTCGTAGCCCACGACTTCTTCCTCCTCCTCCGAGTCGTGGCCTGGTCAGAACATTGTGTGGAATGACTACCTGAATATACACCCTTATATGTTTTGTGTGTTTGTTGTCTAACGACGCACTCAGCAATATTCCAGCTATATGACGGCGGTCTGTAAATAATCGAGTCTGGGCCAGACAATCAAGTGATTACCATCATTAGCATCGATCCACACAATTGGGATACGATGACATGCATCAACCGAGCCTGACCAACCGATCCCCTTGGTCGCCTCTTACGGCAAGCAAAGTCACATTTTACGGCAAGCATTGGTTGCTGAAGACCTATCCTTCCCCGGATCTCAAATGGTCTCTTGTACATTATGTTATGATTCTGTCTACACAATGTGTTAATCATAGATATCGTTTAGTGAGTGAACGAGTATGGATTTGTCGCTTTCAGTAATAGCAGTATATCGACGGGGAACATCAAAAATGGAACCTCAAGGCAACCTCACTGATCATATATGTTTTAGTCTAAAGATCAGGTAATAATGAAGATATGAATAGTGTATGTCTTTATACCAATGACTGTGACGCCAGCTCCATCTTGTGATGTCATGTCGCAGTAAACACGAGTAGGCTCCAGAAGGCCCTCCGCCTCGTCGGGGTCGATATCCGCCATGGTGTTTGAGAGCAAGCCCCGAACACCCCATTCAGAGCAGGTGCGAGCTGTATATGGCATAGATATTTAATGGAAGAATATTTCAATTGGGATCACAATGAATTATTAACTGTAGTGCATTCTAATAAATGAGTATGAGCGTGGTCAGACTTGAATGAGTGCTTAGTCTATATGATTAATTTGTAAATTATACTTCGATAACTTGAGTAATTCATGCAGTAAACACATGTTTTAAGAACATTTACGTGTATCTGAGAATATTGGAACTGCCCTGCAAATATACCTTTAGTAGTCTCTATCTCGAAATCGACATTGAAATTAAAGCAAGATGAGACTCTGCATTAATCAGAGATTTGAGATAGTTGGAGTATTATAAACACTGAAAAGTACATGTACAATGATCGCAGGGAATCCTCCTGTTAAACATACAACTAGATATATTGGTGCGAAAACAGGATTTGCGGTGTAAGTTAACAATCCTCACCCAAGGGTGTGCAGGCAAAGGTGTGGCAGTCAATGGTTTCCTCATTTGGTCCTTCACAGGGAGAGGTCAAGTTGCCGTGTGACGCCATGTCACATGTTCGTGAGCGTGATTTGGTCCCGCCCCCGCATGTAACAGAGCACGTGGACCATTGCTCCCAGGTGAACCAGTCGCCAGGAACTGGTACACGAAGCAAGTGTGGTTATTTGTGGTCGACTGCACACTCACGGCAAGTACGACAGAATGTCAGACAAGTAAAGTGAAATTGTAGATGGAACAGAAATACACATGTGTGTAATTAATCACAGAATCAAGGAGCAGATCCGATTCCTGTTCACAAGAACATATGACTTGAACCAGATGGACTAGATTCACGAACAACATTGAACATTCGATAATTCTTTGCAGATTACCAAAGGTACACCGGGAGCATGCAGTTAGAAGGGTTTAAATAAATGACTAACACAAATGCATAAACATATTTTCTTTGGCCGTATGGTGTAATTAATTGCAAATGTGTTCGCGAGGATTTTTGTGCAGACAGACAGTGTACCACAGCAGCACAAACAAACAACACGTGCAGAGGACAAACTGTGACTGCCATACATCCAAGGGCACTACGAATGTAGGGCAAGGTCAACCATGACAAGTTCATGGTCATATTAAGGTCAAGGTTAGTGGTGTTAGGGGGCTAATCAAGCGAGTTAATTGTTATGCAAAGCTTGTCAATCCACATGTTCCTAGAGACTACTGTGGCGAAAGGTCAACACTATTCGGATACACCGGGCTACCTCTACAGACGGGCTACATATACTCGTGTGATCTGAAATGTAGAAGATCTAGATCATCAACTACCACTAGAATCAGCACGTACATTCACCATGTTCTAAAACACAAATAGTAGTTTTTAATGCACTACAAGCATGGCGTACATATATTGCACTGAACTACGCTTGGCAACAGGAACGTTTTCCACATTGACTAACACGTTACAAACAGCATGGACTGGACAACTTGACTACGGGTATACTGTGGTATATTAAAGCTGCGTAGGCTAATTGTGGATTGTAGAATACACATGTATACAAGAGTGTTCCATGGGGTACCATACACACGTATACAAGAGTGTTCCATAGGGTACCATACACACGTATACAAGAGTGTTCCATGGGGTGCCATACACATGTATACAAGAGTGTTCCATAGGGTACAATACACATGTATACAAGAGTGTTCCATAGGGTACAATACACATGTATACAAGAGTGTTCCATAGGGTACAATACACATGTATACAAGAGTGTTCCATAGGGTACAATACACATGTATACAAGAGTGTTCCATAGGGTACCATACACATGTATACATGGGTGTTCTATAGGGTACAATACACATGTATACAAGAGTGTTCCATAGGGTACCATACACATGTATACAAGAGTGTTCCATAGGGTACCATACACATGTATACAAGAGTGTTCCATAGGGTACCATACACATGTATACAAGAGTGTTCCATAGGGTACCATACACATGTATACAAGAGTGTTCCATAGTGTACCATACACATGTATACAAGAGTGTTCTATAGGGTACCATACACATGTATACAAGAGTGTTCCATAGGGTACCATACACATGTATACATGAGTGTTCTATAGGGTACAATAAACATGTATACAAGAGTGTTCCATAGGGTACCATACACATGTATACAAGAGTGTTCCATAGTGTACCATACACATGTATACAAAAGTGTTCCATAGGGTACCATACACATGTATACAAGAGTGTTCCATAGTGTACCATACACATGTATACAAGAGTGTTCCATAGGGTACCATACACATGTATACAGAGTGTTCCATAGTGTACCATACACATGTATAGAAGAGCGTTTCATAGGGTACAATACACGTGTATACAAGAGTGTTCCATATGGTACAATACACATGTATACAAGAGTGTTCTATAGGGTACAATACACATTGATACAAGAGTGTTCCATAGGGTGCCAAAAACATGTATAGAACAGTGTTCTATAGGGTACTATACACATGTATACAAGAGTGTTCCATAGGGTACCATACACATGTATATCACAGTGTGCCATAGGGTACCATGCACATGTATACAAGAGTGTTCCATAGGGTACCATAAACATGTATACAAGAGTGTTCCATAGGGTACCATACACATGTTTACAAGAGTGTTCCATAGGGTACCATACACATGTATACAAGAGTGTTCTATAGGGTACAATACACATTGATACAAGAGTGTTCCATAGGGTACCATACACATTAATACAAGAGTGTTCCATAGGGTGCCAAACACATGTATAGAACAGTGTTCCATAGGGTACCAGACACATGTATACAAGAGTGTTCCATAGGGTACCATACACATTTATACATGAGTGTTCTATAGGGTACAATACACATTGATACAAGAGTGTTCCATTGGGTACCATACACATGTATACAAGAGTGTTCCATAGTGTACCATACACATGTATACTACAGTGTTCCATAGGGTACCATACACATGTATACTACAGTGTTCCATAGGTTACCATACACATGTATATCACAGTGTTCCATAGGGTGCCGTACACGTGTATACAAGAGTGTCCCATAGTGTACCATACACATGTATAGAAGTGTGTTTCATAGGGTACCATACACATGTATACAAGAGTGTTCCATAGGGTACCATACACATTAATACAAGAGTGTTCCATAGGGTGCCAAACACATGTATAGAACAGTGTTCCATAGGGTACTAGACACATGTATACAAGAGTGTTCCATAGGGTACCATACACATTTATACATGAGTGTTCTATAGGGTACAATACACATTGATACAAGAGTGTTCCATTGGGTACCATACACATGTATACAAGAGTGTTCCATAGTGTACCATACACATGTATACTACAGTGTTCCATAGGGTACCATACACATGTATACTACAGTGTTCCATAGGGTACCATACACATGTATATCACAGTGTTCCATAGGGTGCCGTACACGTGTATACAAGAGTGTCCCATAGTGTACCATACACATGTATAGAAGTGTGTTTCATAGGGTACCATACACATGTATACAAGAGTGTTCCATAGGGTACCATACACATGTATACAAGAGTGTTCCATAGGATACCATACACTTGTTTCAAGACTGTTCCATAGGGTACCATACACATGTATACAAGCGTGTTCCATAGGGTACCATACACATTAATACAAGTGTGTTCCATAGGGTACCATACACATGTATACAAGTGTGTTCCATAGGGTACCATACACATGTATACAATTGTGTTCCATAGGGTACCATACACATTTATACAAGAGTGTTCCATAGGGTACCATACACATTTATACAAGAGTGTTCCATAGGGTACCATACGCATGTATACAAAACTGGTTTCATAGGATACTATACACGTTTATACAAGAGTGTTCCATACGGTGACATACACATGTATACAGGCGTGTTCTATAGGGTACCATACACATGTATACAACAGTGTTCCATAGGGTACCATACACATGTATACAAGCGTGTTCCATAGGGTACCATACACATGTATACAACAGTGTTCCATACGGTGACATACACATGTATACAAGAGTGTCCCATAGGGTACCATACACATGTATACAAGTGTGTTCCATAGAGTACCATACACATGTATAAAAGAGTGTTTCATAGGATACCATACACATGCATACAAGAGTGTTCCATAGGTTAACATACACATGTATACTACCTTGTTATAAAGGGCACAAAACACATGTAGAACAGCGTTCAACAGGGTACCACATGCATATTAACACAGTTTCCACAGGATGCCATACACATGTATACCACAGTGTTTAACAGGGTACCATACAAATTTATATGGCACAAAGCACATACATACAAACATGTTCATAGAGCACTGTAGCCACAAGACGGTAGCCATGTATATGTATATAAGTCCCACAGTACATAATAAATATACATTAATATTTCCACAGGTCTGTATAGACAAATACATGGAGGCTTTTCATTGGGAGCCACAGAACAATATGTTCTAAAGACACGCATAAGAAGGTGTGCTGCAGATATGAGTATCGAGTGTTAGTATGGGAATAAATGGCGAATGTATTAGGTGTTCTAGGGACAAAGGGCAAATATTGAAAGTCTATCGACTATGGTACTTACTTGGACACAAGTTTGGGTTACATGACTCGAGTTCCTCGGTGTCCCCCACACAGTCAGCCCCTCCGTATTTTGGGGGGTCACAGACGCGGACACGTTTCATTGACCCTCCACCGCACGTGGCACTGCACTCTCCCCATTTGCTCCAGTCCAGCCAGACACCATCGACTGTAACACATGAACATCGTCTACAACAGCAATCTGGCTGCGTGGGCAAATGTTATTGCGAAATGCTGAAGAAGAACAGGTGCTGCGTTGGTTAATGTCTTTGTCCTGTGTTATGCAGCATAGATACGCAGCGTTATGGCTTCTTTCAATAATTATTCAATTAAAATCTACCGTACATCTACTATTTTTGTATTGTCTTTAAAATTGTCTTCACAGCATCATGTTTGTAGGTGTGGCGAGCGCCGTCTTGTGAAGTGCCTCTGGTTCACTTTCCTGTTGAGCATAGCAATAGCGCGTGGCACTTACATAAGCTTATTGTTAATGTTTTCACAATACACTTGGAATTGATCTTCCGATTTAGCTTGGTTCTCTTTGTGCTAATTCCTATTGTCATATCGTTCTGGTATGCAGTACAGAATGCACTGATATTTGAAGAAATGAAAAAGTTTCAGAAGCAGAGTATATATTGTTAGTAGAACAATCGGGACAAAGTATGCATCATCTCAATACTGTAATGCACTCCTTGCTCCGATTAGAAAGTGAAATCAAAGACAGGGTAAGGTTAGTTGCTAAGACTAGATATCTGCAGAAAACCCTTGAAGTAGAAGCTGTGGCATGCGCAATAGACTCTTGCTGAGTGTGTTGATCCACACACTTGTTGACGACACCTATTTTGGTTTCAACACATTCGCAGCATTTGTTATGTTATCGATTTTGAATATTTAGCAATATTACGGTGATCATTTATGGAATATTTCAAACCGGAATTATGTCTCTTGGTGGACTTTCCGTTGAGCATAGCAGTAGCATAGCAGTAGCATAGCAATAGCATAGCAGTAGCGCGTGACATCTTACATACACAAATTTGGAATTATGTATTCGAATTTTGCAGCTTGGTGATATTTTTCGTGCCAAGTCATGCTGTGATAATCGTTCCTGATAAGTTAATAGTCAAGAATAAATAGCGACTTGAGGAATTGCGGAAGAATTTTAGAATTGAGGAAGTCTAAAATGTAAAGAATATATTGTTAGTAGAACAATCGAGACAAGGTGTGCATCATGACGATACTGTAATGCACCTCTTGCTCAGATTGGAAAGTGAAATCGAAGAAATGTTAAGATTAGTTGCAAAGACTAGATATCTGCAAAAAAAACCATGAAGCATTGGAGCTGAGGCATGCCCAAAAGACACTTGCTGAGTTTGTTGATCCACACCCAACATGTAGACTACAAGCTCTCAGCATTCATTATGTTATCGAATGTGATCGTGTAGTTCGAAATCGCAGGAATATATCTTTTACTGCAATAATTATATAATTACTACATACAGATAAGAACTAAAAGAAATAGCAGATGCCAGAGATCGAGCTTTGCTGTGTGGAGTAGCGTAGAAGGTAGAAAAAACTCTGGGTTTTCGGATTATTTTTCCAAAAAATTATATTCAGGAGCCTCTCGTGGTTAAGGCTAAGGTCATAGGCCATAGGAAAGGATTGGGATAGTGGTGCTTTCGGTGAGATCTTTGGTCAGGTAAAAGAGACGAACGAATCATGAAGGTCATTTGGAGGAGGCATTCTGTATTTACTTTTCATGCAGGATAACATAAATGATAATAGATTTGAAAGATGACGATATTGTCTCAGGATAGTCACTACATCTTGCAACTATGTTATCATGCGTCTTTGGAACATTGTGCATGCATTGTGTGAAGAGGGATAAAAGACCTTATAATCCCATTTTCTTGCAATGATCCTTTCAGAAAGGGTCAATAAGCCTCCAGACCCAACCCTGGTCCAATGACAATATACAATTGTGTCGGCAAAGCTGTGGTGTGAAGGGTTAAATACAAATTTGGCTGTTAAAGACGAAGTGCTTTGCAGTGCAGTGATTGGTTAAATGGGTAAGGTTTAAGGTTGTTGACGTCATGCAGTGAGGGGACTGACCAGGGCAGTGATTGGTGTTACAGGCCATGGTGTCAACTGCAGGGTCTTGGCAGTCGACACCACCAAATTTGGGGGCGGTGCACGACCTAGTCCTATCTTGTGTGCCTCCACCACACGTGTCACTGCATGCGCCCCATGATGACCATTCACCGTAGACGCCATCAACTGAAAATAGTTCGGAATGCGGCTGCTGCATATTAGTCCTCTATGCAGATATGAGAAGGGCTACCTTTTGGCTGTAGGAGGTACAGACAACGCTCGTAAATACAATAAATGGCATCTCTACTGACATGAAATATAGATTTGAATTATTTAAACATAAATATTGCTAGGCACTATTGATTTGAAACTTGATATAATCAGCGTGTTTATTGTGAACTGACTGGAATACAAACACAAAAAATGATGTTATAATCCATCACTGATAACTTGACTAAAACCCTGAGATGTATTTTCAGAACCTTTTCTACCGAACTTCACTTTTTTTCGTTTTATCACGGGCCGACACACACGCACATGGTTACATATGTGACAAACACGCATACGCCCACACGCACACGCACATGTACGCAAAGACACACAAACTTACACACACACACACAGACACGCACATGGTTACATATGTGTCAAACACGCATACGCACACACGCACACGCACATGCACGCAAAGACACACAAAGACACATACATACATACGCACATAAGGTTGCGGCTGTGATGGGCAATATTTTATGTAATATTCAACCTGGTATGACAGCCAGAATAAATATATTTTGCGACTTCGACAGATACACAGATGAAAGGAATCGGATACTTACTTGGACAGTGATCGGTGCTGCAAGCTTGAGTGACATTGCGAGGCCCTGGGCATTCTTTACCACCATCAAACGGTCCGATACAGTTCCGTGACCTCCACTGCTGCCCCCCTCCGCACGTGAGCGTGCACGTGCTCCACTTAGCCCATTCCGCCCATATCCCGTCCACTGAAACCACCACCTTTAGCTTTATATAACATCTCATACAGACATTCCCTTTAAGCTGACCTTTCAACTTCTTTGACATCGGCTGGCATCAAGATGTACTCAATGAATTATGGTTAGTAGCGAAGAAGAATTAAAAATGCTTCAAGAATCAGTAGCAACAAAATGGCTTCTACTTCAAATTGTATTGACAAAAAACTGATTGTATATGCATACATCATTACAGAAGAAAATATTAGTTTAAGTTACTACGAAGCAAAATTGAAGTTTATGATTTAGCTTCATTGTCATGCTTGAAAAATGTAGGATTAGATTGTCTAAATACTACCAACATTTGTCTGCTGTATAAACTTAAAAGCCATTTTAAAAACCAGAAAAGTATTAAAACACGCTGTAAGCATCAATAAGAAATACAAAAACTTGTTAATTGAAATCGTGGCTTAAAATGATGTGGTGGTGCTCAATGCATCGATGTGATTGAAAGCACGTGATGCACACATGGAACCGTGACAAATGGGTTAATCACGTGACTGGCGTGGCAAGGTTTCCGCCAATTCTTTATTTACAACAAACGTGATAGGCAGTTATATTAGTCAACACGTGCAAATAGGCGTGTCCCAAAAGCAATTATGCGCCTAATTATAGAAATTCAAATAATAGGATGTGATGTTGATGAATATTATTTTCTTTTATATAAAACGGATGGACAGCGAAGAATAATGATTATGAATAATGATGAAGTCATCCTCCTGTTGGCCCCGATTGACTGACCCGGACAGGTATGATTGTTACAGTCCCGGGACTCAAAATGCGCTCCTTCACATTCTTTCCCGGCGTGAAGCGGCCCTTGGCACTCCCTCTCCCTTTGTTGTATGCCTCCGCCACAGCTCTCTGAGCATGCGCCCCATGGGTGCCATGTTTCCCATATGCCGTCAACTTGTGTGGAAGAAATGCATTTACTTAAAGCTTAGCACCTTGAGGAAAGGCCCAAAAACGCTCATTGCCTTTATATATACACAAAGATAAAAGTATCGCAATACCCAGATATGTAAGTTGTTATGTGACCATGTTGACATATATATATATACAGAGGCATTCTTTAAATGAAAATTATGGCATGTCCTGTCCTCCATACCAGTCATGATGAGATGCATGTCGAGCATGTGTCCAGGAAAGCATGCACACCTTGCAACGTGAAAATCATGTTTTGGAGATCTCTCACTGTATTGAGTAAAGGTTACAAGTCATTGTTTCCTCTGTCAGAATTAAGCAATGGGTCCTCGACAACTCAGTACGGAAAAAAGATGGCAAGTTATTGGCATGATCATTGCCGGTATGTCAATGAAAGAAATTGCAAGGCAGCTGGGTCACCATCCTTCAACCATTAGTCGATTGTTACGAAAGCATCATCAGACTAATGATGTCAAGGACCGCCATCGTCCTGGCAGACCTCGCTGTACGCCAGCAAGAGAGGATGCAGCTCTTATGAGGATTGTACGGCGGTTTCCTTTTGCACCAAGCACTGATCTGAAAAGGGAGTGGTAACCTCACCGTCGCATATGCCACAGAGCTGTCCGTAATCGACTTAAAGATGCTGGATATCGTGCCAGGAGACCTGTCAGAAGACCTCTGTTGTCACGTGAACACAAGGCATGGTGTCGAACACGTAATCACTGGAATATTGCATCATGGCGGAAAATCCATTGGTCTGACGAGAGTCGCTTTCTGTTGTTCATGTCAGATGGTAGAGCACGTGTTTGGCGACGTAATAAGATGGCATCTGCTGAGAAGAACATTTTGGAACAAGTTCCATTTGGCGGCTGCTGTGTTATGATCTGGGGTTGCTTGTCATATGACTGCAAGCTGCCACTGTTAACAGTGAGAGGCAACCTTAATGGCCAACGATACTAAATCCTTGACACGGTTGTAGTGCCTCATTTTGACAATCATGCTCTAAACACAAGGCCAGTCTTCATGGATGATAACGCGCGACCACACCGTGCGCGTGGTGTTGTGGATTTTCTGCGTCAAGAGGCTGTCACTACCCTACCTTGGCCAGCCAGAAGCCCAAACCTCAATCTCATCGAGCATATCTAGGACATTCTTGGACGTAAAATCCGTCAGAGGGAGCCACCACTGCAGAATGTTGATGAATTGGAACAGGCACTACACCAGGAGTGGACCATTCTCACACAGGAACAGATCACTGAGATCAGACGAGTCATTAGGTCAATGAGGAGGAGGATTGAACAGGTGATTTAAGCTGTAGGAGGTTACACCAGATACTGACATTTTTCACTGTTATGCAAACTCGATGAACTCTCCGAGGATGACATGAGTGGAAATTGACTTATGAATTCAGATAGACCTGTTCTAGCCATAGTTATTCGCACTGGATATTTTCCATTTTGGGGGTCTTTTTGGTAACTCAACATAAACACATTACGATCTTTCCAACGTTTTCTTATTGTTCAATATTTGCTCTACAAAGAACACTGAGACACCATTGGTTTACAAACGTAATATAGCGATCACATCGAATCAAACACCAGCAGTGTAATGAAATAGGGTTGTTGCGATACATTTTTCTCTGTGTAAATGATCAAGACATATGATGTACGTGCATCAAATGATGTGAAGGCGAATGTTTTGGATGGTTTTGTGATAATGCACATCTTAGTCGCCAGGGCTTTGCTACACAAAGGCACACACTGTTAGGCACGCGTGAAAGACATAGCTATGTCGTTATTGGAACACAAAACCAACGGCACACACATGTATTATGGCATATATAACTACAAACTATCTACCACACACACACACACACACGTCGGAGGATTGAAAAAGCGTTAGTACAAAACAGAATGTCATCAACGAAATATCCATTAGTTCACTTCTACTTCTACTATGACAATATTTTACATCAAATTAAATCACTTTCAATTTTACTCTACAAAAGTTTACTATAATGATAACAGATTTCCATCTGATTACGTAAACAAGTTATTTATTCAGTATCTCTCTTAGCAAGAATTTCATCACACATTAAACATGACAAAATGTTTAATTATGAACTCAGTAATTTATGACGAAAGAATGCAACACCTACCGGGGCAGTTATGTTGGTTGCACGGCGCAGTGTCTTCACGTGGACCAACGCAATCTTTTCCGCCGTAGAATGGACCGTGGCAGGTGCGTTGACGCAATTTATCACCACCACCACAAGTGGCACTGCACGCATCCCAGTCAGACCAATCGTTGAAGATGCCATCAACTGAAGGAAAAAAGAAGCAGCTTCGGACCTGAATCTCATGTCACTAGAAAATATTATTTCGTAGTAACTATTGACAATCGTGATTTGTTGTCAGTCATTAAGTTGTCTCATACTTACAATGTTTGTTATATAGCTGATATTCTTAAAATGCGTTATATCAGAGTGGACTAATCCTTTCAGAGTGTATTTTACCATTTCACTCTGTGAAGTGTACATACTATGTCAATTACTACCTCATATCGTGAGATCTATGCTGTATTTACAGAACGTCACATCTCTACTAGAGGACATCACCAACAAACAAGAACATTGCATTCAACAAATATTACTACGCTTCGACGTAGATCGCTAGTACCAGGCTACACGTGACCAGGCCTAACGACCGCTCAGCGCAGAAAACCATCATCGTCATGTGCTGTCACATGGCCAACTGGTACCTGGGCAGTTGTGATCGTTACAAGCCTCGCTTTCGTTCCGCGCACCATCACAGTCGGCACCGCCATAGAACGGACCACTACACGTTCTATTTCTCCAGCGTATCCCTCCGCCGCATGTGACGTCACAGAGACTCCATTGAGCCCAATCGTTGAAGTACCCATCCTCTAGTGAAGCAGAAATGAGATACGACATTGCTCATCACGCTACGTGTCTGCAGGACTGAAGTGAAACTGTGACATTTTAAACATTGTGGAGGGTTCTCGTATCACAAGCAATTATTGGAACTATTTTGTGAGCCTAGTTATATACAAGCGGTGATGCAGTTGCGAGGAAGGAGGTCAGGGCAAGGATACTAGAGGAATGCTAATAATAGGAAGTCGGACTTTCTCAAGCAAAGCGTAATATATAATTATTCCAATTTGGAGGAGAGCCATTTAATGCGTAATTCAAGCCTGTTGGGTCATCGCTTTGCTTGAGAAAGTCGCTAGGAAGCGTCAGAGCTCAGTCATGACGTACACGCTTGGTTGAAGCGGGAAGCCGCGACAGGGAAAAACATTGAGACTATATTATCTTACCTGCAGGCTGCCATAACAGCTAGCTGCTCTACACAGTTATCTCCCATGTCATGCATCCTGCTCATATGATCGTCATTCATTAACATGCAAACAATGGAGGTTTAGGTAACAATGTACTCATGATCAGCATGCAGTGTACACGGTCCGAAATAGGGAGAGAACTCCAACTGACCCGGGCAGCTTTGGGTGTTGCAGTCACGGGACTCTTTAGAGTCTCCCGAACAGTCCTGACCATCCCAAAAAGGCCCCATACATTCCCGCTGACGCAACTGTATTCCTCCGCCACACGTAGTGCTGCAGGTTCCCCATATCTCCCAGTTCTGCCATTCGCCATCAACTGGAACATATGGGATTGTACAGATATGTTAGACTAATAGACTAATACACATTCGATAAGTATACACAGATTACAGTAAGTGAGGTGGGTTTAACGCCGCTTTTAACCGCATTCCAGTTATATCACGGCTTGTCAGCTTAATGTGGGATGAAAGCCCGAAGTGATGCAGGTGATGAAACCCACGAGCACAGATATGGTGCTGACAAATTAAACCTAGATACAAAATCGGGGCGAAACGGGATTCGAACCCACAATCATTTGTTTCTGGCATGCCCATGGGATGCAACTCTGCGCAGCAAATTGCGATGCCTTAGACGACTGGGCCACCCGTCCCTCCAACAGATTTCAAGTTAAAAACTTAGTCTGCTAAAACCCGCTCTATTTGAAGTAAATTATATGCAAAATATAACTAAAAACAGACGAATGAGCCGGACACGTTTCTTACCTGGACAATTTTGCTCACTGCATACTTCCTGTTCCTCCCTGTTTCCACTGCAGTCTGCACCACCAAAGAATGGTCCGTCACATTCTCTTCTGCGGCTTCGTATACCACCTCCGCACGTGAGGTCACATTCTGAGAACGTGCCCCAGGACAACCAAGTACCATCAACTGTCAACAGTATGGAAATGGTGATGATGGTCATCAGATAACAAGTAAGGTGTACCATGCATTCAAGCAAGGATTCAATTGAGAACCATGGTACCATACAACTTAGCATCGGAACATAACCAGCCATTATGTTCTTGTAATCTCTTCTCGTTGGTTTTAAGTGACTTAAAACAGCACCCAAGCCAAAGCACGACAGGAGAGAACAAGAATGTTGTTTTTAGCATGTTGCACGAGCCGAATTGAAGCCGGGTCTTCATCATGACGAAAATTCTAACCACTAAGCAACACCTGGTCTTTATCAACATGCATATATGATGTTAGGTATTGGTTGGTTGGTTGGTTTGTTTGTTGTTTAACGCCGCACTCAGAAATATTCCAGCTATATGACGGCGGTCTGTAAATAATCGAGTCTGGACCAAACAATCTAGTGATTGATATCATGAGCATCGATCCACGCAATTGAGATCGATGACATGCATCAACCAAGTCAGCGAGCCTGACCAGCCGACCCCGTTAGTCGCCTTTTACGACAAGCATAGTCGCCTTTTACGGCAAGCATGGGTTGCTGAAGACCTATTCTACCCCGGAGTCTTCACGGGTCTGTTGGGTATTGCAACCATGAGGCTACTCGCGTCCAATATGACACACATATTTAAAACCAGGCCTACATGTATTTGGTAAAATAAATGTACATGCCCAACTGGTTGAATAAAAGACAAACTATTTGCTTAACGTCACTATTTGCTTAACATCACTATTTGCTTAACATCACATCAGGCCTCTATGCAGAGTTGCAGCACTTAGATCACAGGATCTGCTGACCTTTGAAGAGGTTGAACCATCTCTCCAAAGGAACCATTCCATGAGAACAGTGTAGCGTACATAGCAACACGATATCATAATCATTTGTTTCTATTTATAACTTTCACTTGTTATGGGTCAAGAAAGTGGTAGTGGTTCAAAATCTGTAGATAAAAGATCTCATTCTGAGAAGAGACCATCACTCAGATATCAAGAACAGATACAAATTCTCTTGGCAATATATACATATGTCAACTGGTGTGGATGGAGAGAAAATACAAACATGACATAGATAAAGGATTGCGAGAAAGAATGTGCTATAACCCCACCTGTGTGCAGGGCGGATGAAGTTGTGCCTCAAAAGTCTTGGCTCGACAGGGCAAGGATGAAAACAAAGCAAACCACCAAGCACTGCAAGGTTAGTTGGAGAAAAAGGGTTAGCACAACATCTAGTGACAGGGGTCACACGAAACGTGGTTATTTTTGCATGCAGAAAGTTAAAAATTGTGTAAGGTAAAATTATACTTACTTCTTATGTTGAAAACGTTATGAAGATATATGAATTATGACGTAATCTATGTAAAATGATGATTGAAATGTGACAGGGATGTGAAGATTTAAAGGCGATGTGTATCAGAGGTATTGGAGGGAAAAAGTATATTTGTTATTATTGTTGATACCCGGGCATGGCGCATTGCTGCACGTGGTTCGGTCCTCCCATGGTCCAGTACAGTTTCCGCCTCCATAAAATGGACCTGTACACTTCCGGCTGCGCATTTTTTGGCCTCCACCGCAAGTGACACTACAAGCACCCCATTCCTCCCATGTTTGAAATACTCCATCAACTGAAAATCAGGAAAGAGAGCCATCTCAATGACAAGCGTTTCTAATCTATCTATCTATGCATCCATCCATCCATCTATCCATCCACTCATCCATCCATCTATCTATCTATCTAAGCACTTTGGGCTTTGCTCCCACATTAAGCTGACACGCCGTGATATAAATGAGATACTGTTTAAAGCAGCGTTTTACCACACTCACTCCATTGCTAAGAACAAGAATGTTTTACTTGTGGCGCTAATCCCAACTCACTCACTCACTCACTCACTCTACCTTCTTATCACCGAGAAGCATATTTTAGCTTTAGTAAATGTAAAAATTAATAATTGGGATTTGTGAAGCTTATATTCAATTGAATGGGATTTTATCGAAACAAATAACTTAACTCCTAATAGTCTTGCTTCAGACCTTCAAAATAAAGAGAATTTACATTGTTGCAAAGTGTTAAAAAATCTGGTTTTGCAGCTGAAGCTGAAAAAACCCATATCTAATCTCGATACAAAATCCCAGCATCTGAGGTTCAGAAGATGAGACTGGGACAGTATGTTGTTCACAGATGAGTCCATGTCTCATCTGGAAGGACCTGATGGTTGTGCAAGGATCTACAGGCGCCCAGCAGAACGTTTTTACGACGCTTTCGTCACTGAATGTCGTCAGTTTTGGGGTAGGAAGCGTCATTGTATGTGGTAGCATCACAACTCCTGGGAGAACACATCTCATTGTTAATGGCAATTTGATTTGCGTACGCTAATGACTACATCGTTCGAGATCAAATGCAGAGACGCAACGACACGTTACAGCAAGATATTGTTCGCCCTCATGTTGCAGACGTTGTAACTTTAAAGCAGCATTACATTGCTGAGTGGCCACATCCGGCTGTTTCTCCAGACCTCTTACCCATAGAACATGTCTGCGATGAAACAGATCGACGCCTACGACAGGACCAAAACCAGCCGGTAGCCCCAGCTCAGTTCGGTCAATCTTTGGCTGACATTTCAAACAGCATCTCCTGGCTGTTTTCAATCATCTGGTGTTTTCAATGCGCCAGCGCAAATGCAAATGGTGGTCACACCCGATATTTACATTGTCAATTGACTTCTTACACCACCCAATTTTTAGGGCGGGCTGCTCTGTCTCCTGTTACCAGGTATGGGTTTTGTCAATGAATTTGTTATGATATTGATTATATGAATGACAAAATATTATATAGTTATTTCCAATAACATAACATTTACACCACTTTATATGAAGCACAGTTACTTTTTTCCGCTGGTACATGTAATGTGTGCCAGGTCAAGCCATCTGCAGATTTATTACTCAATTAATCAAACATTGTTTACAGAAGAATGAGTGAGTGAGTGAGTATGGTTTTACGCCGCTTTTAGCAATATTCCAGCAATATCACGGCGGGGGACACCAGAAATGGGATTCACACATTGTACCCATGTCGGAAATAGAACCCGGGTCTTCGGCGTGACGAGCGAACACTTTAACCACTAGGCTATCCGACCGCCCCTACAGAAGAATGAACATCACCTAGAAGCCAATCAGGTTGTGTAATGTCTTACTTGGACATTGGTTGTCATTGCACCTCTTCAACTGTACTCCATCCCCTTCACAGACTTTACCACCGAACTGTGGTTCAATGCAACTTCGTGAGCGAGACTGACTTCCACCTCCACAAGTGACATTGCATAAGCCCCAGGTTGACCATGTAGTCCATACGCCATCAACTGGAAGTATTTCAAACCTGAACCTTAGATTGAAACCTTAGATTTATAACAGATATGAAAAGACTGCATTATCTGTATGACGGGTAAAATCATGTTTTCACGACATGTTAGGTCAGATATAGAAATAAGGATACATTTGTGTTGGTTTATAATGTAGTCCATAATAATCTGTTTATATCACACAGTTCTGTAAAATGAGTCTGAGCCAGACAAACCAGTTAGGTCGTGCGAATCAATCCATGTGGCATTTATGGCACAATCACACTTTGTAACCACCAGTTTTCACTTTGCAAACATCCGATATCCATCCTAGATTGTAGATATTCATTATACACTTCTACAATAATTGTTAAAAGTTGAGACCTATATTCTCCCCCGAATTCCAAATTCCAAGTAAAGATGTAGAAGAAAATACAAGAAATAGACACATACTAATCTGCACCTCACTTTGAACTAGGCATGCCAGAAGTCTATCACTATATTGTTATCTTGTTTTGCTATATTAAGTTTAGGTGTTTTTGTGACACTGTCTAAAAACGAGAGTCACTTGAAGCAATGATTTAAAAAACCCAAAACTGCCAATAATAATTATGATTACTTCAGCAATTTATAGTGTTCGGGGAAGAGGGATTGTAACTACTGAAAGACATCCTTAATATGGCTGTTTGGCTTGGAGTGAGTGAGTGAGTTGGGTTTAACGCCGCTTTTAACAGTATTCCAGTTATATCACGGCGTGTCAGCTTAATGTGGGAGGAAAGCCCGAAGTGATGCAGGTCTCAGACGTTTACCACTTCGGTGAAACCAACGAGCACGGGTATGGTGCTGACAAACCTAGAAACATAATCGGGGCGAACCGGGATTCGAACCCACAATCATAGGTTTCTGGCGTGCACAAAAGACGCAACTCTGCACAGCGAATCGCGGCGCCTTAGACGACTGGGCCACCCGTGCCCCCTGTTTGGCTTGGAGTTTAAAAGGGTCAGAGTATTATAGTAAAAACAATTTGTTCCCATACTTAAAGAGGAACTTTCCTTTTCCTATCGGTCAAATTGCTTGACTGAAAGCATTTTGATTTGTCAACTCTTTGAAATATATTGTTACCCATAGGCCTTTCCCAGGGATATATGCCAGGTGAACGGAACATGCCCATTGCCCTGCAAAATCTATCTACTAGAAAAAGGGTGATTAATCTGGTATGGTCTATTTATTGGACACATTAAGTGTCGTATTACCAGAAGACACTACCCATTGACATCAGCTCACCAGAATATATCTTTACTAATAGTTCCAGTGAGCAAAGAATTTATGTATGCAAGGTAAAAAATGTATTTAAATCATACACAAAGGAAGCAGAGGGTTACAGAAGCTCAACATACAGATGCACGTTGGAATTGGTCGACATATGTATAACAATAGTCTACATGTTAAACAGGCTGACTAATGAAATGAATCGGTAAAACGAGGAACAAGGCACATGCTCACGGCCATCAGATAGGGAAAATGACAAAGTCATAGCAAAAAACGACGGAGGTAGACATGCAAAGGATGAGGAAGACAGGGTTGTAGGTGCAAACATACTAGGGAAATGGTATGTCCCACATGGCTTAGCCTCTGTCCAGAGAGCACTGCAGTTTTTACCATTGAAGGATGGAGTAAAACAAGACCTTGACTTTTGTGACGTACCCCCGCCACAAGTTACGGGGCAAACTGCCAACTCTGACCAGGGTTCCCAAACCCCAACAACTGAAATACGTTGATTCTTTGCAAAATACACAAAATGTAGCAGGACTGTATGGCTGCTTTTTCCATCAAATTATCCATTAATTATGTCTGTAGGGTTGCATTTTCCTGGGCATGACATACATGACGTTCGATCTTGAAGTTAGATTATCACAGTGAGAGCATGTTATCTATTCAAATAACAGCACATGCTTGGAAATGTGCGTTGCTTGCTTTCACCTAAAGAGTCAGACCATGATGCATTCCCAAAGTTGGTTCAATCACATGACCTTGAGTCTGGGCTCCATCAGAGAATAGTGGGTAAACTGGCCACAGGGTTTCCAAAATCCATTAACTAAGAGACATCCAGATAGCGAGAATAGTATAAGGAGGAAAAAACATCTTCAAGTGGTGACTGCATGCCATTTTCAAACTTGACATTTGCATTATGGTAGTGCTTCATAATAAAAAAATCGATTGATGACAGTATGTTTTGCAATGTCAAATACCAATAAAGAATGAACATGCAGTCAACATACTGGGACAAGGGTCCTCTCCGCATGGTCTGTCTTCATTCCAAGGAATGGTGCAGTTTGTGCCATTAAAATACGGCCCCTCACATGATCTTGATCTTTTAGAAGTGCTTCCGCCACACGTGACAGGACAAACTGACCATTGAGACCAGGGCTTCCAAACCCCATCAACTGAAACATCGATTGAATGCAGTTCGATGCAGTAAAACGGGTTACAAAGAAGAAAGTTGAGATCCTATCTCCATACTGATAAAACTATTCAGAATCTAGGGACCCCTGCTTATGCTGAACTGCGTTATTTAAAAAGAAGTAGAACATGAGTCAAAGATGAACTATGTTGACACATACTCGGGCATGGATCTGTTCCACAATGTCTTTCTTCAACCCAGGGAGCACTGCAGTTTTTGCCACCAAACTGAGGACCATCACAAGACCTTGATCTCCGTGACGTACTTCCGCCACATGTAACTGGGCAAGTTGACCATTTAGACCAGGTTTCCCAAACCCCATCAACTGAAAGATGAGTAATGAAAATTGCAGCTTGTCCATCAGAACATTTTGAAGCCTTCTATTCCCATATGGAATAAAGGAAAGGTAGCATGCACCATCCATGATGAATAACCATTCCCACAAGAGCAAGCTTTGTTTGCAACCTCCAAGGAAATTTTACATTTTCCACAGGTGCAACCGTTCCTAGTTAACCAACTCACCAAATCACAATAACGTCTGGTATATACACTAAGAATGACCTGTCATGAAGAGACAGAAAATGCAATATCATTGAATGATACAACTTAAGAGTGAGATGAGTGCACATACTGGGGCAAGGTTCTGTTCCACAAGGTTGCCCTTCACTCCAAAGTCCATTGCAGTTTATACCACCAAAATATGGGCCATCGCATGACCTTGATCTCAGAGAAGTACTTCCGCCACAAGTAACTGGGCAAACTGACCAGTTTGACCAGGATGTCCAAACTCCATCAACTGAAAACACAAATACCTTAGTTGTGGTTAAGCTTTAATCAAAGTTACTTACCTGGTCCCTGTTCCACAACGCGATCTTAACTCTATGAATATTGTAAGCCAATGTTAAAGTATGGGAGTTACGATCACCTTAGAGGTCGCATTGCGGAATGGGGCCTAGTTATTATTCAAATGTAGAGACCTCATATCAATAAATCCTGTATTTCTAGATGGCGTACATGTTCTCACTCAAACTAGTTTCCAATTAACGTACAAACATACATTATTTGCATACAGGTATTATAATATATAATGGAATTAGAGGCAGATCAATGGATAGGAAGTATGCAGGTTTGAAGATTAAAGATATTCTTTCAGAAAAGATTGATAAGGCGAAAGCAAGTTATTGCAAAGGAATACGAGGGATAGAAAAGAAGAAAACTTACCTTGATAAGTTCCAAGCTGTTACATCGCCCTGGAAATCCAACACAGTTACGCACCCTCACCAATGTTGTTGGGTAAGCACATGAGTAACTCAGTGATGCAATGCGCCATCAAGTCAGAGATTATCACGTACAAGAGGAGGGACGGAGACTAGCACGATATACAGGAACATGTAAAGGTTGAAATGTATGGCAGTCAGAAGAAATCCTTGCCCTGCCAGTGAGATGTGCACATGAAGGAAACAACTAAGCAAACACTACAAACACGGGTGACAGTAAGCATCTACGAATGAAGCATGAGGAAGGATGAGGAGGAAGAAGACGTTGTAGACGGACAGAGGGAGTGGATGTTGAACACTGACCTGCACAGGTATGGGTGTTACAGTTACGCACGTCCGATCCCGACCCCACACAGTCGCTTCCGCCGTAATACGGCCCGTCACACGTGCGATTGCGTGTCTGTGTGCCAGTATCACACCTGTGTGAGCATGCGGACCACTCGTTCCATTCTCGCCACACGCCATCCACTGTTGGGAAAAAGACACTGGACAGGTGAGCAAGAGGAACAGGGTGAGGGACAGAGACGCCAGGTCACCTTGCAGATAGTGGATTAGGGAACCTGAGATTAGAAAATTGGATTCGTGTACATTTTTCATGTTTTTGTACATGTTTTATCATGCGTTTTGACATTGTTCCTCGAAAACACCTTTTTATAAAACCTTTTTTTATACATTCAAATATCCCACATTAGGTTTGTTTATTATCTGTACCTTGGACAAACCATGAGCTGTCACTGTTCCAAGGTAAAAGTAACAACAAACATAGAAACTACATATGCAGTGGTGACCATGACCTCCCCTCGCGGGAAACTACAGCACTGCACTGAGTTCGGCAACTCAGACCACCCACCTTGGTCTTTAGTTTGCCTGTAAAACAAAAACTGGTGAATCTGCAGAAATATCAGCCTCTGACCACAGCATGTAAACTAAGACATATTTAGCTTGGTAGAACAGCGCGACAAGAGGGAAGGGGGTCAAAAGCATGCACTCTCCCTGCAGAAATGCAGAATACTGAAAGGAAAGCAAAACAAATATCTCATCTTGATGATGATCGCTAAAGCGCTGACTTGATGGTACATAAGGATTCTCTAGTTTTGCCTATACTTATATTTTCACAAGTGAAAACAAAGTATAGCATCAAAGTGGGATAAAATTATCCCTATGAGATAAAATAGCAACACATTTGGTTTGACATGTACCTTGTTTTGTATAAGATGATTTTTTCGTTCTGGGTTAGGACATCGGATGTTTGAATAATGAACCTTGTTGTGATCAGCGACCGATTGACTAGAGGCATGTGTATGAAATTCACACTCTCAAATCTGAAACAAACTTTGCTAGGATGCGCAGTGCGTGGACGCAGTGGAAAAGTCCTTCACCCTCCGGGAGAGGGGAGGTAACTCACCCAACTCCTGCCATTCACCATCAACTGAAAAGGAAACAAATATGGCCACTTCAAAAGAGCGAACCGCCTTGTGCGCAACGCGCTACTCTAACATTGTGTTTATATTACTGTCTTATTTTTATTCTAAATCAACACTGTACGTTAATGGTAATGGGCAATCTAGACATCATACCAAGGTCTTTTGTTGCTCAGTGTTTATTGTAAAGTTTACTAGTGGTAATTAATTTTAGACAAATGTGAAGTACACTTATCTTGAAAAAACTGCTTTACAATATTACCTTTATATGAAATTTTGACATGTATGCACCTTATGCACATGAAATAAATAATCATATATATTTTGTTTTCTTCAGAAGTTTCAACACAATGCATTATTTTAAGATTAAATCTAATTATTTAGTCTAAATGAATCGGTTAGGTTTGTCAGATGTTTCCTTTGCTCACACACAAAGCCACCTGTGAAACAGGGTGAAGGTAAAATCTTCATATACAAATACATGTCACTTTGTAGCCGAAATAGGAACCACACCTGTGGATGAGGACATGCAAATGCAGCTGACTTTGGATTAAATACCACATTTTGGTTAAATATGTTCATGAGTTAATACCATGTGACACTGTGTAGCCAAGTAACCATCACGTCTACACATAAAAGCAGAAATATGCCAGCAGGTCTGGTGTTTAACCTGGTATAACATGAAAGAAACTTGTTTTACACCTTGACAGTTGACTCAAGAGGTCTTTATTTACAAATATATTGCACATGGATTGTCTCCGAGAGTGGGCTTTCATGTCTTCGCACCCATGAATGGAGCATATGGGGATCTGGTGATTACAACGTCCAGGCTGATTGAATGGAATTATGCCAATGGCGTCGAACATTGCTCACACAAACAACCATCGTTTTATCTTGGTTCAAACAGATAAAAATGAATCACATACTGGCTGCAATGTGACTGTTCTTCGTGTTTTCAGGGACATGATGGCATGGTTATCTATATTTAATGTGCAAAGTTGCCTATGTAGCCCTGTTATATTGGGTTCGAGTCCCAACTAATGATTATGATTCTTATGAGTTCCTTTCCCATCATTTAGCTGATTCACGGTGATGTGTCTAAAATAACACTCTAGAGGCGTCATCACAATGTGCACTTAAGATTTTACCTTCACGTTTCACGGGCACAGTGAGAGGCAAGACAGACCACTGACCTTTGGTCTTTATTTGACCTCCATAATCTTAAGTGTGGGATGGATTCAGGCATGGTAATAAAAGGCTTCCAATGTCCAGGAAGAAATTCTTTGAAATGACACTGTATCAAGAACCAGTACCAGTTTGTAAAATGTAGGTGTAACCGGATATAAAAAAACTGATTCCGTGTCAGTTGTGGATTCTTCGGATGTTTCAGTGAGTTACTGACAATTTACTATTCTTAGAAGTTGTGATTTGTGTCAGAGACTTTTTAGAGAATATCTTTTCTGTCACTGCTTCAGCTTTTTTTGTTTTTATAGGTGAGCAAAACTATCTTTTATGTATGAAAATGATAATTTTGGAAGCCAATTATTTCCATGCTGTGGACAACACAGAGGGTAAGCATTTAAAATTTGATTTGATATGAGGAGGCTGAATTGACCATATTAGGAAATATTAGAGAAACCTTCTTTCAAATCTACATAGTTTTCTTTATGTGTATTTTCTTATACAAAAAAACTCTATGTTTTACAGTAACACAGATGTATTTATTCAGATTTTCTATCACAATGAAATGAAGCCATATGACCAAGTTAAGAAAATATTATTTGAAATCTTTAGTTTTAGATGTATACTTGGTACAAAAATTGGTTTTCAAATTCTGATCCAGATATTGAGAGCAGATTTATATTGTATGACATGAGTAGATGCACGTCGACTGTTTGGGCGTACAGTGCTGTGTGGCGACCACCTACCCAGCACCATCATTATTTCTTCGCCATCAACTGTAATAACAAACAGGATGATATAGCTCATTATCTTGACTGAGATGAAAAAAGCTGTAACATATACCTACTTCGGGAATCATAAAAGCAGAATTTTGTTTTTAAGCAAACACACCCAGGGTTTAGCACTGCGCAAATAGCATTGTTGTCTTAGTTAGCGAACAGAGATGAGCATGAGAAACAAGGCACTGGCTGCACAGTAACATCCTTTGATTATCACACGCGCAAGAGTATAGCACTCACCAAGGACAAGCTTCGTATTGTTTCCTGAAATAATAAACAAATCCGTTTTTTAAATAAAACACGAAACATATACATGAACTTCTGGATGAGTATTCTGCAAATAGTATATTTTAAACGAAAAATGGTAGTCAAGAACCCAGTGTGAGTGTCTGAAATTGATGGCTTGGTTTCCCTTCTGTTTGCTGTGGAAGAAAATAACACTGCACATTCGAGATATTATTTGGCGCGTTGCTATGCAGCGACACAAACAGAGAAGTACGACTTCCGGTCATCCAGTAGGAAGCCAGCAAATTAAAGCAGAAGCTGTACCTGGGCACGCATGTGTGTTGCAAGTCTGAAAGTCTTCCGCTGGACCACTACAGTTGCGACCGCCATTCAAACCTTCTTGACAAATGCGCATGCGCCGCTGATTGCCCCCGCCACAGGTCTCATTGCATTCTCCCCATTGTCCCCATGTCAACCAGGAAGCATCAACTGCAAGGCAATAATTCCAGTTACTTCATCACCACTTCATCCCCTCTGGAAAGCTTACATGAAAAATTATTCTCCAGTGTTGTGAACAGTTAGTTGGTGGTGTTGGACGCTCAGTTACGGCATGTTCATGAAAACGGTAATGTTAATGTAGAACATGGTAATATAAGTATAATCACTTCCATTTCTTACTTTGAACATGCCGCTGATAGATCAGTTATAGAATAGCATTACAATACAGTCAATTATTTCTGAATAAATATTTCTGAAATATGCACAAGGTAATAAATTAAATCAATATTCTACAGTTAAATATGTGCACTTGGGTTGACATTTGCATTGCATTGAAGCTGGGGGAAAGTGACTGTGCGAGTTACCCTTCAACTCTCTTCTCCGAAACACACCAGCCTGCCCAACCGCTCCCAGTGGACATGTTCAAGGCAAGTATATAAACAGTTGTCTCCCTTTGAATGTCACGTGACGTGGCCACGTGATCAATGGCTGTAGCTCACCTGGGCATTCCTGTGTACTACATTGTCTCGTCTGCTGACTCTCTCCTTCACAGTTACTCCCGCCAAATTTAGGCTTGAGACAGTCCCGTTTTCTGATTTGTTGACCTCCACCGCACGTGACACTGCAATCCCGCCAATCATGCCACGGCAGCCAAGAACCATCCACTGTGCGAGGGGGACGCGGAGATTATAGAACAGCCACTAGTTTCTTAAGCGCTCCTGTGACTGATGAAACTATTCTATGGCAGGTGGAATTTGGCAATATAGCCACTACAGCTAGAACATCATCGACAAGAGCAATGTCGTATCTCCTAGTTAGAGCTAAGGCAGTTGAAGTTAGTCAGGCAGTATCACGGACTTATATTACAGCCTGGTAATATAAATCCGTGGCAGCACGAAGCAGGTTGGAATCTTGCAAAACCAAGACCTCCTGCACGCGCAGCAGCGTTAGTAGACAACACTATGTTGCAAGCGGGTTATCTCAGAACTATGTGTAAGCGAGAACACTGTCCAAGGAGACGGAAAAGCAGATTCGCTAAAAGGCACGGAGGCGCGCTAGCTACGGGATTAGTAGAACTACCAGCAACTACAGAGTGCGCTAGTCTACCCGAGGCTTGCTTCAAACATGGCACAAGACTATGCTAAACTGTTATGACATGCATATTTACTCTAGCTAAACACAGGCCTAAGCTAGTAACACGTCAGCATAATAAACATAGATATTAGACATAATATGTAGTGGTACTACCAGAGAGATTACAGAATACTACATACTAAATAAGAATGTCAGTTATGTCATGTTTTAGTTGTACTTTCGATTACTATCAAAACAATTTTTTACAGTTATTATATGTATAGAATATATCTGTTTAACTGACAAAGTATTAAACGTTATTATTCGTATTAATATATGGTTGCCATAGCTTTCAGTGCCATACTTCCGGTACGCCCTATTGAAAGTCTGGGTCATGAAGCAACTCCAGGAGACGTACCTGGGCACTCGAATGTGTTGCATTCCTCTGTGTGACCGCCTTCCCCAGGGCACGGGGCCCCCAGAAAGAAGGGGCCTTGACAGGTGCGTGTCCGAGATCGCATCCCGCCCCCACAGATGATAGAGCAGTCACCCCATGTCTCCCATCCGTTCCAAACGCCGTCCACTGAAAGCAACATCGTTGGCCACGTCACGGACACGGGCCCGGTACAACACCGACGACAGCAACCAAACGCTGCCACTATGCTACTGAGACCACTACACTTTGTAGGACCTTTCTTCAGTTACAGTATGAATCCTACTGACAAACTTCATATTGTTAAGGGCTCCATTCCACAAAGTAGTATCAGCGTTATGATTGTCGGAACTCCTGATTTCCAATGACAGTCATCGCGCCTACTTCGCTTGTGGAACAGAATTCTTGTTGAAATAATTGTAATAGTTGATTCAAACTAGTTCAACATCTTTATCAGTGTCATGTCAGGTGATGAGTCACTTTTAAAAAAAGCTGTGGATTCAGGATACCTCGACGAAGGTTCAAATGAAAAAATGAAATAACCAGTATTTCAGGACAACTACATTTCCACATATCATTCTCGAGATATAGGGGTTCGTCGTTTCCCTAATCCTTTGATGATCCCCGATACGACTTGATAAAGACGTTGAACTACCACTCCAAGAAAATGACGCTCATGTACCAATGATGTAGCCTACCTGGGCACTCCCTGACCTGACACTCCTGGGTTTGTCGCCTTTCTCCCTGACACTCCTGCCCATGATAGAACGGCCCCTCGCACGTCCTCTGCCTCCACTGCGACCCCTTACCACACGACGTGGAACACTCCGACCAAGCAGCCCAGGTCTTCCACACACCGTCCACTATTGCAGCAATAACCATCGTGATCACGTGACCTGACACATGTTTCTGATTGGTGTTCCCATCCTGGTGCGTAAAACACATGAGGTGCTCGTGATCATGCTTCATGCGATGATTGCGTGAAGTTTTACTTGTGACGTCATTGTGTTGTTCTTAATGAACACCAATTGTCAATCTTGATACATAGATTTGTCACCAAAAAGTCAGTAAGAGAAAGTCATTCATGCTTTACAACAACCAAGTAAACTTTCAGCTATAAACACAACATTCGCCTTCACTAGCCTTGGACACTGCCAGTATGTTTTAGGTAAAATAACTTGATGCAGAAAGTATGGACTTTAAAACATTACTTTTTTTATTTAAAATAATTATATTTTGCAATTCTCAAATAAATGTTTTATTTGAAAGTGATACTTTTTCCGTATCAACTACATCAACGCATCTACATTTCCTTGCCCTTCTTAATACAAAAGCATATTCCTCAAAACATTCCCATATTTTTTAACTAGAAAAACGTACCATTGTTCATATTTCCCATTGAAGTTTGACATAGTTTTGTAAGAATATTTGTTGTATTACATCTGAGTCAATGCTTTTTTTTTTCTACGATGGATATGGAAAATATTCCATTTGGATCGGTCAATCAGAGGTTTCAAATCACAATATATGCTAGCTTTCTTTGGAAGCCTGTCATACGCTCTCGGTGTTTGTCATATATGCAGAAAAACATTGATGAATAAAACAACATAGTTCAATTGAAGTGTGTTTCTTTAAAGCAGATTGACAACCCATTCAAATCAACCCATGCCACTTCACTAATTATGTACAATAGATAGTGTACACCGGATAATTTGGGATTACTTCCAAAAGGTCTACATAAGTACCTTTGAAATCTCTGTAAAAGTGACGAGACAAACGCAATCATTATGCTTGAGTCACCTGAATACCACAAATAAAGCATACATTTTGTGGAAATCATGATTTGCTGCAATTGTACAAGCTTGTAAAACAAGAACGGTATGGCTTGTTAGCTTTCAGAACAGAAAGGGGCGACAGTAAAATGATAAGATTGTCAACAGCCCAGTGAGAGCGAGCCGTCGGCATGACGCAGATGGGGGCTTCGAACAGCCACGATACAGACCATAATAAGACTAAAGACGTGTCAACCAAACCAAAAAGAGTGCCCCCCCCCCCCTTCTGGGGGTGGAAGTGTTATGGTATGGGGTTATGGTATGGGGGTGTTATCACAACTCATAGGAGAACAACACATATAAGCCTAAATACATGGCAACTTTCGTTCGTTAACAGGCCAAACTGAAACTGGTTGCAAATCTGGTTGCGCATGATTATTGATATACGCCAAAATATGGGCATTGTTGACATTTCTATGCATAAGACTTAACAACATGTTCTTGCCGTTGTGTGTGCAAAGACGACAGTTCCAACGCTCAAGAACTATTTTAAAGAATTTCTTTAACTTATGGTAATTGAATCGCATTGTTGTAAGTACGCAGGACAAGTGTAAGAAAACTTAAAAAGTCAAATAGCGCCGCGCCTAGAATGTCGGACCAACACTTGGTCACCTGCACCAACCGGTCCCGGCTGTGCAATCAAAATGGTTCGGTTTCCTTGATCTATCAGCTGAATTTATATTCTGTCCGTACCACTTTGGAAGAGAGAAATCAGAGTGCTCGCCAAAGACGTTTGTGCTAACTGTACGACCGTTTACTGAAGTGAAAATCAACAAGCTCAAGTCTGCTTGTATATGAGTGAAAGTTCCCGAACGAAGGGCAAGGTCACCATCGGAATAAGAAAAGACAACCGTGATTTAACCTAGAGATCAAAAGGGAATGTTATTGTTCACATTATGGGATGTTTTAGGCCACAAATACAGAAGTCAGGTCCACTTCTTCGGAGTTTTCGAATGATTTGTATCGGAACTGTTCACTTTTAGTGATGTGGTCGTGCAGTCGTGTATGTTCATTCATAAACAAACATTTTCGGAAGCAAGGTCACAAAATACGCTTCGAAGGGGACACTGATGCACCACCGGCGCATCAAACGTAAGAGCTGATATCTGTCCAGATAGTTTAAACTGACTTCCTTTGACCACGCTTAACCGTTAACGATAAATCAAATTGAAAGTGTTTGGGCGCGTCACGCTTAAAGGGACCCTCGATCTCAATTGTGCATTGCATATGGATATATCTCGATTAAATAATGTCTGGAGTAGCTCTATGCATAACTAATATAGAATGCAAAGCGGATTTAATGCGTGTAACTATCTTGTTTAGTTTAATAAAGTGTGTGTAAATGTCTCTCGCTTTCATGCCATAACCTTCCGTTCTTCCTTGTAGTTGTAAAAGTGAATGACGCATCGTGATTATTTATGAATGAAAAAAGTAGTTCCGGTGTAACAGAGGTCCAGTTATCAAAACGAATAAAACGAGGTGAACCTTGAAAGACACGCGTGGGACGTACGGATGAAGTCTCCTACCACCTCTATCTTCACCACGTAGGTAATAAAATACAAATATGCCCCATTAAGAGTTAGGTATCGTAACATTACTTAGGCAATGTGTAAAACGCCATATTAATATTTGGTTTTAGGACGAATTAATGAAATTAAATGAAAGTGCAATGAGTTTTATTTCGTGTTCTGGGGGTATGGGTGTCCACGCAAACCAAGGGGCATTAATTCGCTGTGTTCTTAGACTTGCTAGAAAACTATGACCGTTGGTTCGAGTTCCAGTTTTGACCTTTTTGTGTTTGTAGGTTTGTCAGCGCCATGCCTGTGCAACGCCGATACGCCGTGAAAGAAATGAATTACTGTTCAACACGGCGTTAAACCCAACTTACTCACTCACTACAAATAACCATTACAGAATGTGCTCTCTGGTCTACAATATCATTAATTTGATTCAGCTGATGCCAGATCCACGTTACTTAATGTTAAGCATCATTGACTTGACCTTGTGACAGAGCTGAATTAAAAGGAACATACATGTGTGTTTTTTTGGGTTTAACTCTATTTAGCTCTACAGATGCAACTATATGGCCTGACAATATTGTTGCTGAAAGTTTACTGGTAGTCATGAAGCATCAATGTAACATAAGGTTTCTAGACAAGCATTGAGAAATGTGAAGCTTAAAAGCTTCTTGTCAAGTCTTTCAAAGCTAAACTCCTAATTACGCTATTTTAATATATTTAGCAACTATTGGCGATCACATCTTATTGCAGTGCATGCTATGGAGTGGTGACTTCCTGTGTCGTGGTCAGCTCAGTCGTGACCGACTCCGTACCCGTTCCTGTTGTGCACATCCCTGCACCACATGCCTGAACGTCTGTAGCGTTGCCGGTGCAAACGTCGGTCGCGTTGACGCAGTCACGCTCACGCACCTGTTCACCAAGCCCGCAGTCACACGGCCCCCACATGCCCCAATCTTGCCACGTGCCGTTGCCTAGAAACAATGATGCTACATGTGTCTCCGTTGGTGTGATTGCCCACACGTCTAGAGTATACAGTGCTGGATGAAGGTGAAGTGTGAAGTTCTATATTCTAAGGTTGCGTGATCTTGTGATTGTTTGAAGAGAATGAGTGAGTGCCAAGTGGGGTTGTATTGGAGTGAAAACACATGATCATACCTCATAAAAGAACATCATATAAAACATCATGCAAGCTTAACAAATCAATTACATATACATATAGAATGTCTCATTACATTGTCCACTATTATTATTATTATTATTATTATTATTATTATTATTATTATTATAATAATAATTATTATAATTATTATTATTATGGTGTTATGTCTGCTTATGGTATTGAATTGTAATGCATTTTGGGAAAGGTTGGGTAAGAATGGGTACCAACTGGCGTGAACATTCAGCATGTAACAATTACCCAAATAAAATATCTACTGAAAAAATTGTTTGATAGGCATTACTTAGAAGTTTACGGATGACAAAGTAGACACAATTTAAGGATAACAACTTCTTTAAAACTGAAAAAGCGACGTTTCGGTATAGATCCTTATACCGTTGTCTTGCCTGACAACGGTATAAGGATCTATACCGAAACGTCGCTTTTTACAGTATTAAAGAATTTGTTATCCTTAAATTTCGTCCACTTTGTCATCTACTGATTATCTGCAGTGTCATGTATGACGAAAATAAACAAAAATGAAATCAAATTACTGAAGGACTGTACCTGAAAGTGGTGTTTGATACAATCGGTATTCGGACAGCCATGTACACATCTCGTGTATACATCTCTCACACTTTCAATAGTAACATCTGGGTATTGTTTTAAATAATGTTGGGATATAACTGCTATTTATCATCCAAAACTAGCTCCCACAGGAGATATCGCTTGGATTAGATCAAGCAATATCTACACTGTAGATATCGCTGCAATGAAATTACATCACAATGCTTTGCAGACCATTGTGACGTCACTGGTTACCATGACGTCACAATCAAATGACATCACTAATGGTCTGCTACTGAAGCTGTTAGCAGTACTTTTTACACTGAAGACACTGCTAATTACTGTCTACAAATTGAAAAAGTTGGAAGAATGATGTTGGATGATAAATAAAATCTCACCCTCGTGTCTTTTGATATCAAATATATTAACACTCGTTGATAAAAGTGGAAAAAATCCTCGGCAAGCCTCGGAATTTTTCAACTTTTATCAACTCGTGTTGATATATTTGATATCAAAAGACACTTGGGTGAGATTCTCTATATATTAGACATCCCTCGAATTTTCGAGGCTTACTTATTCACACATTTTGGATAAATAACATCCTCATCAGGCAAATTATGTTTTTCTATTAATTGGAAACAGTTATAGTTTGTTTTTTTTTTTCGAACACGTCACAGGCAAACGAAAAATATATGAAGACGCGATGACGTTGGACAGTTCACGACTCAGTTGCTGGAACAGACAGGGTTCAGGAGGAAGAGGGTGGGGGTGGTAGGTAGCCATGCAGATCAGTTCTACGGGGAGGGAGTCTTGGGATCAAACGGGTAATTACTTCATTATTTTCAGAATATATATGTAGAGATAGCAGGGTAGGTAATGAAGGTAATCGCCTACCTGGGCACATGTCTAGAGTGCACGACTTCGTCTGAACCGTCTCGCCTTCGCAGTCTTTCCCGCCATGCAATGCAGGGGGATGGTTACAACTGCGCGTGCGCTGTTGGATACCGGTTTCGCAAGACACAGAACAGTCTCCCCATTCACCCCACAGGGACCACACTCCATTGACTGAAAAGTAAATGGTGACTTGTTTTTTAAATGCTTTTTTGTGCAACGTTCGTTAACTATGATGACCTCTATTTTTACAGGTTCTTCGTCACAGATTATCTTGACAGTGATTTTTTAATAACACTTGAGGGGACCTTGTGAAAAAGACAAGGAACATTAATTTGGCAGACTACTGACTGTGTGACGTCAACCCACCTCTACACATGACCCCTGCTGGTTGTGTCGCGGCCGGACAAGACGGCGTGAGGGACCAGGGGTTCCTCTCACACATCTGTACTGTCTGCTCCAATCCCTGGCAGGCAAGGCTGGTGACCCCATACATCAAGTCTCCAATGCCGAACTGGCTGTTCTGGGTAGCTAATACATCATTGATGGATTAATAACAGTAACGTATAGGGCGCATTGAAAAACTAAAACAAACCAGTCAGATTACAACAATAAAATAATATATCCAGCATGGCAGTTGCAGGAGTTGTAGGAACCCACACTCAAGCATAACCTCAGTCACTCCTAAACATTATTCAACAAATCGTTTTATCATGCCTCCATGTCACAATGATGAGATCTGATTATTGGTCCAAGTGATATTGATAAAATAACGTGTATCCCGGCTTGGAGGGGAATACATTCTTCAGCGGGGGAATAATATACCCCGCCACAAGCTAGTCAGGTTTTACGTGGATTTATGAGATGCAGAATAAATCCTTTAACCCCGCTTCAAAGCAAAAAGCCGCACGCTTTTCCCGAGTCAATAGAAGCCACATTGCGCAAGTTAACCTCAGCTCCATCGAAAAGCTGTTTGTTTGAAATATTTTACATTATCACAAAAACATGTGGGTCAGATAGATTCGTTGCAGCAAGATCACTCGGAGTACATGTGGTTTTATGCGGCTCGTGGTATAAAAACCTAACGCGGGACGCATAAAACCCCGTGTATCCCTCGTTATCCTGCTACAACTTATAGGGGTGGTCGGGTAGCCTGGTGGTTAAAGCGTTCGTTCGTCACGCCGAAGACCCGGGTTCGATTCCCAACATGGGTACAATGTGTGAAGTCCATTTCCAGCCGTGATATTGCTGGAATATTGCTAAAAGCGCCGTAACATCAAACTTACTCACTAAGACGTATAATATTCATTTCAGAAATCTTTATTTTATTGTAGTTTTTTAAAGATAAACGTGTCCATACAACTTACCCATATGAGCTCCAGGCATTCCAAGATGTTTGCACACCAGGTCTGCCATTGTTTGTGTCCACTGGTTGCCACAGATCATGCCCCACTGTCGAGCTTCGTCATTGAAGATTTCCACACGGCCCTCCCCATGGGCTGACCCCCCACGCAGGCGTACTGGACCTGTTCATTTATTAAAGCCGTTATCACACACATAAAACCCTTTTCCATATCCAATAAAAATATCTGCATAAAGCAGAGTCGATTGTACGATTCCGACTATATAATGAACATTTGTTTATGAATCACCATCCCATAGTGATAATACCAGGTGTTCTCGAAAAGGTATCCTGTCCCACCGGTGGCACCAGTCACAAACACACGCAAAGGCTAGTCAATTGTTCACCTGAAAAAAAACTCGGGAATATATGGTAAGTCAAAATAGGGAATTGCATCGGACATAATTTTTGTCACTGATGCGTCAGGAAATTGTTGGAATATGTCCGTTCTGGGTCATGTTCACTTACTTTGGCAGTCCATGCTATAGCAGACAGTTGTTTCATTAGTAGGACCCAGACAGTAGCGGTCGACGCCGGGCGTTCCTCCATTGTTGCAGGTTCTGTTGCGTACCTTGTAGCCTCGACCACAAGTCTGGTAGGTGCTGCACGTACCCCACACACCCCAGGAATCCCATCCTGAGGATAAGGCCAACAAGTTAAAGTGACACGACTTTTTAAGATTATTTTTTGCCCAGAATCAACCCGCACCCAGAATCAAGCAATACAAATACGTGCATTTTTGTGTATGATTGCTAAAGGGGTTGTATCCACGATGGGGTTGTTCACCAAAATCGAATTATTGTGGCACATCTTTTGGACAAAATATATATTTTCTATCTTAATAGGGGAGTAAAATTTGTATTATGTTTGTCGAATGAGAAGGGGTCATTCCGTTATATTCTGTCAAACTATCAACTATCTTTGTCATGATTTTTTAAAAAACAACACGTTCATATTGTAATTATTAAAGGTCTGGCTTACGCGGACAAGCTTGTAGTTGACATGACCCATACTCAATGTCACGGCCATAGCACTTTAGGGGGCTCAATGTTTGGCCAGAGCTGCCATCCTCACAGTTCCTTCTGCGCATGCGCCAGCCCTGGTCACACGTGACGGAGCAGTCATCCCAGTCCTGCCACGTACCCCACTGTGGCTGTAGTTCTACAAACAGCAGACATCGTCAACACTTTCCATGAAATAACATAAAGCAAGAGCTTCCATTACTGATGATGCTGTACTATTTACATGTATGCAGGCAGAACAAGATGGACCAAACAAATATATTAAAAACACGCATCAAACCTTGTGAAAAGTCGTCGTAAAAACGAGAACCACAACGTTTAGAGGATGACTCTGAAGTCATTTCTTTCATACATCGAGTTTTTCCACGACCTTATTAACAGCTAACGCCTTATATTACATCTATTCCATTTGACATTACTTTTAATTGACACAATCATGCATAGCTTTAGGGACGTTTGCAATGTAATTTTTAGCAAGGAAAACCAAACATCTTATTTCCGCGTCTCAAACATTAGGAATATGTTCCTCAAGATTCACGAAGGAATCTTACCTTCCGCGTTGCAGTCGGGTCCACCCCATCCCTTGTTGCACACACAGATTGCCACGAGTTGGTCGTCAGTCGTCTTGGTCTCCAAACAACGTCCGTGGCTGTGGCAGACATCATCGGCACAAGGCCCTAACGCTTCCTGGACATACAATGAACCCTGTTTAATTCGGACCACCATTGCGGAGGAATTTTGAATTGTACATGAATTTCATCAGCTCACAGAGGGTATAGACTGCTGCAAAACATAATTCCAGTCTAAGCTCACACGTTACAATCTATAATCTGTCGGAGGAGGAGGGGTGGGCACGGTTGGCCCAGTTGCTGTGCAGAAATGCGTCCCTTGGGCATGCCAGATACCTATGATTGTGGGTTCAAATCCGGTTCGCCCCGATTATGTTTCTAGGTTTGTCATCACCATATCTGTGCTCGTGGGTTTCAGCGAAGTGGTAAACGTCTGAGACCCGCATCACTTCGGACTTTTCTCCCACATTAAGCTGACACGCAGGGATATAACTAGAATACTGTTAAAAGTGGCGTTAAACCCAACTCACTCACTCACTATAACCTGTAGCTTTGTTTCGGTGCATTATCATGGTATTATTAGATTATTGCCAGCTTTAGATAGAACATACATCGCAGACATGAGAGAGTTTAGTGTTTGGTAGACCTGATTCAAATTGCTTATGCTCAAACACAATTTTGAGCAGATCAATTGTGCCATGGAGTTGTCATGTATTTTGGGAAGTTGCTTAAATCGGAATTGCTTGTCGGGTATGCGACCAGAGGGGACATTCTGTTGTAGTGTTAACAACCATTTCAAACAAAGTCCCGAATCATTGCAGTGTCATGTAATAAAAATAATGTAGTTGCATGTGTCATGACACATATAAATAAATAATTACAAAATTACCTAATAGTAATCATATGTACACATATTGTTCAACTCTGCAAATATCCCAACGACAATTCAAGAACCTGCACATTAGCATTCCATTTAGATTCATGGTGAAAGTAAATGTTAATTATATTATCCGATTTTCGGGAGAATACATTTTACGTTTCAATATAACATGTCAGCGCTGATGGATAGGAATTTCACAATGGTCAGCCAAAGACGGAAAGGAGATCGAAATGTTGACTTACAGCTTATACCCAAGTGAATAATTACATGCATGACACATATTCTAGTGCATGATTGAGGAACATACTTCATATCCTTAAAGGGAAGAAATTGAGAGATTTCAGATTGATATTATATGTTTATATGTCAACAGAACAAAGTGGAGGGTGCGGGCAAGGTCTATCTTTTCCTAAATAAAAGAGACAAAACCGTTTTCAATATTCATAAGAAATATCTGACAAAAATAGAGTCGATACAACATCTCCCCCGCAATCTACATCGGGCGCCATGACCGAATCCGGGCAATTTGATCAACATGTACTTAAAAATCAAGTTATATATCACTTCAACATCATCATGCCCTTCATAATGGTGTTATTTTAGATTCGTTATCATTTCCTCTCTTATGAACTGTGTTGGATGAAACAAACCAATCAGAGATGGCAACCAGTACAATGGCATGTGCACGTGCAGTAACACACTGTATATCAGGTGACTATTCGTGACACTTTCTCACGTGCGAGCGAGACGTACATGTACACTGTACGATGGAGTCTGGGGACGACTTCGTTACTGGAGAAATCACTCGAATCTGTTGATTCTACTTCTACTTCATAATTGCTTAATTAAGAAACTCAAAACAAAATCAAAAGCACGTGTTTCAGAACCAGTTTATTATATCAACATTATCGACCAGAAGGTCTCTATTTCTCTCCCTTCTACAAAAACTACATACAAACGTGAGTGGGCAGTTTCGGCTTTCTCTAAATGGGAACAAGAACCACTTAAAAGTGGTGATGGAAATCTCGACATCAACGCAAGGCCACAACTATGGTACAATTATTTCAAACAAAGCCTCACATGAAATCTGGGTTGGATTGATAGGGTAATTGTATAACTATATTGTACATACACACACACACACACACACACACACACACACACACACACACACACACACACACACATTAATATATATATAATGAAAGAGTCAAGAGCTAGTCAGGGATATTCGACTCATACGAGTTCGACACTAGCTTTGACTATAAATTTCAATGATTTTCAACTGTAAAGCATATCACTCATCACTGACGTTCATCCGTGGAGCAGGATACCCTTAGCTTTTCGCGGACACCCGGTATTATCACTTTTTGATAGTGGATCATAAAGACATGGTCGGAACGTACAACTGCCTCTGCTCTCAGCAGAAATTTCTCATGAATATGGAAAGGGTTTTGTCGCTTTTATTATTATTGTTGAATTGATTCCCGAACAGCAAACATTGATATTTTGTAAAACTTGCAGTTCTCAGGACTGCAGTGTTTTCTTGGTGGGACTTGTTAACAGACGTGCGCACATGATAGTGTTATCACTTTATACACACTGAAATCTGTGATAAGATATTTTATAACCGTGTAGGGTGAGAAAGAATAAATAGAAGAAAAGTGCCCCTTGTCCAACCTTCATCTGCCATTAAAACAACAACTTCACCCCTTTCAAATTCAATGAAAGACAATAATCGTTTCTATAACTCGATAAAACTCTATTTGGTCCCACATCCGATGTTCAATATACAACAGAATATATATACTGAGAATTCAACATTGTACACCAGTGGGACTTTAACCAGCAAAAATGGTATTACACAATGATATTTTGGACATCCTAGCTGATATTAATAAGGAGGTTATACAATTTGTTGGTGGTAACTTTAATGCCCGCACTTGGACTGACCCAGATTACGTACAAGACGATGTTGTTGTGAAAATACAACACAATCTTACTTACTATCTGTTACATCTCTTTAGTTTATCACGTTCATCTTGTGACAAACTGTTAACAATTTTGAAAAATGTTTGTTATTCCTACGTTCAGTTTTATATCATGAATGGTAGACGTGCGTCAGATTCGGATGTTGGTGATATTAAGTTCGTTTGACACAACGGGGCAAGTGATATGAATTATGTTATTTGTTCGTCTTTATTCTTTAACCAATGTAGAGATTTTACCATTGCTAGGAGAGCAGAGCCTTCACTCTTAAATCTTACTGTCACTTTGTCTGCAGCAAATGATGGGAAAAGTAACCAAGATTTTATATCTAGTTGTCAGATCTTAAAAATTTGTGTTGGATCATAATACATTGGAACAATTTCAGGACGCTCTTTTCTTTTCACAGGTTCGGAATATATTAACAGAAACAGCGGAAACGGCGCTTACTGATATTGATGAGAGTGTTGGTTTTGAAGAAGCAATTTGCTACGCTGGTATGTGTATGAAGAAGAAGCTTAGAGGTACAGTAAACTACGTTTATAACGAATACGCTTATAACGAACTGACGGATATAACGAACTGTTTTGGTGCCCCGTCCATTTGCTGTTCATATGCTGTATATATGCATATAACGAACTATGGTTATAACGAACTTAAATTAGTAATTCCTTTGAGTACGTTATAACCGTAGTTTACTGTAGTATTATAAACATGAATTGGTTTGATTCCAAATGTGAGTTTCTCAGAAAGGAAGATGTAGATGTTTGATTATATTTCATTAGAAGATTTTATTCGTGCAAGGAACGTGTATTATAACTAGGGTAAACGGGAAAAACAAGAATACTAAATAAAATAAGCATGGATAAACTCGAAAAGTCAATTTCCGACTCAAAGCGCTTCTGGGGAACACTGAAGAACTTTCGTGCAGAGACGCATGCTTGTAACAATACAGACCTAGGTACACAGTAGGATCATTTTTAGACACTATTGTCTTTTCGAAATAAACAATGAAGATATGCTTGAAGATGGTCACTCGTAAAACAATGAAAGTTGTATTGTAGAAGATATTCTAGATTCACGCATCACAAATGAAAAAAAATTACGTCAAGTGCAAACTGCTTCAAGAATAATTAATCACTTGCATTTTGATGACATTTTACCGGAAGTTTTCAAACATTCGCCTGATATTGTTGCACCATATTTAGAATATCATTTAATTACATTTTTAAAAATGCAACATTTCACAAAGTTTGGTCAGTTGGTGAAATCATCCAACTACAGAAATGATCATTATAGATGAATCACATTGTTAGTATATTTAGCATAATATTTGTGCATGTTAGAATAAAAGGCTCTCGTTTGGTGCTGATTCATTTGATAAAATAACAAAATCGCAGGCTGGTCTTAGAGAGGGTTATACTACCACAGAAGGGAAAAAAGTTGTTCTCAAGTTTTGTCCATTTCAGCAAAGCGTTCGCCTCATTACAGCTTGATAAGTGTGGCCTATACTAAGGCACCGTAGACTCAACAGTGCAAAAATGTCAAAATTACTATCATCCATAAATTGATAAGCAAAAAACATCTTCTTAAAAATATCAAAATTACTATCATTCATACATGAACAAGCAAAAAACATATTCTTCGGTATTTTAAAAAAACCCCTGAAAACTATTGGTGATATAAATTTTAATGTGTTTCTTAAAATATTTGATAAAAACATAAATCCTATTCTGTTATATGAGGATGAGTAAGTTAGACATTGTTGTGAGACTACGTACATATTCAAGCGACTTCTAGGAGTTAAATCAACACGCAAAATGTAATTTTTGGCGAAACGGGTACATTCCCTCTATCTTTAAATGCACAGGTAAACATGTTGAAATATCATTGGTACCGATTATTACAAATGCCTTCCTATAGATATAAAAAATGTTAAGATAGAATGGTGATGTATCGTCAAATGTCAATGAACTGGGTTATGGGTATGGCTGGCAAAGTCAAAACGTAGACTATTCTGATTAATTCATTCAAATATTCACTGAAGACTGAAGGATACGTATATTCAGAAATAGAACGAGATACTTCTATTATCACCAACATCTGAATACTATGTAATGTTCATGTCCCAATACAAAACCGAAGAGTCTTTTGAAATCACTTCTCGATAAATTTGGAAAATCCTTTCACGAATAAGATGCTCTTCGCACAGCCTTCAGATTGAACAAGGAAGATACACACAAATTTCAGTTAGAATTGAGAGAATGTAAGCTTTGCCACTCACGACATTGAAAATGAATATCATTTATACTTTATTTGTCAAGAATTAGAGCATTTGACGAAAAAAAGTTGTGCCCTTAAAATCACAGAACACAAAATATTTATACATTTATCGAATCAATGTCCACTGAAAAGGCTAAGGTTCTAAAACGTGTTATAGCATAAACATTTTATGCAGTGAATTATATAAATACTATTTTAAAGGATTTACTTAACTATATAAAATGTACAATCCATACAAATGTTCTATAGACCTGAGACATTTCAGTATTAGTAAATGAAAATTGATTGATTGAATCCATTTCGTCACTGATCGAGACTGATTTTTCTCTAGCATTGACATTTTATATGTACAGTGAGTAAGTGACTATGGCCTTGCGCCGCCTTTAGCAACATTCCAGCAATATCACGGCGGAGGAAACCGGAAATGGGCTTCACACATTGTACCCAGCGTACAATTCGAAACTACAGTACGCGTGTACCTTGCTATGTGAAAATTCGTGTTTATTATATCGCTTGACTTGATAAAGTTGACATGTTCCATCATGATGTAATGCGGACAAATGCATGCAAGTCGCTATATAAGTACAATAATCTTGTTCGCGACGTTATACTCAATTTCATCTCACATCACCTTTGAGGACAGAATTGAAGGGAACTTACACGGTCAATGCTGTACTCTTCTCGCGCATGGTAGCTCACGTAGTTGGAGGGGGCGTTAATCAAGGCGACAGTCTGATGGTTCTTCCTATTTAGGATGCACTTGCCACTGTCGCTTTCGTAGTTGAAGGAAAGACATTCCGGCTTGCGGAGACACTGGTAGGCGCACAGAGAAACATCTTTCTTGTACGTCTGGTAGAACCAGTGACCTTCAAGGCGCCTTCCCACAGACACATATCCAACAGGTTCGGTAATTGTCCATTTGAAAACCCTGTTGGTAAGATGACTTCCACTGACCAGAGGGATCAAGAAGATGGCGAGAAAAGGGAATAAAGACGCCATAGTTTAGACTGTGGCGACCTGCTTACGCCGAAGAGAGTTCTGGTCTGACAATTACATTTCCAGTAGGTAATTATTACGTGTTGACTGTGAAAAGGAAACGACGCAAATTAACGCCACGGCTTTAGAAAAGGCGAGTCCGATCTAAGAAATTATAAATAATTGATAAATCTGTGAGGCGGGATACCTGTGATTAAGTTCTGGCAATTGACGTTTCATTATTCATGGTTGTTCTGCTTAGCCAGGTAGCACTCATTGAGGCCTTTATCAGATGTCTAACACCCTGGGACTATTGAACCAATCATCATTGAGTACGTCATTGATTTTCTGTCCCAGCACCCACTGCGGTTGCATGTGTCGCTCCCGCAATCTTATCGACGGCCCCCCAGGGAAATATACCTGCATCAAATATTGATTCTAATTAAGCAACTTTTGGCCAAGTGACTTGAGCACTATCTGATCAGGCTATACGAAGTAGGTTTTGATAAGATCCCAAAATACCTACAGCACTCAATTCGTAAGCTTTGAACATTTCAACAAGTCTATTCTACGCAGATATACCTATTGTATATCAAAATGTGTCTTTATATTTGATTGTGGTAATCTTGATTTTCTAAATGTGTAAATATTATTTGTCAATGTCATACATAATGGGAATAATGACTATTTCCATTCGGTGCATCGTGGGTGCAAATGAGTAAGGTATAGTACTGCTGCTGTTGTTATCATAATAATAAGCATCACAAGCGCGGTTATATAGATATAATAGTCCTGATATTAATCGTTCTTCTCGTCGACCAAATTATCATCTTTCACAATCAACGCGATTTCGGACAAAGTAAGGGACGAGTGGGGGACCGCGGAGAGGTGGGGGGGGGGGGGGGGGGGGGGGGGGGGGGGGGGGGTCTTAGGAGGGAAGGGAGAATGTTGGCCGAGATTTTGTATCGAGATTAGATATTTTTTTTCAAAACCAGATACTTTTTTATTTAATCTGTGAGGATGAATTTTAAGATACCCCCCCCCCCCCCCCAACCTGGTCTGTCTATTCAAAAGGTTCTCAACGCTGCTTTGCTTTATACGCCTAATGGGTGAGTGAGTGAGTATGGTTTTACGCCGCTTTTAGCAATATTCCAGCAATATCAGGGCGGGGGACACGAGAAATGGGCATCACACATTGTGCCCATGTGGGAATCGAACCCGGGTCTTCAGCATGACGAACGAACGCATTAACCACTAGGCTACCCCACCGCCCCTACGCCCAATGGATAATTGAGACTGGTTGGTCCCTGACATTTACGTTTTATATTATCACACTAACCACTCCCTAAAAGCCGCTACCGTCACTCGCCTGTACGATAGCGGTTTAGATGGACAGCTGATTGCTGAAAGAACAGGTCACAGATTGACAGCTATTCGAGCGAAAGTACAAGCGTAACTGCATTTTGAATAATCATATACTCAACAGCAACTTAATAATAACACGCCTGTCATGTAAAATCAAGATACATTTAATCTGTCACTTATTCATAGCCTTAAATTGTATTGACGAATTCCCGGCCCAGAAACAGATATTTGCACTGGCGTTATATTCGCATACTTGCATATAAAATATATGTACTTTGAAAATGCGTGTTACAATTTTGATGGAGACACATTCTCCTTTTCACCTACGTTTTCTTAGATATTTGCAAACTGAAAGTGGATTTTGAAAACCAGTAACCAGAAAGAGGCGCACACTTAGTTGTATTCCTCTGTTTTGTGTGTCAATATATCGATTGGGTCACAGTTTAAATAGAGTGAAATTGTGAATTAACCAACAATTTTACCTATTTGCCACTTAATGTTAAATGTAACTTTCAGTACAGAATTATATGATTTGGAGGCGTTATGTATTTATTAATATCTTATAATAACAGTAACCAACCCAGTACAGGTTACCAGCAGAGCGTTTCTCGCGGATTCTAATCCAGCATCATTCCGTACGCGTGGTTGTGGATTTACTCAAATAAAGTCCCCGAATTGCGGGGTGTCAGTACATTAAGCGTTTGTTTCCTGGACACATATTGACTAGTCCATGATGGTTTTAGATATATTATGTCGCCACATCGGCGACTAGTCACTACAACCTCCCGTCACTGACACCGGTAACGTCAAGAGACCCGAGAAATGTACAAATTCTGAAACTATACACGCGACAGTGCCATAGAAAATGATATGTAATAGAGATGATTATTACCGTGATGGAGATACTTCTGTTTGAATTGAACCTGGTCAGTATCTAAAAGTAGGTCGCCAATAAACGATAGAAGGTCTGACATATGCATAAGTAGGTCACCGATATGCGAAAGAAGGTCATCAATACACGAAAGATATGTGCTGCTTATTTCAGCGAAGAGGGATATGTTGTGTAATGGAAGTAAATTTAGGTTTAAATATGCTTCTTGTTACGATATCAAAAACATATAAATTATACTCTACGGAAGTAGATAGATAGAGCGGGAAATATACTGAACCGCAAAAGAAACGTCACCATGGATAGATATATGAGAAACCTTATTTGTCCAAACACTGTAAACATACTTTGAGACTTATTAAAAAGATGAAACTTGGCAAAACTGATCATCAAGGTTGAAATCAAGGTGTCAAATGTTCTAAAAGTGAAACATAACACTAGTCTCTGAGAAAATGGCATCAAAAGTCAGTATCTCGTGTGTCCGCCATGTGCATTAATGACTGCCGTGCAACGTCGATACATGGAATGGATGAGGCGGTTGATGAACGCCATAGGCACTTGCGCTCACACTCTGAGGAACGCCTGACGCAGTTCAGCTGCAGTTGTTGGCCTGGGTCGGACGTCATTCAGCCGTCTTTGAATCTCGTCCCACAGGTGCTCATTGGGATTTAAATCTGGACTGAGGGCAGGCCACTGCATGGTTCTGTTGCCATTCTGCTGGAGAATGTCTCTTGTTGCCATCGCAGTATGGGTACGGGCGTTATCATGCTGAAACTCGTGATTGTGGCGACGTGCCAAATGAGGCAAAGCGTGTGGTCTGAAGACTTGATCAACGTACCGAGCTGCTGTGACTCCATTGCCTCTCCCTGGACCGATGTTCTGGAAGACCACAGGGCCGACCCTCTGTGCAAGACCAATTCCACCCCACACCATGATGCTCGGACCACCCCACGAGTCTCTCTCAACAACACTAGCATCCGAATGACGTTGCCCACGGCGTCGCCAGACTCTCTCTCTCTATGCCATCTGCTGTTGAGATACAGTAACGGCTCTCGTCCGAGAAGAGGACTCTTATCCACTGCTGGTGGCGCCAATGCTGGTGATGTGTTGCCCAGTGAAGACGGTTCCGGCGATGACGTGGTGTCAGAATGGGTCTTCGTTGTGGCCTGTGACAGTGGAGGTGGCTGCTCGTCAATCGTCGACGTACGGTGTCCGCATTAATGTGTCGCTGGTGTGTCCCCATGGTCTGTCGAGTAGTTTCCGCAGCAGTAACAAAGCGATCTTGGAGATGCTGTCGCACAATCTGACGATCCTGACGTCAGATGGTGACCCTTGGTCTTCCACTACGTGGTCGGTCATCTGTAGTGTTGGTGGTCTGGTACCATTGCTGGAGCCTGTATATGGTCCTTACGTGGACTTGAAATGCATTGGCTACTTGCCGGGCGGTTTGTCCAGCTTGCTATCGTCCAAGGGCTTGGTGTTACTGATTTCTTGTCAATCTTGGCATGTGGTAGCAATTCAATACCGAACGAATGTTATCCGATCTGGGTGGATTTTTATAGGGCAGGAAATGGGGGAACGCATGTGCATTTCAATTTGCACGGAACTCACGTGCATCGGGTTACCATGGCCGTTGCCGTGATGCGTTTGGGCGATCGGTTTCATTGTCATCTGCTTTGTTTTTTTATCATCAAATTTCATTTTTTCCGGACAAGGTAAGGTTAAATGTAAGAGACTTTGACAAAAATTACCCAGATATTGAAATGACAACTTTCCATGCAATGTTACTTGGGGTGACGTTTCTTTTGCGGTTCAGTATAGTTGATAATAATAATTTCCCCGGTATAAAAATAGAATTATATGGTATAAAAGTTAGAAGATAAAAAGCACCAACAATATTTTTACCGTTTAGAATATTCAATGTAACGGTTACCTAGATACTAAACTATGGATGAGAGGCAGGGGTATAAAAAATTATTCAAAACTCAACAAACAATTTCCAATACGTAAGTCGGGGTACCGACACCGATCGCGAGCTATCTTCGAAGCTCACTTCAAAGAGTGACACTAAATATGGAAAATATTTAAAAGCATAATACTGACTATGATGCTGATACAAATAAAATCTCATAAAAACTAACAAACATAGCACATATGGCATATATTGCCATAAGACATTTCCATAGAATTAACACATCAAGCAAATCTAAAACAAACTTTTATAGTGTGTATAAGTCATGAGCAAAGATGGACGACCATTTACGTTTTAGGACTGTCTTACCAAAGTCAGGATTACTACATTCAGAATTAGGGCGGATACTTTTCTCGAATGGTACATATTTTTAGGAGGTGCTTTCCAAATTGAAACGAAAGCGACAAAACCCTTTCCATATTCATACGAAATATTATATTTTATACTTGTAGGGTCAATTGTTCGATTCCGGCCATATCACGAGCAGGGGGTTATGTATCACTGTCAAACAGTGAGGATACGGATGTTCGTGAAAAGGTGAGCGTATCCTGCCCCATCGGTGGCACCCGTCACAAACACATGCAAAGGCAAGTCAATTGTTCACCTAAAAGGAAAACGGTAACATATGGTACACGTCAAAATAGGGAATTGCATCGGACATCAATTTCTTGAAATGTCCTCCACATGTCTACTGTCACACGTTTTGAAAGCATCACTGAGACCTTGAATGTTGTAACCTTGATCAAACAACCGCTGAACAACAGTCGAATGTACCGAGCTAAATTCTGAATTCAGAACAAAATCACTTAATAGATAACAAGTAACATTGAAACACAGTTTTATGTTTACCATCAATCAATACAATATATTCCAGCAGCAGCAACAATAGGTACATGAAGTAATATGCCCTAGAATTAATTAAGTGCAGGATTATCTAGAATGTTATCGTTGTAAAATGTCTTGAAAGTGGTCTGTCGTGGTTTCTAAATCCAGAACAGTGTTGGAAGCTTGCACGAATTCGGTGTTTTGTGCTCTTGGCAAATAGATAAGACACAAGTCAGGTCGTAAAATACCATTGTGTGGCTGACATACAGGTACAACCAGCCATCTCGAAGCTGTCTCATCGCGAAACTTCTCGATCCTGGGCCCACTTGCACAAAGCGATCTTAGTGCTAAGATGATCGTAACTCCCATACTTTAGCATAGGCTTACAATAGTCTTAGCGCTAAGATCGCTTTGTGCAAGTGGGCCCAGGACAGATACATCTAAATTCTGCTCTTCCGGTTCCGCCGACAGCACTCAGCGTATACAGCAATAACTCCAAACAACCTTACAACCACCTCTATTGTCACATAACGATAGCCTCAAGTATTGCAAATTTGAAAATAATATAACAAATAAACACATATGCTATGCTCTACTGAACGTTTGTTTATTTTGAACCTTATGTTTAAGCTTCTATTTGAAATTTTTTTTCATGAATATATAACAAATTAATCTCTTCCTACGTCCTCTTGCTTATAGGCCAAACGAATGGAAATGCTATGGTCTCTCTGTTTTGCCTAGGTAGTGATCCCGAGGTCATCAATAATCTCAGGGATTGGCTTGTCCTATTTATGTAATATCTCATATCTATCTCACGGAAAGGACGTCTGCCGCCCTTACCCAATTTAAAAATCGTAAATGTAAACAATCAGTAGGCGTCATTATACCAGCAACCTTCCGCTTTCAACACAAGTAGCCTCGTCACAGTTGAAGCAGGCACCTGAAGCACAACTCGCCGTCATGACGTCGCTGTGGCTGATTCTCGTTACAAGTAGGTACATGTGTTAAATGTCTGGTGTATGGCATATCACATATATTCTGAATTAAAGAATTGTTGAACATGTGAGATGGTTCTTTGGATATACAGTAAAGTACGTTTATAACGAAAACGCTTATAACGAACTGACCGATATAACAAACTTATTTTTTAGTCCCGACCATTTGTTGTATCAATGCTGTATTTATGCCTATAACGAACTACGGTTATTACAAACAAAAATGAGTGGTCCCTTTGAGTTCGTTATAACCGTAGTTTACTGTACAGCTTCTTTGTTACAATGAACGCGACGTTTCGGTGAAGATACTAAGATACTGTTACGAAACAGTTGATCATAGAACTATCTCACTTGTTCATAATACCAACTTCAAAAGCCACAATTTTTGATTCCTTTGATTCCAATCAGACGCCACCACCTTTGCATGTGTTTGTGATTGTGCCACCTGGTATCTTCACTATTGGTAGTAATTCATAAACACGTGATAATGATAATTCATAAACACGTGATAATGATATAGTCGGAATCGCACATGGACTCAGCTGTAGCAGATATTTCTTATGATTATGGAAACGTTCTGTCGCTTCTAGTTCCAGACTCAGGGGATTCGGACTGGATTTCAGTGTAGATCATGTATCAACATTGGGACACTTCAATGGCATAGTCAGATTATGGACGGCTTTGAGAAGGAAATCTGTTTCAGGCAGGCCTTTCTCAGAGCTTATCGGTATCAGAAGTCACTGTAGGTTATGCCACGTGATAAAATATACTCTTAAAAAAAGTAGGGGAAACGATAGTGAAGTATGATAGTAGATGTTATGACAGCGAAGAATTTTGAAGTGGTGATGGGGCATTTCAAAGTTTGGATCAGGAGTGCATAATACTGCCACGATTTGTCCAACATTCATTCACTCGATGAGGCATACGACGTATAAGTGTCTTGGTGGATGTGAGGAAGTCTGACCCACCCTTCTTGCAGCACCTGGCCAAGTTTAGTCAAGTTGGCGGCCTATGGCGTTGACGCACACGTGTTCAGTGAGGGTAGTGTCAGGGTTCATTGCTGGCCATGGCACTCTTTGGATGTTGTGCTGGGGGTGAGCATTGGCAATTCGTGCACGGTGAGCAAGGGCGTTGTCGTCCTGAAAGACAAAACGTCAACCCATACGCCTTGCAAACGGGACAACAAAGGGTGTCAGTATGTTGTCCCGGTAGTACTGTCGAGTGACCTTTCCTTAACAACGTGGAGAGGGGTTCGGTCAGTCATAGTGATGCCACCCCACCGCATAACGATCTGAATCTTTCATGAGGACTCAGGGTTGACATTGGATTGACCTTCATTTAATCATCGCCAGACACGACCACGCCTATCAAGGAAGAACAAAGTGAATCGGGAGTCATCTGAAAACATGATAAGTGACCTGAGACGATGACCCCAGTTTCAACGTTATGTACACCATTGACGTCTGTTGGCAGTATGACGATTTGTACAACACGTGGCCCTCGAGCATGGAGATGCATAGTTTTTCTAATCGTCTGACCCCGTAACTCGTAAACGGGTAGCCTGATGAAAGTTTGTAGCAATTTGATTCACCGTCTGAGCTCAGTTTCTTAGCGCCTGGTTTCGGATTATTTGGTCCTGTGCTCTCGTCTTTGACCTGGGACGTCCTGAATGGGGTCAATCGTCAACATTTTGGGTGTGTTAGTACCTGTTCTATGGTCTCTTAATCACAGACTGTGAAACAGTGAACGCATTGGCCACTACACGTGAATTCTGCCAGTTTTCAACATGCCAATATCTCGAAGTTCTCCGCGCGTTGCAGACACTGCATAGCTAGTTCGTACACAAGTATATCACAAATGTATGATAAGCAGTATCAGTACGATTGACAGATATAATGGTCCTCAGAGAATTATCGACCTTCAATGAAAATGTCAAAATCAGGAATGACACCCTACGCATGTGTGTGGCGCTACAGAGTGAAGCACGTGCAAACTATAGGATGCGTTTTGGTGTTAAGTTTTCCAGACAACAGTATGCACAGTATGTTTGTCAACAGTTATTTTTTGTTCTGATACTTGGTAGTGACATATATAATTCATGATCCCCTACCTTTTATGAAGTGTAAAGATTAAAGCCCCTATCTCACATTCAAGAATCTGAACACGAATGAACACGATTTAACGTTTTTCCTTAAATCGTGTTAGAACGTATGAAGGTCGCGCATTCATTCGTGTTCATTCGTGTTAAGTCGTAGTCGGTCGCGCGCGGTCGGATGGACGTCGCAGCTCGGCTTAAATCGTGTTATAAATTTTTGCAATGCAAAAATTTATAACACGATTTAAGCCGAGCTAAAAAGTCGTGTTCAGTCGTATGAAGGTCGTATGAAGGTCGTATGACAGCCGTGTTCAATCGTATGGAGATCGTGTTCAATCGTATGGAGATCGTGTTCAGTCGTATGAAGATCCTGTTCAGTCGCGTTCAGTCGTGTTAGGAGCGTGGAAAGAAACTCATACGACCTTCATACGTTTTAACACGATTCAACACGACTTTCATACGCCTTTCATACGACTCCCATACGCCTGAACACGAAATCCATACGTTTGTCATACGACCGGAAGAGCCCATCACGTGACTGAGTGAGAACGTGGGAAACCCCCTGAAAGTGAAAGCTCATTCTAAAGCGTAGGCGTCGCAGAGTGAGGAACAGGCAGAGATTCTGGGTTCGACCATGGTTGTTGAGGAGACTTCTGTATGGGCAGTATGACGCCTAAGCTGCCTCCTTCCCCTCACCATCAAAGCCATAGCTACCAGAAGTACTTCCTCCTCCTACAAAGCTGATTCTTGCGGGTCTTGTTCGTTGTTGAACATGGTGAAGACTGACACAGAAATGCTGTTGCAATGCAACTTATATACTACATGACCCACGTGACCAAAATAAACAAAAATATGTCGTAGGAAGGTCTTGCTCAATCGTATGGAGATCGTGTTTATTTTGTCAAGATAGGTGACTTTCTAGCGCAACGACTGTAATAAGTGAGTGAGTGGGGTTTTACGCTGCTTTTACCAATATTCCAGCAATATCAGGGCGGGGGACACCAAAAATGGGCTTCACACATTGTACCAATGTCGATAATCGAACCCGGCTCTTCGGCGTGACGAGCGAACGCTTCAACCACAAAGCTACCCGACCGCCTCTGACTGTAATAAGCCCGTGTTAAGTGTAACAGTGAACAGTGACAATAGCTTCGAGAAATGGAGTTCTGAATAGAACAATAGAATGGTACTTGCACAAATCCCCAGACTATAAAATCCCTTTGAAAACGTATGTTATCAACATCCATTGCAGGAAGCATGACTGACAACGTTTGTAAGATCTATAACCTTAAAAGTCTTAATTGGTGATTAAACCATATTGAAATTAGTGCGCACAAGACATCAACATATCAACAAGTTCAGTCGAATAAATTCGGATCTACGGAGCTATGTCAACGCTATTGTTTCCCAAACGCCAACACGCTAACCTTTAGAGAACAGGGCTTTCAGCAAACGGACGTATATATATATATTGTATAGTGGCACAGGTCATAGACGTGAGATGTAGGTGACATTGTTACCAATCACTGGTGGGACTGGAGGTCGAGTATTAAAAGGTCACCGAGATAAGTTGTAATCATTCTGAAGAAATAGATTCGATATCCCGCTCTCTATCTTCCACTTTAATTTCAATAGCTCAGCCTCTCTGATATGGAAAATTCCATGTATTTGGCGAAATATATTTTGTTTCGCTATACTAACTTCATGCAATGTTTAGACATATTGTTAGACATTCCGAAAAGCCGCACTATTTATGATAAGACAATATCTACTTATTCTTTTTCGAGTTGATGTTATCAATTACGGGCTATGTTATGCGCAGGTTTGACTGTCATGAGTAGCAGCGGTGTCAAAGGCACGACGTCATCTACAACAGCCACAGTTCCTGCAACACAGGGGATGGCTGTGACTTCATCTATTACTATTGCATCTACGTCTACGTCTACTCCTACGTTTACGTCTACTCCTACATCTACGCCGACGCCCACATCTCCATCAACACCTACATCTCCATCAACATCCAAATCAACGTCTACCTCAACGTCTACCTCAACATCTACCACAAAATCTAACTCAACGACAAGCTTCAGACCACAGACAACGACGAAAGCTCCAAATCCGTATAAAAACCAAACTGTTTGCTTCAAGTATGTAGGCTGCTTTGACAACCATCCTCCTTTTGACAACGCCGGATATGACGTCCCTGACTCGCCGGATATCATCGGGACCAAGTTTTGGCTGTTCACGAGGGCGAATCCTACAAATAAACATGTCCTACTATACCAGAATGTCTCAACCTTTGCATCTGTAAATGCATCTAAACCGCTCAAGATAATCACTCACGGATTTTCCCAGGATGCATCAGCCGATTGGGTGGTGAAGATGAGGGATGCGTTTCTCAGTCTCGTAAGTAGTATGAGTGAGTGAGTCAGTATGGTTTTACGCCGCTTTTAGCAATATTCCAGCAATATCACGGCGGGGGACACCAGAAATGGGCTTCATTGTACCCATGTCGGGAATCGAACCAGGGTCTTCGGCGTGACGAGCGAACGCTTTAACCACTAGGCTACCCGACCGCCCCCGTATGACTATCAAATGTTATACAATGCATTATTACTTTTAACGTTCGAAACACTGAATAATTGTCAATTATTTTCAATATTTTCAAATTCTAAAAGTGAAAGGTCGTGTAGACACGGAATATTACCAATCAGGACTTTATTTGCGGAAATCTCAAAGCGTTTTCTCATTTGTTCAATTTGGCTAAAAGGGTTTAAGCTTCAAGTATATCGATGTTCTGATGTTATAATAACCTTCAAGTAGCCAGTTCCCTTCCACGGATTTACTCACTTGACCTACAGAAGACCCGTGAGACCTCCTCGTCCGTTTCATATTTAGATCTGTGCATAGAGATTCAGAGTTGGAAAAAGCTCTGAACAAAACTGTATGACAAGAGGGATGACTTCAACTTTCCAATAGTAATCGTTCCCTTCATGTTGAACAATCTTTCATCAGCTCCAGCTCACACATTTTGATGTATAATCGAGCATACTTTTCCAACGAAGATTTCAGAGAGAGACATACGACATTTGCTCAAAAGTTGTTTGATCAAGATCACAACATTCAAGGCCCCAGAAAAACGTTTAAGGGTAGACATGTGGAGGACATTTCCAAATTTAACGCATCATTGACAAATATGATGTCCGATCCCTATTTTCGACATGTACCATATATTCCCGTGTTTCTTTTCAGGTGAACAATTGACTTGCCTTTGCAAAAATCTAGCGTTCTCGCAATTTCGAATTCTCGTGTTTTGGGCATAATTAGCTCGTTTCCAAAAGTCGAGATCGCGAGAATGAGAGATCGCTAGAATGTCCCTTACTAGTACTCCATAGTAATTTTACTACTCCTAACTAGCCGATCCGAATGATAGTCACATCACAGAACGATCTACAATGCACTACGGTTATAACGAACAAAAAGGGACCACTAATATCAGTTCGTTATAACCGAAGTTAGTTATAAGCATATATACACCATATACACAGCAAATGGCCAGGACAAAAAAAAGTTCGTTATGTCGTCAGTTCGTTATAAGCGTGTTCGTTATAAACGTAGTTTACTATATTCAAGTCAAATTTTCACCGATATGAGTTAGAGCATCAGCATTTAAGTAAGCAGGTACTTGGGACTTTGTAATATATTGACAGGAAGATATATAGTATGACGTTTAAAGCATAAGCTTTGATTACGTGTATAATGAAACTTTAATTCAAGGATGACTTCAACGTCATAACGGTGGACTGGAAGAAGGGTGCGGAGTTCCCTAACTACGACCAGGCCGTGGCCAATACACGAGTAGTTGCGACGCAAATTAGGCTAGTCGTAGAAATTCTGGTGCACCGCGGCCTGAAGCTGAAGGACGTCCATCTGACCGGGCACAGTCTGGGGGCTCATACGTCAGGGTACGCGGGCTTCCTCTTGAACAGCAAAGTCGGGAGGATCAGTGGTAAATACGTCCACATTCACGACTTCCTATCGTACAAACTGTTTGATAGGCATTACTTAGAAGTTGACGGATGACAAGGTAGACACAATCCTTCATTTAGTCTTGCTTCACAACGGTATAAGGATCTGTACCGAAACGTCGCTTTTTACAGTATAAAAGAAGTTGTTATCCATAAAATTGTGTCTACCTTACCTATCGTACAAATAAAACTATTGCGTTTAATGAACATCTTTAACCTGAAAATCGTTTATAATTGTTCCATATTCTGTTTGATTGGTAGGGCTAGATCCTGCAGAGCCAAGTTATGAGAATTTGGCCGACATCCTTCGTCTTGACAAAACTGACGCCATTTTTGTTGACGTTATTCATACAAACGGCGCGCCGCTCCTGTCGGGAGGTGCGGGATTAATGCAGGTGTCTGGTCACGTGGACTTCTATGTCAATGGTGGCGAAGCACAACCCGGATGTAAAGGGGGTATTTCTGGAATATTCAGCGGTCTCTTCAGTGGAGGAGGTTAGTCCATAAAATGATTATTTAATGAAACTAAAACAGCAACGATGAGCAGTTAAGTATTCTAAAAAGTAGAAATTACGAAATAATCATATTTGGTATTAGAAATACTCCGAAAAGACTTCAAAGTGTATTTGTAGGTCCTTTGTGCTGTGAGAACTATCGGTAAAGGGATATCAATTTTGTTAAGAGTGTTACTTTTTATAAATTAACTGACTAACAACAAGTTAATATGTTGACGTAATATTCTTAAAAGGGAGAACAATTTCAATAGTTCAGCTTCTGTCTTTCAGTCTGCATACCTTTCTGATTTAGTAGCAAATTAAGCGTTATCTAGGTTCTGTCATGTTTTGAAAAGGTGAGGTGAGGTGAAATTGGGTTTAACGTCGCGTCCAAGATTATTGCACTTATATAGCGACGTGCATGCACGTGTATGTGTGTGTGTGGCTGCTTGTACTAGTCCGGACTGATGCCGATTTATAGTGCTAGCTCACTGAGATACCATGCCGCAGTTTAACATGAATACCCCACTCAGACACAGTATACTGACTCCGAGCCGACCAGTCCTTGTTTTAGCCCCTTAATGTCGAGCGCCAGACAGGGTTACAACAAGTACCATCTTTAAACGTCTTTTGGTATGACGCGGCCGGGGATCGAACCCGGACCTTCCGCTCTCCGGGCGGACGCTCTACCACAAGACCATGGAGGCGGCTGTTTTGAAAAGAATGATCTTTGTCGGGTTGGGAGTACAGAGTACCACAACATGCACGGCTTCGTAAAAGAACGCATCAGAAAATCGCTTTATGAAACATATTAGTACAGGAAATGTTCTTTTTAAAAAATAACGGTTTGCATTAAATTTAAGTTATGGTCAATATGAACGACAGGATTTATTTAAAACGACCTAATCATTGAGCCATATGCGTATTTCAAAGAAACAGTTCGCATGCAGTGTTGGCCTTTGCTGGTAATGGTGTTGTGCATGAGGAATGGTGTTATATCTATGTTACATGTTGTGTTCATAGACGTCGGGAAGACGGTATCCTGCAGCCACGGGCGGTCACACCAGCTGTACGTGGAGTCCATGTCCTCCCCCTGCCCCTTCACATCCTACCCCTGCTCCAGCTACGTGAGTACCCACACTGAAAGCGCAAATATCACTCTACAACTACTGTCAGTGCTCGCTACATTGCCCCTGATCTAGCTTCGTTCGTACCCAGCACTGACTCTGTGCGAATGTGACTCAACAACTGTTCGCTGTGGTACCGCTCTCAGCTACGTGAGTAGCCAACATCGTCTCGATGCATATATCAATCTACAACTGCCCTCAGTGTTCGCTATTTTGCCTCTCTCCAGCTACGTGAGTAGCCAACACCGTCTCTGTGCAAATATCACTCTACAAATACACTCAATGTTCGCGATATTGCCTCTCTTCAGCTACGTGAGTAGCCAACACCGTCTCTGTGCAAATATCACGCTACAAATACACTCAATGTTCGCAGTATTGCCTCTCTTCAGCTACGCCAGTAGCCAACGCTGTCTCGATGCAAATATCACTCTACAAATACACTCAATGTTCGCGATATTGCCCTTTCTTCAGCAACGTCAGTAGCCAACGCTGTCTCGATGCACATGTCACTCTACAAATACACTCAATGTTCGCGATATTGCCTCTCTTCAGCTACGTCAGTAGCCAACGCTGTCTCGATGCAAATATCACTGTACAAATACTCTAAATGTTTGCGATATTGACTCTCTTCAGCTACGTCAGTAGCCAACGCTGTCTCAATGCAAATATCACTGTAAATATACAGTCAGTGTTCCTTATGCAGAACTATTTTGCCGTTATATAATAACTAAAGTAAATCCATGGTAACTAGTTCACTTCCCAGCACTGCTGTGGCTGAGGAAATGTCCAGCACTGTCTCGCTGCAAACATCACTAAACAAACGCGGTAGGGTTCATTGTACTTTCCCTGCTCATGCTATTTGATTATGCAGCATTGTCGCGGTGCAAATGCTGTGGGTCCACGACAAAATACAAGACAAGAATAACTTATTTCAATCTTTTAAATATCAAGTTAATGTCAGCACTCATTATACACAAAGACATTAAATAAGTCTAGGAAAAGGTTAAAGGTCTGTCCATTGTGCACCAGGATGACTTCAAGAAGGGAAAGTGCCTGACTTGTGGTTCTACTGGCTGTTCCCAACTCGGCTATTACGCTGACCAATATGGCGCCCGCGGTAAGATGTACCTCAACACCGGCAGCAAGGCACCATTTTGTGGTACGTCTCGTGATGAATACTCAGATATATATGATGGTTAATTGTTTGTTTCTTTGTTGTTTAACGATGCACTCAGCAACATTCCATTTATATGACGGTGGTCTGTAAATAATTGAGTCTGGACCAGACAATCCAGTGATTAACATCATGAGCATCGATCCACGCAATCGGATACGATGACATGCATCAACCAAGTCAACGGGCCTGACCACCCGATCCCGTTAGTCAGCTCGTAAGACAAGCATAGTGTCCTTTTGCGACAAGCACGGGTTGCTGAAGACCTTTTCTGATCCGGATCTTCATGGGTCATATGTATGATGTAACGATGTGATTCTCAAGTTGAAACGCAAAGGTAAACCCAGAAAAAGCAATTCAATGGGTAAAATATATGGCAGCAATAAATAACAGGCCGATTACACAAATCAGTGCACTCATAAATGTCCAGAGTTTGTCACAGGCGAAAGTGTTGAGTGAGACAAGTGCTCCGTTCTTGAATCCAGGGCTCGCTGGCTGAAGTAAGCAGAAAAGTCTGTGTATTCTGATAAGCATCCCGGCCGCACTGGTCAATAGATAAGTCGAAAGTCAAGACGTAGAAGGTGGCACCACATCGCCCTCGTCTTGCTCCTATATAGGTACAGCCAGACTTCTAGAAGCTGCTACCTTGAAACGCCTTGAACAATGTCGTCAGTTCCGCAAGCGAAATTCTTATGACACAGGCATCTCCGGTTTTATATATTTCCAGGCTACCACTATTTAATAGAGATAGAGACAGGTGCAATGAAAGAGACGGAAGGGCGCTTGTACGTGAAAATGGTGGGCAGTTGGGGTGAGAGCAGCCTTATGGCAGTCACTGGGTGAGTGATTCATCCACACATTTATCCTTCCATCCTCTATCAACCCATCCAACCATCCACTCACCCACCTAACCATATACTAGTATTATCCATCCATCCATCACCCATCCATCCATCCACCCAACAATCCACCCATCCATCCATCTATCAACCCATCCAACCATCCACTCACCAACCTAACCATACATCATTCATCCATCAATTATCCATCCATCCATCCACCCAACAATCCACCTATCCATCCATCTATCAACCCATCCAACCATCCACTCACCCACCTAACCATATATCATTCATCCATCAATTATCCACCAATCCATCCATCCATCCATCCACCCAATAATCCACCATCCATCCAGACACTCACCCACCTAACCATACATCATTCATCCATTATCCACGCACCCATCCATCCATCCATCCATCCATACACCTAACAATATAATATCCATCTGTCCTTCTACCCTTAGTAACCAAACCAACACATCATCCACTTACCAACCGATCCATTAATAAATCCATCCACTCATTAAACCATATATCAACCAGCCAGCCATTCAACAATATGTTCACCACCCATCCACCCTTCCATACTCCCACCAACACACCTACTCATGCATTCATCTGTCCATCCATTCAGCTACTCATCCATTCATACGGTGTTGATTCATTCAATGGACAGATTCCGCCCCGACTATAATACACAGGGCTCCATAATTTACATGTCGTAAATTAGATAGATACAAAATTGTTGACTGTGACGTAAAACAATACTCTTAAAGCAAACTTTAAGTTATCAATGAGACAAGAACATGTCCTCAGATATATTGATACATACAGTAAACTACGGTTATAACGAACTCAAAGGGATTACTAATTTTAGTTCGTAATAACCGTAGTTCGGTATTAGCATATGTACAGCATATATACAAATTTCCGGGACTAAAAATAAGTTCGTTATATCGGTAAGTTCGTAAGCACGTTAAGCGTGTTCGTTATAACCGTAGTTTACTAAAAATTCTAACAAGTTGAAATTTTGATGACGTATACGTATTGACGGAATTTTAAGTCTGTATTGATCAATTATCTGTATCAGGGATGAAAACGTGAACGCCGGAAGTGACATTTTGAAGTTGGTTGTCTCCCTTGAGGAAGTTGGCGATTTGACATCACTGGTGTTCAAATATGTAAAACATACCGGCTTTTGGTTTGCTAACAGTGAAGAGACTATGACCCTTGAGAAAGTCAGGGTCACATCAGGAGAAAATGGCGACAGGTTGTACACATATTTTTTGTTTGTTACAAAAGGGCGATATCGTCACATTACTACATCTATATATATACATGAAATAAACGAAGATTCACTTCAGTCCTCAAACACTTCTAAATTATTGGTTCTAACTTTAGAATAACCAACGAGTTTCCAGGAATACACAGGATGAATGATGTCAATACGTTCATCCGGGGTCAAGTGACGTCAACCTTTGATGGATGACGTCATGGAAGCAATGTGTGACGTCATGAACAATAAATGGCTCGTTTTGATCTAAGCAATGTCGCTGTATGTCGTCATAGTGCTTCAAATGATCAATCCGTTTGGGATACAAATAATGCAAGCACTATTTAATTCGCTATTTCAATCCTTATTGATAACTTGTATGTGAGTGTGGTGAATGTTAGTGTTTGTAATCATGTGATGCATTTATCTATTTCAGTTACCTCTTTTGCTTCGGTGGAAAAGCTGTTCTTCACAATATTGAAGTCAATTCCAAAATAACTTATAGAAAAACCTGCTCATAAAAAAATATCTTCTGTAAAATTGTTTGTGTATTTAAATCAATAGTTCAAATTGCCATACGAAACAGATATACACTAATCTTGAAACACACGGCACAAACACTTCCCTTGTAATCATCATATTAATATAATCAAAATGTTTTCGACAGAAAATATTCAGTCTCGATTATATGCTGAAACATTTCCATCGTACGTAAAAGGCAAAATAGTGATGGAAATTATATGAATGGATAACTGAAAATCAGTGATGACACCAGGTGTTCGGAAAAAGTCAAGCATGTCCTGTTCTACCCGTACCACTCACACAATTATCATATGAAAGAAGGTTTTGTTTGTTACCAAACGCCACACTCAGTAATAATCCTGCTGTACGACTGTGGCCTGTAAACGATCAAATCTGGAACAGACAAGACATCAGTATCCAGAGCTAAAATCCACGTCGTCGAGGAACGACGCGATGGTGTCACTCAAGCCTCACCATTGAAAGGAGTGCCAATATGCACAGAAGTGTGGGAACTCCAGGCATTGTAAAGGACATTGTGGGGGGTAGCATGACGCATCATGTTGGCAAGCAACGTGTCATATTTTGAAAATCCACTGAATGACCACCATTACATTTCTGGGAGAAATGGGGTTGAACGTCGCGTTCAACACTGTTGCACTTATGTAGCGACGTGCATGCACGTGTGTGTGTGTGTGTGCGTGTGTGTGCGTGTGTGTGTGTGTGTGTGTGTGTGTGTGTGTGTGTGTGTGTGTGCGTGTGCGTGTGCGTGTGCGTGCTTGTACAAGTCCGGACCAATGCCGGATTTATATTGCTAGAGAACTGTGGTACCATGCCGCAGTTTAACATGAACAACTGCACTCAGACACAGTATACTGACTACGAGCTGACCAGTCCTTGTTTTAGCCCCTTAATGAGGAGCGCCAGGCACGGCAACAACAAAACCATCTTTTAGTATGACGCGGTCGGGAATCGAGCCCATGGCCTTCCGCTCTCCGGATAGGCGCTCCATCCGCTAGACCAAATTTCTGGAATGACTTGACCACGCCTTGGATGATGAGACGTTATTTATTTTATATCAAACGAAAATATACTAATAAAAAATGAGCAACGATCACAATAACGTTTTTGTCAATAGTTACAATGTAACATCATGACTATTTAAAGTCAACTTTATAATCATAAATTTTCAAGAGCAAGTATAACGATTAAACGAATCAAATGGTAAATATAGATCAAAGTACGCCGTAATGTCTGTCAGGTGTTCCCTTATCATACATAGAATAACTTACACTATGTCTTAAAATGCAACAAATGGCTATTGGTATTCTGTAACTTCATCGATCCTAAGATGTCCTTTGACCATTATTATGATAACTATTAAGACACTTCTAATATGTATTAATTACGTTACACATGTGGGCGGGATCCACCTGACTTGGGTGATACAAGCGGTTTGTGGTTTAACCAGGCTCAGACTACTGTTGGAAGAAGTCGTGTCTTGTTATCAGTGGTCAGAGTCTTCTCTGACCTCGTAACGGATCACACCTGGCGGTCATTCCAGCAAGTGTTGTGGTCCTTGGAGGTCGAGTTGACAAGCGGATAAAACTAGGACACTCGGGAATCAATTTCAGCCAGAGCCATGTTGCTTTGGAAGGTGTTTCTTGCTGGTAGGTGACCGGGTATTTGTTAACACCGGATGCCTTGTTGCTGTAAATTGTGGAAGTTGCTTGCGGGTGGCCGGGTATGTGTTTACATTGGATGCCTTGTTTTTGTAAATAGAGGAATTTGTTTTTGGGTGACTTGGTATTTGTGAATACCGGATGCCTTGTTGCTGTAAATTGTGGAAGTTGCTTGTGGATGACCGGGTATTTGGTGGTACATGTACCATGTCGGTGTCATGTTGGAGTAAGCAGTGCGTTCCAGCCTTATATTACCGTCTTCGCCATGCTTGTTGTTTTGACACAGGTCCATCCGAGTTACCACCCAGTATATGAAGAGGGCGTCATGGAAAATGATAAATATAAAATTCTTTGGAATAGGCTCGTATACAACCTCAGACTTATCCAGGCCAACACATCTGATCTTGTCCTTTTTAATAAATCCAATGAAATAATTTGATCATTCAATTTTCTGTCCACTTTGACACTAATGTGATTGACAAAACATGGCAAATATGCGGACATCGCTTTCGAAATGTTACGCTTGCATCCCAAGAACCAAGTTGTCCGACTCCCCATTGTTCTCGGTGCCTTAGGTTTGGTACCTCCCAATATGTTGACTGACATCGGGAGAGTACCCGGGTTTGCTGCCGGCCCTTTTTACAATCTGGGTAATGCAGAAGGCTGCAGTGTTGGGGATGGCTTCAAGATGGGTTCGACTAGGCAGCGCTTCCTTGGAGAAGTCCAATTCGCTGTTTGGGCTGCGTATAGAAGGGGATAGGGTCTTGAGCTGATGATGAACCTAACCAACCTGACTGTGCTAGGATCACTAAACCATCTTTGTTGCATTTCTGTATTTTAACCGGTATATAATAATAACAATGATGCTATTTGACTTTTGTAACGTTCCAAGAAATGTGCCGATTTTCTTGACTTTTAGAGATGACCGAGTAGGATATCTAGATTTGAATGGAAGAGAGTTCCATTGCAATTGTGAAGCAGCGGCATATTTACTGGTATGATCAATATCCAAAAGTCTTGAGTTTATAAGATCGAGTGTTGAATTCGAAATGGTCGATAAATCGAAATGCACGGACACGTCATATGCTTGAGATCACATCTTGGAATTAAACCGAGTCAGAGTCAGAAGTTTGAAGTCAATCCGCTAGCGTATCTTGAGCTAGTGATGTTCGGGTGGCGATGTCTTCACGCTCACAAATTACAGAGTTGTATGTTATCCAAAACAGCGTTCTGTATTATTCTTCATTCAGAACTGATATGCGTTCGTTTACGTTTTCGAAATACATTATCATGTAATCGCTCGCTCGTTCTCAATCCTTCACGCTGGGCTTGTCAGATCCTGACGGGAAGAGGTATTACAATCGGAGTTAAAGGTCTGATTATAAAGAGACTGTCCTTCTTGGTGGTTGGTTAAAGGACTCAGATGAGCAGGTGTTATTATAAAGTGGTATTTGTTGATTGGTGATCAGGGATATGTGTAGGATAAAACAAGTCCAAGGGTTTTTGTAAGATTTTAAACCCTCATCCAAGCATTTTTAATCTCATAAAACCACGAAAAGAAGTTTTTAATTTTACTTATAAACCGAACGAAAAACCTGAAACAACATTTATCAAGTGAACGATTTTATGTTTTAAACATACTTTTCATGAATGTTCGGAAACGGACGAAAAACGTCTCTTGCTTGCGAACCCGTTTTTGAAAAAATAGATTCTAAATAAATCGCCATCAGCGCCTCCAAAAGTTGCAAGTTCGATCCTCTGAAATATAAGGAAGCCATTTGGCGTTTGATTTCATGTCATTTACTTTTATTATTGCTTCAAATGCAAATAGAATATCCTCGACACAGAGGGACTTTCTATAGAAAAGTCTCTGACACACAAGGACTGACTGTAGAATATCACAGGACCAGAGGTACTTTCTAAATAATATCCTCGAAACAGGTCTACAAAATTATTGCCAGTACATAAATAGGATGACGTAACTAGTATATGTAATCAGTGGTGTCTGCTACTTGGTGATCAGGATTTTTTCCGTCATGTTTTTTCCGATGTGTGAACAGGACCTCATTATCGGAATAGCACATTCATATAAACAGTGCCAATTTACTTACTGATGATGTCAGTTGGCGCGGTGATGGCTCAGTTTCTTGAAGTTATAAAAGTAGCATCAGTCAGTGGTACTTGTCAGTGTATGCAGGAGCACAATGAAGTAACACAAGTCATTGGTACTCTTTCAGTGTATGCGGAAGTACAATGAAGTAACATCAGTCATTGGTACTTGTCAGTGTATGCGGAAGTACAATGAAGTAACATCAGTCATTTGTACTTGTCAGTGTATGCGGAAGTACAATGAAGTAACATCAGTCATTGGTACTTGTCAGTGTATGCAGAAGTGCAATGAAGTAACATCAGTCATTGGTACTCTTTCAGTGTATGCGGAAGTACAATGAAGTAACATCAGTCATTGGTACTCTTTCAGTGTATGCGGAAGTACAATGAAGTAACATCAGTCATTGGTACTCTTTCAGTGTATGCAGAAGTACAATGAAGTAACATCAGTCATTGGTACTTGTCAGTGTATGCGGAAGTACAATGAAGTAACATTAGTCATTGGTACTCTTTCAGTGTATGCAGAAGTACAATGAAGTAACATTAGTCATTGGTACTTGTCAGTGTATGCGGAAGTACAATGAAGTAACATCAGTCATTGGTACTTGTCAGTGTATGCGGAAGTACAATGAAGTAACATCAGTCATTGGTACTTGTCAGTGTATGCGGAAGTACAATGAAGTAACATCAGTCATTGGTACTTGTCAGTGTATGCAGAAGTGCAATGAAGTAACATCAGTCATTGGTACTCTTTCAGTGTATGCGGAAGTACAATGAAGTAACATCAGTCATTGGTAATCTTTCAGTGTATGCGGAAGTACAATGAAGTAACATCAGTCATTGGTACTCTTTCAGTGTATGCAGAAGTACAATGAAGTAACATCAGTCATTGGTACTTGTCAGTGTATGCAGAAGTACAATGAAGTAACATTAGTCATTGATACTCTTTCAGTGTATGCAGAAGTACAATGAAGTAACATTAGTCATTGGTACTTGTCAGCGTATGCGGAAGTACAATGAAGTAACATCAGTCATTGTTACTTGTCAGTGTATGCGTAAGTACAATGAGGTAACATCAGTCATTGTTACTTGTCAGTGTATGCAGAAGTACAATGAAGTAACATCAGTCATTGTTACTTGTCAGTGTATGCGGAAGTACAATGAAGTAACATCAGTCATTGTTACTTGTCAGTGTATGCGGAAGTACAATGAGGTGAAATTGGGTTTAACGTCGCGTCCAAGATTATTGCACTTATATAGCGACGTGCATGCACGTGTATGTGTGTGTGTGGCTGCTTGTACTAGTCCGGACTGATGCCGATTTATAGTGCTAGCTCACTGAGATACCATGCCGCAGTTTAACATGAATACCCCACTCAGACACAGTATACTGACTCCGAGCCGACCAGTCCTTGTTTTAGCCCCTTAATGCCGAGCGCCAGACAGGGTAACAACAAGTACAATCTTTTAACGTCTTTTTGTATGACGCGGCCCGGGATCGAACCCTGGACCTTCCGCTCTCCGGGCGGATGCTCTACCACAAGACCACGGAGGCGGTCACGGAAGTACAATGAAGTAGCATCAGTCATTGGTACTCTTTCAGTGTATGCGGAAGAACAATGAAGTAACATCAGTCATTGGTACTTGTCAGTGTATGCGGAAGTACAATGAAGTAACATCAGTCATTGGTATTTGTCAGTGTATGCAGAAGTACAATGAAGTAACATCAGTCATTGGTACTCTTTCAGTGTATGCGGAAGTACAATGAAGTAACATCAGTCATTGGTACTTGTGGGTGTATGCGGAAGTACAATGAAGTAACATCAGTCATTGGTACTTGTGGGTGTATGCAGAAGTACAATGAAGTAACATCAGTCATTGGTACTCTTTCAGTGTATGCAGTAGTACAATGAAGTAACATTAGTCATTGCTACTTGTAAGTGTATGCAGAAGTACAATGAAGACACATCAGTCATTGGTACTTGTCAGTGTATGCAGAAGTACAATGAAGTAACATCAGTCATTGGTACTTGTCAGTGTATGCGGAAGTACAATGAAGTAACATCAGTCATTGGTACTTGTCAGTGTATGCAGAAGTACAATGAAGTAACATCAGTCATTGGTACTTGTCAGTGTATGCAGAAGTACAATGAAGTAACATCAGTCATTGGTACTTGTCAGTGTATGCAGAAGTACAATGAAGTAACATCAGTCATTGGTACTTGTCAGTGTATGCAGAAGTACAATGAAGTAACATCAGTCATTGGTACTTGTCAGTGTATGCGGAAGTACAATGAAGTAACATCAGTCATTGGTACTTGTCAGTGTATGCAGAAGTACAATGAAGTAACATCAGTCATTGGTACTCTTTCAGTGTATGCAGAAGTACAATGAAGTAACATTAGTCATTGGTACTTGTCAGTGTATGCAGAAGTACAATGAAGTAACATTAGTCATTGGTACTTGTCAGTGTATGCAGAAGTACAATGAAGTAACATTAGTCATTGGTACTTGTCAGTGTATGCAGAAGTACAATGAAGTAACATTAGTCATTGGTACTTGTCAGTGTATGCAGAAGTAATCTATTTGCCCCTGAATGTAACTCAAGGGCAGTTCGTTCAGATGTTAAACTGGGCGGCAAAAGAAAGTATAGATCGAGCTCCATGATTGATAAAAATACAACAAGAAGAGGTTTTGTTGTGAATTATAATATACTCTCGGGAGGGGTAACAAATGATTGATCAACCACAGTTTGAATGAAATTGTGCAATCACAGGTCATGTAAGCACATGGTAAACAATGGTGGGGTAAGAAATTTCATTATCAAAAGATGTCTGAAATCTTACCAAAACAATTGTCAGACACACTACAAGTTCATTGTCGACACAGTTGCCTTCAATAGCGTGTATGACCTCCAGCTGCCTCAATGCATGCTCAATGCCGCCTCATCGATGACGTCAGTCTTCTGATGACGTGGACTGGAATCCGTTGCCACTCGTCTCTCAGGGCCTGCTGCAATTCTTGTGTGTTGACGGGAGGCTGATGGCGTGCTCTAATCTGTCTGTAAAGATGGTCCCACAGATGTTCAATAGTATTCATATCGGGTGAGTGGGCAGGCCAGGGCGAAAGGTCAACGTTCTGCTGGTTTTGAAAGTTCTTGCAGTATGGGGCCTGGCATTGTAGTGTTGAAACAATGTCCCCTGCTGTTGGTTTTGTAAGAACGGAAGCACAACTGGCTGCACGACTTGGACTCTGTACTGCACAGCATTCAGGTTTCCCTGCATAATCACCAAACCAGTCTTTTGATCTCCACAAATACCGCCCCACACCTTGACACCTCCCCCGCCGAATGGATGGACGACTCGAATACACGCCGGAGCCAAATGTTCCCCTCTGCGTCGATAAACTAGTTCTCTGCCGTCATTTCGAAACAAGTTAAACCGACTTTCATCAGTAAAGAGCACTCGACGCCAATTTCTCACTTGCCAGCGTCGAACCTGCCTCCCATCGCAGTCTCAGGCGTCGATGTTGAGCAGTCAGTACCATTCCTCGGTAAGGACGATACGCTCGGAACCCAGCAGCACGATGTCGTCGTAGTACTGTACGTTGGCTAATGGGATGTCCCAACGCTGTTGCTGCCGTCGCCGTCGCCGTCGCCGTCGCCGTTATGAATCTGTTTCGCAGGTGAATGAGCCGTACCTGACCGTCTTCCAGTGGTGTTGTCACTCGGGGTCGTCCGGTTCTAGGCCTGTCCTGTGTCCTCCCTGTCTGCCTGTACCGTTGAATCGGCCTGGCTACTGTCAGTGGTGTACAACCAAACCTTCTGGCAATTTGGACCTGTGTTGCCCCCATTTCGGCCATACCGATGGCTCTCTCTCTCTGCTCCTGTGACAGTCGTGGCATTTCTTTTGTGTGCTTTCATCACGTGTGGTTATACCCTGCAGACGAACGCATTTATACAGCTAACATGCACGTGCCGTTTGTGCCATAGGCGGGAAACTTGTTTCACCATTATTTGTCACCGCACGAGCGCCGTCAAGGTGGCGCGTTTGGGTGAGGTGTTTTTTGGTACCTGTTCCTGGGCAGTTATATTCCCAATACCTACTTTCCACCAGTTATCGCTGTCTTTAGGAAAATTACAAATTGCCAACCGATACTTTCTTTTGCCGCTTAGTTTAGATATGCAGTACGTAAATTCTTCAGAAACAGAACCATCCTGGTGAAAAGGACCACCTAGTGGACAGCACATCAGTCCGGGTAGCAAGGGGTCAATGGTTCGATCTCCAGACCGCGTTATTTCAAAAGACCTATAAAATTGTATTCGTTCTTTCGCTGCATAGATCTTATCATTAAGGGTTAGACCAAGGACTGAGCTCCTCGGATTCAAAAATGTGTATGTCTTAATGTGGTATCCATGGGTGTTAAACCCAATTTAACCTAATGATATGGTAAAATGTTATTTTCACTTTTTCCTTTCAGCGCAAATATATCGTATCAGACATAACATAAGCATTGTTAACATATAAAGTTGAGTTGAGAGATTTTACCATTTTCTTTGATTAACGTAAAAAGAGAAATACTTGCTGAGATATCTATTGTATCCATAGTATTTCCAACAGAATTAACCCTCAGATATGAATGGCTGTTTCATTTCATAAATGTGATTACATATTAAGTACACCAATTGTATGTCGGTCGCTGTTGACACATTGGTAGAACAGATACACTTCGCTAATGGATCTTTACATGCCCCTGCGCAGGTGTCGCCCTTCTGGCCGTGGAGGATGTATCAGCAGGTACCTCTATACCGGTTCCCACAGTAGAACCTAAAAGAAGTGGTGCCCCTACAAAAGTGCCTGAGCTTAACCCGTCATCAGGACCCATAGGAACAAATGGTCCAACACCAGTGCCTGGAAGAACCAGAGGAACAGATTACCCTACACCAGTATCAAATCTTAATCCATCGGCTGGACCTATGGGAACAGATGGCCCTACACCAGTATCAAATCTGAATCCAACAGCTGGACCTATGGGAACAGATGGTCCTACACCAGTGCCTGTAGGATCCAGAGGAACAGATTACCCTACGCCAGTATCCAATCTTAATCCAACAGCTGGACCTATGGGAACAGATGGTCCAACAACATTATCCAATCTTAATCCAACAGCTGGACCTAAGGGAACAGATGTCCCTACACCAGTGCCTGTAGGATCCAGAGGAACAGATTACCCTACACCAGTATCAAATCTTAATCCAACAGCTGGACCTATGGGAACAGATGGTCCAACAACATTATCCAATCTTAATCCAACAGCTGGACCTATGGGAACAGATGTCCCTACACCAGTGCCTGTAGGATCCAGAGGAACAGATTACCCTACACCAGTATCAAATCTTAATCCATCAGCTGGACCCGTGGGAACGGGTGCCCCATCACCGATGACAAATGTCAACCCATCAGGACCTATTAAAACAGTTACCCCTACATCGGTAACCAATGTTACTCCATCCACAGGACATATTGGAACAGGGACCCAAACAACGATGTCCAAACTATCAGTAGGACCAACTCCAAAGTCTACGCCAGTACCGAATGTTAAGACATCAGCAGGAACTATGACAATGTCACCAATAACTAGTCATAAACCATCAGCAGGATCTAGCTCACAGTCAACAGGTGATCATTCTCCGGTAACCAGTATTAGACCATCAATACCAGCACAACATTCGACCAGTGTACCATCAACGGTGCCTACTACTAAGACCACCGTGAAACCTTCAACAACGCGGAAACAACCGACAACGTCATCAGTGACAAAGTTATCGACAGCAGCTTCTACGAGTGCAATGAAACAGACCACTAAGAAGATGGCAACTTCGACTTCTGAACAACAAACAACAATGACGACTCCTGTCGCAGTAACAAACACGATCTTAAAAACTACAAAATCACAAGTAACGAATAAGCCACTGTCAAGTTCCGCTGAGAATAAGACCGAATGTTTTGAATATGTCGGTTGTTTTGATAATTTCCCACCTTTTGACAATGCCGGCTTTGACCTTCCATATTCACCGGATGTTATGAACACAAAATTTTGGCTTTTCACGAGGAAGAATAGAAACAACAAACACGGTCTGGATTACAGAAATGTCTCAACTTTTACAGCTTTCGATTTTGACGCAACGAAGCCAACGAAGTTCATAACACACGGATTCAGTCAAGATGCATCAGCGACATGGGTGGTTAAGATGAAAGATGAATTCCTCAGACTAGTAAGTGAAGCCATTTTAACATTTATGCTACCAATGTCCCCCTATTAGGCTTTCGTAGGAATCTCCAGATGTGTAGTGAGGCACACTAACTATCAGACGACAGAACTGTGAGGCACCAGTAAAGCGAATATTTCCTAGCCAGATTTATTTTACGAGCGTTTCTTTAAACTGCCGTAACGTACTTTTATACAAAATATTTAACAAATATATAGAGGATATTTCATTTGACGAGTGAAATGTCATGTTTCTTTTATCGAGTAGCCACGAGTGAAAATATCTCCTCTTCGCCCCCATTACGAGATGAAAGGGAGACAATTTTGGGGGAGGTAACTCGTGTATGACAATAGTTTCATCAAAGTGTTAGGTTCACTGCAGTGAAATATCAAGTGCTAGGTTCACTGCAGCGAAGAAGCACTTCTTTCAACTACAAAAACCTCAGTCTTTCACACTGAAGTATATAATAAATAAAGATTTCAACGGTTCATAAGTCGGGGTTCATAAGCTAACGCCCTTAATTTTACTAACTCGGTCATTGCTTCCCTCAGGATTATCTATGTCAACTAAAACCTCGGAGTCGTGTTTTATTCTTTTCTTTTAACATTGATCTTCATAATGAGAAATGCTGACACGACAAACCAGTTGAACGGGTACTCAATAATTTTCCTCGTTATGTTAATAGCTAATATAAGTATTAAAATACTCCAGTGTTCAAATATCAGGGTGACTTCAACGTCATAACGGTGGACTGGAAGAAGGGTGCGGAGTTCCCTAACTACGACCAGGCTGCGTCCAATACACGACTTGTTGCGACGCAGGTCAGGCTAGTCGTAGATATTCTGGTGCACCGCGGCCTGAAGCTGAAGGACGTCCATCTGACCGGGCACAGTCTGGGGGCCCATACGTCAGGGTACGCGGGCTTCCTCTTGAACGGCAAAGTCGGGAGGATCAGTGGTAAGTAGAGAAAAAATAGGGGCATGTAGCGTCGAACTCGGAATAAAGTTTTTCTTATTGGGTACAAACATTCAGAAAAACAGACGTGAAGAAAAATCAAACGTCAACATCAGAGAAAAAACAGTTTCGATTATCCGCCGAAACAGAGTCCGTCGGGCGCCAAAGACAAATTAGCGGTGAAAAACATGCGAATTGATACCAGAAAATCAGTGATGACTCTGATGTTTGCGAAAGGGTGAGCATATCCTCCCCCACCGGTAATACCCGCCACTCACACAAAAAAGTAAAACAAAGGTTGAAGCACACACATCATTTCATGAGAATAGCTGCACACACTGTGAATATTTTGTTCGTAAAGTTCATCAAACATAGAATGAGACCTCTCTCCATTTTCTTATAAAAACCCGTTGGGCTTGCGGGTTACAGTATCTCCACAGCAACCTTTAACCTAGTTATTGCGTGCCAGCGTATATACGCCGGCCTAGGACGTTGAGCATGATATCAGTTTCGTTTTTTTTCTGTTCCAGACTCGATTATTTACGGGAATCGTCATATAGTTTGAATGTTGCTGAATGAAGTCTAACGTGAACAACAAATAAACAAACAAACCATATACATATGAACGAAATGTATTTTTCTAATACCAATTTTAGGGCAAGACATGCTTACCCTTTTCGCAACCACCTGGTTTCATCACTGGTTTTCGGTGATTCATTCATATAATTTTCATCGCTATTTTGCCTTTTGCACCGGAGGAGTTTGTTTCGGCAGAGGTTTCTCAGACGTTGATGGTTTGTATTTGATTAATAATATCATTGCAACAACAACATTTTGTCGGGAAAATAATAACGTAATATATGACGTCAATGTCCATTATGCACATGTCCGACCAACATGAATCCTGATCAACCGGTATGTTAGACAACGACTGACTGTCTCCAGGTATGGACCCGGCTGAGCCCAGCTTTGAGAATCTTCCTGACATAGTACGTCTCGACAAAGCAGACGCTCAATTCGTGGATGTCATCCATACAAACGGCGAATCTATTGTCATGGGAGGGTTCGGCTTAATGGAATCTTCCGGTCACGTTGACTTCTTTGTTAATGGCGGTGAATCACAGCCTGGGTGTAAGTCGGCGATATCTGGAGCTCTGAGCAGTATTTTTGGAAGCGGAGGATGTGAGTTCTAGGATTTTGAATAGTTTTCCAATATTGTTATTCTATAAAAAATTACTGTAACGTCTGCCTTACATACTAGTACTCGTCAAGCAATGTTCGATCAATGAATATGAAAGAAAATATTGTTATGACAACTTAGTCATGATCATCTTGCCATATAAGCACAAGCTGGAGGTTAAATATCACATTAAGGTCTGTCGAGTTTAAAAAATGAAAACCGGTGAGCGGGTTAGTTCTAATACTTTACACTGGTCCTCTGTGTAGCCATCGGGGAGGAGGTAGCCTGCAGCCACGGGCGGTCACACGACCTGTACGTGGAGTCCATGTCCTCCCCCTGCCCCTTCACATCCTACCCCTGCTCCAGCTACGTGAGTACCCACACTGATAGTGCAAATATCACTCTACAACTACTGTTAGTGCTCGCTACATTGCCCCTGCTCCAGCTGCGTGAGTACCCACACTGAAAGTGCAAATATCACTCTACAACTTCGGTCAGAGCTCGTTGTACAGAAGCGCTTGTATCATAACACTGTATGTCAAGAAGTACTGATGTATGCATGTGCTTCGCATCTTGACACCGCTCCAGCTACTAGAATGAAGAGGCTGTTCCACCATACATTTTTAAATGGTTCATCTTAGGTCTGGTCATGACAAAGCCACAGGTTCAGTTACACACATTTGTGTGAAGTCCATTCTGGAGTATCACCGTCTTGTTATTACTGAAATATTGCAATTGCTATAGCCGAAGGAAAACTTGAAACTCTAACTCCAGAGGGAGTGAGTAGTGTGTGAATTGGGATTATTAATATATTCTCCACGTTCCTTTGTCTGTTTTAATTAATGAGTCTGTGATACAGCAGTCAATTTAACTTAAATGGTTATATCTGAGAAAGATCTCTTACAAACTTACTTCAACATATTCTTACAAAGCAACTGCACGATTCGACTTCTTCAAGCATTCCAGTAAAGTTCGAGATGACCCGTTTCTGGTGTATTTATACATTTATCAATCAGCCTAACGAAAACATAACACGTGTTGTCACCGTTTTACAACTGCCACAGTAGGGCTGTACAGAGAATGCGTGATAAAAGTTTCCACACAGGACATCAGACTCGGTCACTGTTATAGGGCATGTCTGTTACTTATCATGTGACCTTTGCCATCAGTTACATGAGAAACCAACGGTTCAAAACTGTATCAAATGCATTGCAGAAACAATTCTTGGAGCATCATTTGTGCTACGCAGAAATATCGTAGAGAGAAGTGTGCAATTGTGTATATGTTTCAGCGTTATTACATACACGTGTAGATGACAGACGAATTTTGTCCATATGTCTTATATGGCCTCTTCAGGTTAGCAGAAGTTCGTTATGATTGGCCTTCTTAAGTCCAGTGTACATGCATAAGTTTGGTGATGGTGAAGGGTCGTTCGCAGCAAGTACGCTGCGTGATATCCGCGCTGATATGACCGTAATACTGTAAACGGTGATTAGCATACATTGTCTGTCCATTGTCGTCGCAAAACCATGGCTACAGTGCCTGCCCATTGTCGCCATCTTTGTCACAACCACACCATAGCTGTAGTGTCTGTACATTGTCACAGTCACACCATAGCTATATTGTCTGTACATTGTCACAGTCACACCATAGCTTTATTGTTTGAACCTTGTCACAACCATACCAGAGCAATATTGTCTGTACCTTGTCACAACCATACCAGAGCAATATTGTCTGTACCTTGTCACAACCACACCATAGCTTTATTGTCTGTACATTGTCACAGTCACACCATAGCTTTATTGTTTGAACCTTGTCACAACCATACCAGAGCAATATTGTCTGTACCTTGTCACAACCATACCAGAGCAATATTGTCTGTACCTTGTCACAACCACACCATAGCTATATTGTCTGTACATTGTCACAGTCACACCATAGCTATATTGTCTGTACATTGTCACAGTCACACCATAGCTTTATTGTTTGAACCTTGTCACAACCATACCAGAGCAATATTGTCTGTACCTTGTCACAACCATACCAGAGCAATATTGTCTGTACCTTGTCACAACCACACCATAGCTTTATTGTCTGTACATTGTCACAGTCACACCATAGCTATATTGTCTGTACATTGTCACAGTCACACCATAGCTTTATTGTTTGAACCTTGTCACAACCATACCAGAGCAATATTGTCTGTACCTTGTCACAACCACACCATAGCTTTATTGTCTGTACATTGTCACAGTCACACCATAGCTATATTGGCTGTACATTGTCACAGTCACACCATAGCTTTATTGTTTGAACCTTGTCACAACCATACCAGAGCAATATTGTCTGTACCTTGTCACAACCACACCAGAGCTATATTGTCTGTACATTGTCACAACCACACCAGAGCTTTATTGTCTGTACATTGTCACAACCACACCAGAGCTATATTATCTGTACATTGTCACAACCACACCATAGCTTTATTGTCTGTACCTTGTCACAACCACACCATAGCTTTATTGTCTGTACATTGTCACAACAACACCATAGCTTTATTGTCTGTACATTGCCACAACCACACCATAACTTTATTGTCTGTACCTTGTCACAACCACACCATAACTTTATTGTCTGTACCTTGTCACAACCGAAACATAGCTTTATTGTCTGTACCTTGTCACAACCAAAACATAGCTTTATTGTCTGTACATTGTCACAACCACACCATAACTCTATTGTCTGTACATTGGCACAACCACACCATAGCTATATTGTCTGTACCTTGTCACAACCACACCATAGCTATATTGTCTGTACCTTGTCACAACCACACCATAGCTTTATTGTCTGTACCTTGTCACAACCACACCATAGCTTTATTGTCTGTACCTTGTCACAACCACACCATAGCTTTATTGTCTGTACATTGTCACAACCACACCATAGCAATATTGTATGTACCTTGTCACAACCACACCATAGCTTTATTGTCTGTACATTGTCACAACCACACCATTGCTTTATTTTCTGTACCTTGTCACAACCACACCATAGCTTTATTGTCTGTACCTTGTCACAACCACACCATAGCTTTATTGTCTGTACATTGTCACAACCACACCATAGCTATATTGTCTGTACCTTGTCACAACCACACCATAGCTATATTGTCTGTACCTTGTCACAACCACACCATAGCTTTATTGTCTGTACCTTGTCACAACCACACCATAGCTTTATTGTCTGTACATTGTCACAACCACACCATAACTTTATTGTCTGTACCTTGTCACAACCGAAACATAGCTTTATTGTCTGTACCTTGTCACAACCACACCATAGCTTTATTGTCTGTACATTGTCACAACCACACCATAGCTTTATTGTCTGTACCTTGTCACAACCAGACCATAGCTTTATTGTCTGTACCTTGTCACAACCACACCATAGCTTTATTGTCTGTACCTTGTCACAACCACACCATAGCTTTATTGTCTGTACATTGTCACAACCACACCATAGCTTTATTGTCTGTACCTTGTCACAACCAGACCATAGCTTTATTGTCTGTACCTTGTCACAACCACACCATAGCTTTATTGTCTGTACCTTGTCACAACCACACCATAGCTATATTGTCTGTACCTTGTCACAACCACACCATAGCTTTATTGTCTGTACATTGTCACAACCACACCATAACTTTATTGTCTGTACATTGTCACAACCAAAACATAGCTATATTGTCTGTACCTTGTCACAACCACACCATAGCTATATTGTCTGTACCTTGTCACAACCACACCATAGCTTTATTGTCTGTACCTTGTCACAACCACACCATAGCTATATTGTCTGTACCTTGTCACAACCAAAACATAGCTTTATTGTCTGTACATTGTCACAACCACACCATAGCTTTATTGTCTGTACCTTGTCACAACCAAAACATAGCTTTATTGTCTGTACATTGGCACAACCATACCAGAGCTATATTCAGTTTGTGCGTCCTTTGTCACAAGTTTTCCATTACTTTATTGTCTGTTCATTGTTCACCAGGATGACTTCAAGAAGGGAAAGTGCCTGACTTGTGGTTCTACTGGCTGTTCCCAACTCGGCTATTACGCCGACCAGTATTACGCCCGCGGTAAGATGTACCTCAACACCGGAAGCAAGACGCCATTTTGCGGTAAGTCACGTGACTATATGACATTTGACATGAAATTATTAGATTAATGTTATCCCATAAGGATTTTGAGTTATGAAACGAAATGGAAAATATTTTGTCTATTTTATCAGTACATTATGTTTAAGGGTATCACTATGGCGTTGAAATCAAAACGAGTTCTACCAAGAATACGAAAGGTCGACTTTTTGTCAAGATGGAAGGCACGTGGGGAACCAGCGAGTTTGTCCCAGTCACTGGGTAATGAAGTTACCTTTAATTTTGCATATATAAAGACATCAGAAAATTTATAGTCGTATATGGTGTTACGTGTCGAAATAATATGTTAACCCAGAAATCTGTACGTAAAAGAATTTAGTGTGAAACTAACAACAAACAAACAACAAACAACAAACAAATGGTATACAATCAACAATTGTATAACAAAAGTAACTAGTAAATCAATACAAGCTGCAGTGCAGCAATTATATTGGTAGTACGCAATTGAGTGGTAGTACAATATTCAATGGCAGTATCAAGTGTGAGAGCTGTGGAAATGACAATGACAAGAATAATAATCACCTCGCCGCATCAGTGGTCAAGCTTCCGAGATAGGAGAAGGCTTAACACGAAGGTGAAAAGTGATCTTCACACGAAAGCTGGTGTTGATGTTGTGTCAGATGAAATGTGAAATGAGACAGGCACGCACCCGCTCCACTTATGTAGGCTAACAAGCTTCTAACACTTTCTACACAGTGCCAGACCAGTCCAGTGTCACTTGAACATCACAGAATATTCCACATGATTCTATAACGCGTGACATCCATCCATGCTATTCCGGAAGTTTACAGATAATTCAAGCATCTAAATATGATTACATCCTCACCACTGCTTACATTAACTAGTACTTCATTCCTGACAGACCCGTGAAGATTCTGGGTAGAATAAGTCTTCAACAACCCATGCTTGCCGTAAAAAGCGACTATGCTTGTCGTAAGAGGCGATTAACGGGATCGGCTCACTGACTTACTTGATGCATGTCTTCGTATCCCTATTGCGTGGATCGATGTTCATGATGTCAATCACTGAATTGTCTGGTCTAGACAATTTATTTACAGACCGCCGTCATTTAGCTGGAATATTGCTGAGTGCGGCGTTAAACAACAAACAAACAAACAAACAAACAAACATTCCTGACAACTGATCATTGAACTTCTACTGAATCTCAACAGAAACAATGCAATACAGTTACAATCATTGTTTTACTATAAATTAAACTGCTAAATAACAATGGGTACTTTTTTTTTTATCTCGCAGTTCACCTCCTACAGTATATTTGTAATAAGTAAGCTATCCAAATTTGAAAGATTTCTGTATGATGATTACTCGAGACAAGGTTCTTTTGTAAATATGACTAACCTCTAGATAACGATTCCGACAATTGGTTAGACAATATTTATGTGAATGAGTCAGTTTATAATGGTCTTGATTCTATTGTAGAGACGATACGGTGAAGGCCGGAAGTGAGGTTCAGGACGTGATTATCTCCCCTGTGGAGGTTGGCGATTTGAAATCTCTGGTGTTTAAGTATGTTAAACACACTGGGTTCTGGCTTGGCGGAGGCGAGGACACGCTTAAAGTGGAGAGGGTTAAAGTTACCTCAGGAGAGAATGGTTACAGGTAATGAAAAGTTGAAGACATTAGGGAAGGGGTAGGACGGGGCGGTGTGGAGAAGGGTGGGTACTGTCACATGAATCGGAGGAGAATGGTTACATGTAGTGTAAATGTAACTACATAACTCATCTGATTCTATAACATAATGCCAGGCTCGTCAGTTGTTATGGACAGATTATTAAAGAAACACAGTCTTTTCCACTACATGCACGTAATAAAACTCTCGTTTTTCATAATAATAACTTTTAAAAGTATGACACTCTCGTACCTCTCTACCAGTTGAAAAACCCCCTTGTGTATACATGGCAGTTATCGTATGAGAAGTCTGTGCCGAGGAACATGCGTTTGTTTGTTACACAACAACGTCGTTCGCTGGCGCCAGTCGTTATGAAATCATCAGTGATATCAAGGCACAGCATGTATCTGGAACCCTGTCAACTTAGTTAAGAATGTGCTATAATACTCTCACCCTTACTAGATCTCTAGAGTGAGTGAGTGAGTGAGTGAGTGAGTGAGTGAGTGAGGTTTTACACCGCTTTTAGCAATATTACAGCAACATCACGGCGGAGGACGCCAGAAATGGGCTTCACACATTGTACCTATATATGTGGGGAATCGAAACCGGGCCTTCGGCGTGACGAACGAACGCCTTAACCATTTGGCTACCCCACCACCCCAGATCTCCGAGCTGTCTGGGACGAGGAAAAATATTTATTCAAGAAGATATTTGAATTGAATTTTATTTATTCCAGTTATCTGTTTTGCTATGGTGGCAAGGAAGTGCACCACAACACAGAGGCTCGCACCGTCATCACCACCAGGACAGCATGTTAAAAATAAATTATATATTCATCTTAGGATGGACTTTGTGATTTTTTAACTGTTTGAAAAACGTACAACTTAATGGATAACTTCTGGTTTAATGCATGTAGCGTTATTTCGATGAGGATTTTTAAACCCATATCAAGCTCCAGCTTATGTACTTATTTGCCAACTCCTAGAATGCCAATCAAACATGAAGAAAATGAGTTCTCATTTATTGAAACTAATACATATTATGAGTGAGTGAAAGAGTGTGCTGTTACGCCACTTTTTGCAGTAGCACAGCATTACAACAGAGAGGGACACTAAATATGGGCTACACGTGTTGTACCCATATGGTGGAATAGTAACCGGGCTTTCGACCAATAGGATATCCAGACGCCCTTAACCATTAATACAACTTGATATGCTCGTCCTTTTTCTGGCATAATATTGGTCTTGGAAAGATGTTTGAGGGAAACAATGAACCAAATGGCCTGTAACACACGTTATGTATATATTACTGATGTTGTTTCGGGCGATCGGGTAGCCTAGTGGTTAAAGCGTTCGCTCGTCACGCCGAAGACCCGGGTTCGATTCCCGACATGGGTACAATGTGTGAAGCCCATTTCTCGTGTCCCCCGCCCTGATATTGCTGGAATATTGCTAAAAGATGCGTAAAACCATACTCACTCACTACTGATGCTGTTTACAATGAAACAACACTGTGTAATATGTTCTGGTGTTAATATTCCGTTATTAATACAGACTGAAATGCACAAATTGTCATAAACATACTATGATACACAGACTATTATTTACTCACAAGAATAAGTGAGACGTCTGGCCTTAATCTTTTATCGCATAAAACATGTATGTCTGAATGAATTTTTTCATAACGAGATAAGGTTGTGCTGAATTTCAACAATAACTGGGTTAACAGGGTTATCACAACCTACTTAATGTTTAAACAATTTTACTGTTGACAAGCCTTTATATTATTTTAGCAACAACATTTTGCCAGTAACATGTCTGTAAACATGGCGCACAGAACGTCCCTGGTGTTGCCAAACTTACCCCAATCTTTCCTGCCTATGGTTAGCTGTTAGGGTCACATCCTTCATAGAGGGTACACCCGTTTGAGGGTACTTGTCCCAGAGTCCAGAGATTACACTTTTTTATTTGCCAAGCATTCGGGCAACTTGGGCAACGTCTCTGCTCAATCGTACCCTCACTTCGCCATTTTGTTTGTTCATTGAGATACTCAGAGGCATTTACAAGCATGTAGATATATATTTAGGACTCTTTGGTTGGACTCTGATCCGTGGCGGATTCTCAGATCTGTGGCAGATTCCACATATGGGGCAGATATTGGCGCATACTCAGATCTATGGCAGATTATCATATAATGTTAATAATTGGCAATTTCATATGACAATGCAAATCTGCGACGGATCTGAGAAAGCGCCACGGATTAGAGTCCCGCCATGGATCTGAGTCTAGATTTTCGAAACGATCTTAGCCCTAAAATTATCATAAAGTTATCGTAGGGAAATCGTAGACTGTCGTAATCTATTATCGAAACTACCGTGGCCCTAAGATATCGTAACAATGTCGTAAATCTAAGATAGTTCAATACCTGTAGTACGTGTATTTTATCTTCATCCAAGATGGGGGCATACTTTGCCATAGGTATTTTTCAAACCAATAATCTGCTTTACGTTCAAACATTGGCATTTCATTTTGTTAAACTGTGTGATTCAAACTGACACTTCGAAGACACGAAGAACTCATCAAAGATTTCACATCAGAAATCTTGTTAATCGTGATACCGATCCATATAACTATGGATTCGATAACTTATAACATATTTATATCTGAGTCTATGCTGAAAGAAGTGTGAAACAAGGATAAAAACGGAAGGTGTTGGCAGGCTATAGTAAAGACCGTGACCCTATTGATAACTCAGGGGCAGCTAATCTTAGTTCATATTCTAGTTGAGAGTACTCTCCCTTTGTATTGGCCCGATCATGCTCCTACCCAGTGTGTGACACCTTCGTTACACTCTCGGTAACATTGATCAAATAATAATTGATGTTTGACTTCTTAAAAGCTAAGCTAAATTTCCCCGTTTAATATTAAAAAAAGGATAGATACTTGAGACCACTCAGACAATAAAATCATGGTAAAGGATAGTGTCACCTGCCAAATAAATGACCCTTAGCAATGCCGTCAGACAAGCAAAACGTCATCGAACTGCGATTTGACACATTTAAATTGTAGTTATTTCGCTCCCCAGCCAGATGTAAATCGAAACAGACAAATCAGTTTAATAGCTCTACTTAATTTAAAATGATAGAAAAGGACAACATTACCTGTATGTTCACCTTAACTTATGGTGGACATAACTTGACAATTCCTAAATTATCTCCTTTTGTGAACGAAAATTAGTGTCACTTTCAAGTTTTATAAAGAATTACATATCTAGATAGACAAAAAATAATTACATCATCTAAATATAAATTGCTTGATATTGTATTTGTTTATTCGTGAAAGATATTGGATTTTTAATAACAAAACAAACTTAAGCTAACTTTGACCTCATGCCACGCTCGTGGGTGCGCGGCTTCCTGAACAATTTTTGTTTTGTGTGTGTCCAGGTATAATGTTGGTGTTTTCACTATTAATCTGACTTTTGATATAAACACTAAAAAACAAGCAGTATTGTCAAACTGACCCATTATACATCACGTAACATCAGACTTGAACACGTATCTTAAATGCTGAACGCCTGCCGTTCAATCAAACGTCTCGTCATTGTCATTTAGAATAACGTCCCTTACTTTCGTCTTTAACTTTGTACGCGATGTGTTTACACAGAGTTCTCCGCGCTCGCGAGAGAACCATTAAAAGGGAATATATTGAAGTATCTTTTGGCACATGATTTCCATTCTAATAGCCATAGTGTGGTAACACTATACGTACTGATTATAACATTTATAGGGTTTGAAAAATGTCTTTGCGTGGCACACGAATGCTATTTGTTATGGGGTAGTGATAGCATATTATATTATTGTCATTGTCAGTGGCTGGGAAATCCCCGTGACGTCCCGCCTTTTCAATCTCTAACATAAACGAGTTCTCTGTCAGAGTAGGAAAAGGTTTGGTAACTTTGTACGATCTGCAACATATGTAAGATAGTTCCGAAAATGTAGCTTATGGTAAACTTAAAATATCTTATCTTTGAACGTAAGTTGTAAAGATTAATCTTAGCTAAGATCGTTTCAAAAATCTTGAGTTCCCCAGATGTAGTACTATATATTTATATCTACAAGATACATTTGTTCACCGACACGCGGCAAGGCGATTGCACAACAGCAACAGGTGGCAAATTTCTTGTCCAAACCTAAGCGTGTCACGTGATACTGTTGAACACATTCGTCTTCTTTTGGAGATATGCACTGGTCGTTATGAGGTCTCTTGCGGCGGGTCTCAGCCTGTGGGCGGTGCTAGGTAGGTGCACTGATACACTGCCTTACTTACTGTGATGGCACTACATCGTTATATTTCTTCATTCATAATATTAATGTTACTTAATCTCAGATTATGATTTCTGCAAACAACGTGGAAGACGCCAGGAGTGTCACACAGGCACATATACGAGCACCATAATGTGTGCAGAAGGTTTGATTGTTGTAAAAGTGGGTCTATAAACCCAACCCAATCTGCGTCCTCCTTTCGGTCACGTGACCACGGCAGTCATTCAGGGCCTCCACTCGATCGCGAGGCAACGCCCTCCTCAAGAATCGATCGATGACGTGACGATATTGATAGCGTCGGGGTCACCCGAACCCAGTCCCCATACCCGTGCGTCCTCATCGATAACAATTGGTTGGAGATAATAAGTTGGACCAATCGGTGAGTTAGCGCCCCCCTCTACAATGTAATACGGCACGGAAAACGATTGGCATATATGGAACGTATCCCATTGGTTAATTAAACGATGATTTTGATTGGCTGAATATATATCCATGTAGGTATTTAACGGTCATAGCTTTAGAATTGAAATACGCATCAGTCGGAAAGCGCACGTTAAATCTCCAAAGTAAGTAAGTAAGTAAGTAAGTAAGTAAGTAAGTAAGGATTGACATTTGAATGTGAGACGGAGCAGCTACGAACACACATCGACTATTCGTTAAATACAATTTACTTCAAGAAGGATATAACTTATGTTAACACTTATTTCTATTTCAACAATATCCAATATACTTAAATTAATTCGCTCCTAAAAAGATTTACAAAATAATTAGAGCCAAAATTGATATGATGTACATTACACTATTAACGTCAAAGAAAACAAAAATAATGGTCTGTGTTTCTAAAGGTAGGAGGTGCGCCACCTTACCCCGAAGCATAGTCCTAATCATCACCATCATCTTCTTGGACTGTAATGGAAAGGCAAAGGATTAAAAATTAACTCATCCCAATTAAATTTATCATATTAATTTAAATTAATGATTATAAAATGTATGATTAAGAAATTAAAAAAACCCAGCCAAACAACTAAATCTGATATATGCGTCTCCACACTTTTTGTCCTCAGAAAAGCTGAAAACAATATGAACTCATTTGTGTTTTCTTCATATAATGTTACTTTCCTGATTGGCTTTATCCTTAAGGCAGCAGAAGAACATAAATGTTATACTTAAACCAATGTCATGTCCGAACACTTGCTGTTCCCTTTGACGAGTGACACACCCACGAGTGTTGGGGGTGATACATTATGTTTTGTTCTGTCTCGACATCGTGGAGTGAGTACAAGTTTTAAACAGAAGCCACCTCATCTGTCTACTGTCTACTGAAAATAAGGATAATGCATCTGTAATCTTTTTATATCAAAAGAGTCTCTATTAACTCAAAAGTAACACACACTCCATATCTTCTCCTTGTTTTGTTTTTCTCTCTAGATTAAGTATGCCATTACTCTTTCATTTATAACGTCCTAATCCTAATCCTCCAGAAACATTTACGTCCAGAGAATGTACGAATATATGCAAGACGAAAGAACTCAATGTTGCTTGCCTCCAAGACGGTGAATGGAACTGTACACGGCAACGTTCACCTCCTCGCAAACGCTGTTCAAAGCTCGAGAGACGAAAGAACTTGCTGTAGCCTGCGACCAGGACGGTGAATAGAACGATAGGCCCCCCAAAGCCTCTTCGCAAACGACTCCAATACAAACTTTCCCCTGTTTGAATGTTGTAACTAAGACAAAATGGGTCAAATTGCTTGTACCATACATCCGCCTTGCGCCTTTCTTATCGGACGAACCGTCCAACAGTTGCCACCAAAGTCAATCGTTCTCATCCCATGCATGACACATGGGATATTCTAACTGCTACATCTCAACATACCCCTTTGATTATCCAGACTCATTCATGGTAGGAAGAGGCAGACCTAAGCATCAACCTTCCAGTTCGGAAAGCCCAAATCATCTGTTTTCCAGTCCCAAAAGTCCAAATCAATTGCCTTTCATTCTCAAACATCTAACCGGACCAGAGCAACTTCAGTATATGTTTACGTTTCACAATGAAAAAAGATTTGCGAAGAAAGACGCCATCAAATGAGTGTACAGGGTCAGTTTTAATCCAATCTGGTTAAAGATTAAAATATCTCCATGCCGAATTACTCAGCATGTTTGAAGACGTGATTCGTCTAACCAGAGTAAACCTATCCGATGATGATATGTATAGTTGTACAACATGACAGTTACAGCATGAATGTTATCATCGTGCCTCTTCGTAAATTGCAGGTGCGAGTCTCGCAGATATCCCAGCTTTCGAGCATGTATTGAATTGTGAAATTTTAGTCATCACCGTGGAAACGGATAATATGTTAAGCATACAGGACAAGCGTGCAGCTTGAGTACAAAACTCTTTCTGCATTTGGTCATTTCACTAAAATATCTGGACTTCTTTGAATGTCCTATTGATGTGATTGTTGCTTAAGGTCAATACCATACTGCAGTTTAACATGAATACCCCACTCAGACACAGAAAACTGACTCCGAACCGACCAGTCCTTGTTTTAGCCCCTTAATGTCTAGCACCGGAACAGGGTAAGTACCATCTCTTAACGTCTTTTGGTTTGACGTGGCCAGAGATCCAATCCCGGACCTTCTGTTCTCTGGGCTGACACCCTTCCACAAGACCACCGAGGCAGTCTCGATGAATAGGTTCCGTCAAACATATTAATCAGATATCTGATGGAAACTTGACTAACACACAGCTTTATACCCCCAGCCTTTTGTGTAGCAGAGAGTTGCGCTGACGCAGCATCTAACCCGCAAAACCCATCTCATCCCAACTCGTCACATGCTGCAGCATCAACCAACAATCAAGCTTCAACATCGCCACCAAAGACCACACAGGATCCACGTACTAACCAAACTGTCTGTTATCCGGTTGTCGGATGTTTCAGCAACAGCCCGCCATTTAACAACACAGTATTTGTACTTCCGGTAACACCGGAAGCACTAGGATCAGGGTTCTGGCTATACACACGTGAAAGTATTGGCAACGACGACTATGACGAGCTCAACTACACCGATTTGTCTAGTGTTACTGCGTCCAAGTTTGAGCCTAAGAAACCGACTAAAATAATTGTACATGGCTTCAATAACAATGGCAATACATCTTGGGTGCAGGTGATGAAGGATACATTTCTGAAACTGGTTTGTAGTAATATTCAACCTGTATATTTCATTGCAAAGATAAGAAAGACAAAAAATACTGTTTCTTAAATACACATAATATTATTAAGATTTTCCAACAGAAGAAAGTAGGCTGTAGACAGTGGTCCAGTTCAAGTGCATTTTCACTATTGTTTTAAAAAAAGCCAATACACGTTTATTTGGACACTCCAAGTACTTTTACAACATCAACAGCCCACTGAGATACCATGCCACAGTTTAACATGAATACCCCACTCAGATACAGTATACTGACTCCGAGCCGACCAGTCTTGTTTTAGCCCCTTAATGCCGAGCGCCAGACAGGGTAGCAACAAGTACCATCTTTTAACGTCTTTTGGTATGACTGGCAAAGGCATCGAACCCCACACCTTCCGCTCTCCAAACTCTTCCGAGGTCCAAACATAATATGAAAGCATCATTACATTAATTGTTTGGTCAAAGAACTTAGTAGAAGTGACATGAATTTTTGTGACATAAAATGTCGCTCTGTCAACTAAGGAAGAAATCAGCTATAGCAGTTACATCAACTTTCACTTGCCTCTAAAACCTTAAGACACTGCCATTTCTCTTTTGTATTGGTTTCCAATTTCCATATGCATCGGGATTTTGAGATGAATATTGTTTGGTCCAGCAAATGTACCACCAATGTACCTGTCTCAAAGCTTAACAACAATACTTAATACATCAAAGGGGGGACTTTCGTTATATTCACAGAAAGCCTTTGAGACAATTTGAATTAATACCAAGTGGATTCCCCAAAAAATAATTCCGGCAAAACAAATTATTTTTAAACTTTGTACACAACTGTCCCACACGACCAACTTAAGGAAAAAGATTTTAAAGAGTGTCATACAACTCTTGCTCAAAGTTGTTTGATCAGGGTTACAACATTCAAGGCTTTAGGAAAGATTTCAAACAGTTTTTTCTGTAAGATACAAGGAAGATATTTTTAAATTTGGCGCACTGCTGACAGACATGATGTCTGATGCACCTCCCCATTTTGACTTGTACCCATGTCTTTATAGATGAACATTTATACGGCTTTACATGTGTCTGTGATGGGTGCCACCGGTGGGCAGGATACGCTCACCTTTTCGCGAATACCTGGTATCATCACTGTTTGATTCATAAACACATATAGTCGAAATAGTAAAATGGACCCTGCTTGGTAGCAGATATTTCTTATGACTATGGAAAGGTTTTTATCATTTTCTTTTACTACTCATATTACTAAGTATAAACAAGAGAAAGTCCAATTAAAACATTATTCATGTTAAAACGAATGTAAATTTCAAGGTCAAGTTAATTTCGTCACAGAAGGAGTTTACGATCTATTTACCGAAAGGACTAGGTAGGATTCAGGCCCTATAAACTTTATATCATAAAGTCAGGTATTTTTCAGATAACTGCTCTGAGTGACAATTTGCGTGTAATCATAGTTTGACTTACAACAGGATTAAATGTGTGAATGATTGTTCAACTTTCTGAGCAAGTCTTACCAGATTATTTCCATCTTACAGGGAGACTTCAACGTTATTGTAGTCGACTGGGGAGTGGGGGCAGTATTTCCGGACTACGCCCAGGCCGTTGCCAACACTCGATTGGTTGGCGCACAACTGAAGGCTCTCATTGATCTTCTGATTGGGGCGGGGCTTAGTCTTGAAGATCTTCACTTGATTGGTCACAGTTTGGGAGCCCATACTTCCGGCTACGCAGGAAGTCAGTTTGGAGGGAAAGTCGGCAGAATTAGCGGTACGTGGTTGATCGTTGGTTATTCCTTTGGGGAAATATAAGCTTATGTTCACAAATGAAGTCATATTACTAGTGTCATGCGTAAAGACGCCACGGCGGATCCGACGCATGTCAGTGATCAACGTCTTCAAGATGGCATCAATCTGATGCATGGTCCATGTTGTTCCATGAAGAGTAGGGATACTTGGCATCGTCAGTGTTGGAACAGACCATTACGATATTTCTTGAACCAATATTTGGAAATATCTACATGTATAATATTCTATTTCAATGTTGTAGGAATGGATCCGGCTGGGCCCAATTTTAAAGATACTTCATCAGTGGTTAGACTCGACAAATCTGACGCTGTGTTTGTTGACGTGACGCATACAAATGCCGATACCTTAGGCATCGTCACACCCAGTGGAGACGTCGATTTCTACGTGAACGGTGGAGAGACCCAAGCCGGGTGTCCTTCAGGCCTGTTGTCAGGGACTATCACGACGCTCTTCGGAGGCGGAGGTATCCAGATTCTTAATATATTTCAATAATGTTGCGTTACCTAGGCGTGCAATAGTCCTATTATCGTGGGTTCGAATCTGAACATGATTCTTGGTTTGCCAGCACAAGCGGGTTTCACCAACGTGGTAGGACCTGCTTTACTTCGGATTGACACTCTGTAATATAGCTGAAATACTGACTCTCTTCGAACTGTTACGACTCAGTACGGGGAAGCAAACAATAATCATAATTAATCACAGAGAATCCAACAAACGGAGTGGTATTTACGTCGACGGAAATCTAAAATACAATTTTTATAATACCAAAACAAAAAAAACTGAACTAATGATGTGAATGTAGCTATCGTTGAGGTGTACATTATCAATACCATGGTGTTGCATCTGAACGTAACATCTAATCACAATGAAATTTCACATCATGCAAGAACAACATTCATAAGCAGCTGAATCTCTGCACCTGTACTCAGCGGACGAAGTTTTTAATAGACCTTTCAAAAACAGTAAATGCACCATCGTGTCATTCGATTTTCTGGTCCACCGATCACTTGATGTTTGGTTACAGGTAGCAAAATTACATGAAATTGGCAGGGGATAATTATAAAACAATGGTCAATTACACCGGTTCACCTGGAAATATAACCGTTTACAGAAGGTTGCTGTCAAGCCTGAGACGTGTTGAGCATTCAGGTGATCACTGCGGGTGTTTGTAGGCAAAATATTACAAACTACTGAAAGATCTAGAACTCCATCGTTAAAAATCATTGAAAGGTTTTGTTTGACCCACGTCAGATTCACAATCACTGTATCATCTGAGATGAGTACACCTTAAAAATGCCCCCAAGAACGTATCTGGGAATGAATTGTATGAATGAAACGATGGGGTGGAGGTGGTCGTTGTGGGTGAGGATAGATTTAAATGGATTCAAATATGCTCCTGTTATCAGTAGAGATTGACATCAATTGGGTTGCAATTAGGTCTGGGCGTGTCATGCCCTGAAAAATACAAATTACAATAATTGCACTACGCAGTCTGCTCGTTATCAACGGGGAATTCCGTACAATAACAGGATGGCGAATTTTAACATCTACCACTATGCCAGGGCAACAATTCTTAGCCATGATCAGTATAGGGGCGGTTGTGTCATGGTGTGAGGCGGTTTCACACATGATTGGCGAATTATTAGTGATTGGACGTTTGACAGCGGTATGCTGACGAAATGGTCGTCATGTCGTTGTTCAATACGCTCGAAATATCAACAGAAATTTGAACTGCTAGATGACAATGTCAGAAAACATTGTCCCGGACGAGAATGCATACGGACAGGCGCGCTAAGTCCCCTTACATGTTCCCAAAACAGCATCTGAGGGATGTTCTCGAACAGAGAGTGCACGACAGAGACCCAGCACCCGCAAACGTGACTCAGCTTGGGTTAGCCCTTCTGACGGATACATAGGCCAATCAAACGCAGGTTACATTCGTCACCACTCGCCCCTATCCGTAACCTGCAAGAAGACTCGTCCCCCTATCGATGGATGTAATGTGCGAAAATACGCAAACCAATCAGCATACGCGTATGACTTCAAGTACTTCGGTCAAAGAATCCCTCAGCAAGATTTTTTTTCATTTTACATATGTCTTGCATTTGATATATACCCAAGGTACAGTTAAATGTGCTCAATCATACTGTATAATACTGTTAGTCCCAATGTGTTTTCAATAGCATCTGGGATATATTCGATATATGGTGGAAAATATAATTGAATCACTACGCAGCGAGTTGACTATTCTTTTAGCTATGCCCGTTTGCGCTTAGACGGACCCCAGTCGCTATCGTGGCAATGATAGGGGCACCAGTCTCTATTCGGCTTGTCCCGGAATAACACGAGTTGGTCACGAATGACGCAAGTAAATCAAGGTGTCTTGCATGTATCGCCCAACTTATTGAGATATTGATCAAAACGCCTGAAATTACGTTTACAGACATCTATCGACATTACATCCTCACTATAATTTCATCAGTTCCCTTATTTGTTTGTCGGTAGTATATTTTCATTCAAAGAAAATTCGTCCTCTGTATCTCAATTTTGGAGAAGAATAAAATACCCGAAGAACCATTTTTTGTTTGCATTACATAAATCGATGAGGATCCATGTTTATGAAGAACATCTAATGACCCTATCTGATGACTGCTTCATTTCATGGCTACACAATCCTCCACATCTGCATCATTAAACGTGTTTCAGATGTAGCCAAAGCTGTGAGCTGCAGCCATGCTCGGTCTATCTTTTTATACACAGAATCTATATCCACCTCCTGCCCCTTCACAGCCTACCCCTGTTCGGATTATGTAAGTAAATACTGTATTGTGTGTGCTTATGTAGCATGTGTGTGTGTGTGTGTGTGTGCTTATGTAGCATGTGTGTGTGTGTGCTTATGTAGCATGTGTGTGTGTGTGCTTATGTAGCATGTGTGTGTGTGTGTGTGTGCTTATGTAGCATGTGTGTGTGTGTGTGTGTGTGTGTGTGTGCTTATGTAGCATGTGTGTGTGTGTGTGCTTATGTAGCATGTGTGTGTGTGTGTGCTTATGTAGCATGTGTGTGTGTGTGTGTGCTTATGTAGCATGTGTGTGTGTGTGTGTGTGTGTGTGTGTGTGCTTATGTAGCATGTGTGTGTGCGTGTGTGCGTGTTTGTGTGTGCGTGCGTGCGTGTGTTATATCCATCATGCTGTAAAATGAGCGGAGTTTGCTCACTCATATAAGCACCAACTGACAAAGCCATGTAGTAACAACTCCCCACTACATTCCCATTTAACCACCAGGGCCTACTTGCACAAAGCGATCTTAGCGCTACAACTATTGTAAGCCTATGTTAAAGTATGGGAGTTACGATCATCTTAGCGCTAAGATCGCTTTGTGCAAGTGGGCCCAGATCCCTAAAACATGGACCCCCACTTGTCTTACTTCCTGGATCCGTTCATGTTATATTGATAAAGCGTTTGTTGCTATTATATGTCCCCATCAGTTGCATTGTTTTAATACTGAAAACTCCAGCGAAAACTTCACTCAGAGTGACTGAATGGTGTGTGTAAGTTAGTGAGTATGGTTTTACGCCGCTTTCAGCAATATTCCAGCAATATCACTGCGGGGGACACCAGAATTGGCGTCACACATTGTGGCCATGTGGAGAGTCGAACCCGGCTCTTCAGCGTGACGAGCGAACTCTTTAACCACTAGGCTACCCCCCGCCCCTGTTGTGTGTAAGAATGACACCATTACACCCACACTTTTTGGAGGACTTGGTGGGTGTAGTTAAGTAGCCTTTCTGAGTGGAGTTATTCTCATGGACATGTCAGTACAGTAATGACGATAGTAGAAATTTAATCATAACCTCAAATTGCTTTTTTTTACGTCATAATACCGTGCGGTTAATAACTAAAAATGGGAATATGGAAAGAAATTCTGAATGCTGAATTTCTGTTTTTTCAGAATGCTTTTGACAGTGGTCGTTGCTTGACTTGCGGGAAGCAGGGATGTACACAATACGGGTATCACGCCAACGAGTACAAGACCCGCGGCACATTGTACCTCAAGACACGAGGAAAGACGCCATTTTGCGGTACCTGTATTTACTTTTCTGGCGGTGGTCAAGAGTCTTAGGGGATGTAACTTGTGCTGAGATGTCCCCCATTAGTTGATGCGTATATGTCGATGTATTGCATGACGTATCCTAGGATTCAAGTGAACAATTTGAATATACGCCAAGTTCTAGCTCTTGCTAGAAATACATACATGTCAACTGGATACCAACTGATAGTGAATGTAGACAGTGTCTGAAAGACAGACAGATAGATAGATAGATAGATAGATAGAGAGAGAGAGAGAGAGATAGATAGATAGATAGACAGATAGATAGAGACAGAGAGAGTAAACTATGATTATAGACCACTAATTTAAATTCATTATAAGCATATAAACAGCATTATATACAGCAAGTGGAGGGGACCAAGAAATAGTTCGTTATATCCGTTAGTTCGTTATAAACGTCACACACACACACACACACACACACACACACACACACACACACACACACACACACACACACACACACACACACACACACACACACACACACACACACACACACACAGAGTAAACTACGTTTATCCATTCATTCATTCATTCATTCATTCAATACATTCAGTTGCTATAAATTGCCAAGTGCGTATACATATACTTGCAATTTTTGGCACAACAATAAAATGCATATGAGTAGATCTTTTCAATAGGGTGTGTCCATATTGAAGCAACAGTGGTCGCGTTTAATACACGTCTTGGTTGGCTAAGTTTCTGATTGTTGCTCCCCGTGTATTGCAGGGTATCAATACGGCGTGCAGCTGACGTCTCCCGATGGTGTCAAGGAGACGAAGGGGAAGCTGGCTATCAGGCTGATGGGGAAGTGGGGAGACAGCGGCTTCTTAACAGTCACAGAGTCAGAGAACAGTCTTATTACATCTTAGTACCGAATCACTACATACACCAACATGCATACTCGTCAGTTTCAATATATCGTCATTGATATTGTTCGTTTATTATTAATGTAGCTATATATACTATATGAAAAGGCAACGTCGATATAGAATTGTTAATGCATATTGAACAAGAAAAAATGGGGACCATTTTTTTGGGAAACATTTATAATACTGTGTGCTCAGTCTTCACTACAAGGGGACACAGGTGGCCCAGACGTCTAAGGCGCCGCGATTCGCTGTGCAGAATTGCGTCCCTCGGGCACGCCAGAAATCTATGATACTGGGTTCGAACCCCATTCGCCCCGATGACATTTCTAGGTTTTCTAGCACCATTGCCCGGGTTCGTGTGTTTCACCAAAGTGGTGAACATCTGAGAAATGCATCACTTCGGGCTTTCTTTCAACATCAAGCTGACACGCCGTCAAATAACTGGAATACTGTTCAAAGCGGCGTTAAACCCAACTCAATCACTCACTTCACTCTTTTGGTGAAAACAACAAAAAATTTTCCTCATCTGATAACTTTGTTTATGTCTTTGCAGGGACGTAACTCTGAAACCCAAAAGTACGTTATCCCACGTGGTTGTCTCCCCTGTCGAGGTAGGGGACATAACTGCCATAGAAGTTAAGTACATCAAGTACACCGGGTTCTGGTTTGGTGGTGGAGAAGATGCCTTTGCTTTGAGTGAAATCAAGGTCTTGTCAGGAGAAAATGGCTCAAGGTGCGTTTTAAAAGGAAACTTGAATCAAAAACATTTAATTATTTTGCATCTAATGCTTTACAATTTTTCATTAATAATGTTCATGTGCTGTATAGATTCATTATGGTTATGGAAAGGATTTTATTGGTTATATTATCATAGATTGGATAAGTCGGACGGGAATTCAATCAATTTAGAACTGCTAATAAAGGGTACACAACATTGCGCCCTTATCTGTGCAAGCATTCGATGGTCGTGGGTTCGAATACCAGATTCGGGCCGACCATGGCCTCTGTGTGTTCGATCTCGTTCTAGTCCGGACTAATACCGGTTTTATAATGCAAGTCCACTGAGATACCATGCCAAAGTTTAGCATTGATACGCCACTCAAACACAGTGTAATAACACCGAGCCGACCAGTCCTTGTTTCACCCCCTTAATTACGAGCGCCAGACAAGGCAACAACAAGTGACATATTTTGAGGTGCTTTGGTATGACGTGGCAGCGACCTAACAAGCGACCTTCCTCTCTCTATCAACTGGACCACGGAGGCGGTCTCCGGTCCACAGTAAGCTGACAACCTCTTAAAGTTGAAATTCTGTTCAAAGTATTACCCGGCGTTATACCCATTCACTAAATTCAACGGGGCATGGGTTGCCCAGTCGTCTCAGGCGCCGCGATTTGCTGTGCAGAGTTGCGTCCCTTGGGCACGCCAGAAACCTATGATTGTTGGCTCGAATCCCGGTTCGCCCCGATTATGTTTCTAGGTTTGTCAGCACTATACCTGTGCTCGTGGGTTTCACCGAAGTGGTTAACGTCTGAGACCTGCATCACTTCGGGCTTTCCTCCTACATTAAGCTGACACGCCGCGATATAACTGGAATATTGTTAAAATCGGCGTTAAACCCAACGCACTCACTCACTTATTTGAACACTTATAAGCCACAATTATTCAAGATGATTAAGATGTTTTGAAGAGCCTTTGCATCAATGTTTACAACATGGCGACGTTTCTCTTCAGCTACCTGTCCTGCCTAGGGGGGCGTCTGTTGAATCACAACACACCTGTCAGAACTGCTGTGTCAAGGTCGTCCTCCTGTTCTTGAACATTCTGCTCGTGTGCACCTTTACCTCAATAGATAACGTAAATGAGGTTGTAAATGCCTTCCGAAATGAATGCGTGTATTTTGTTTTATAATACATTTTTGGGTAAGTCTCTTTTCACCTGAACATGTTTGCGTTGGTCTGTTGTGACCGGAACACGGTTTCACTTTTTGGGAAGCAGTGTACTAAAAAGGACAGGTTACTCTATGAACAAAACGCCATGTTCCACATAGCCATGGTTATTTGCTGTAAACAGTTATTAAAGTAGAAAATCCAAGTTCGGGAAATTATGACACCGTCACGTATTTAAAAAACAAAACTTTACTTGGAAATTCTCTTCATTTATACATGGGGCCACGTCGTGTAAGGTCCCGATTCGCTCTGCATAGTTGCGCCAGGATCCGCTTATTTTTTATTCGAACAGATTAGTACTGCTTATGACCCTTGGTATGTCGGCACGGTACCTTCTCCAGTGTGGGCTTTCCTTCCTCTTTACACTGCCCCGACAAGAAAGAACTTTAATATTTTTCATAGTGCGTTAAATCAAACACACTTTAGCTGTTACTGCATTATGGAGTCGGGTGCAGAGCGCTGGTGGAGGCTAAAGTTCTTCGCAAGTAAATGGATGTTTTACGCAGCAGTGAGCCATATAAGGAATCGAATCAAGGCAAACAGATGGTTGACTGCAAGAGCATAGATCCAAGCCGAGGGAACTTGTGACATTTTATCAGGCAGGTCACACAATGTAACCACTCGAAGTCGCCACAGGCATGGGGTACTGGTTCGACGGGTAAAATAAACTGAGATGTTTAATTCCTGATGATTGTCTTTGTGTACATGTTTACCTGTAGTCTGTTTTAAACGGGGAAGTTTAGACATAATACACATTCTGACTGGTCATAATACCTTTGTTACAACCCTTGATGTAAAAAACACTCTTAATGTATTTTTTATACATTAAGGGTTGCGGGTTAACCCTTGTTACAACTCTTAATGCAAAAATTACATGTTAAATTTTTTACATTTAGGGATGAAGTTATTGATAATATTTATTTTTTACATTTAGGGTTATTATTATGAAATAATGCTTATCGGACATTCATGACTGCGCAGATTTAATTGATAGCTACGTTGATTAGATGTGCAAATGATTAGATGGGATTTTTAGATACAGAGACCACCTGGTTGCTATATACAGGATTCATAAAAGGGCTTATTACCTCTGACGTTTTTTACCGATTTCTATCAAACCTATTGTATTACAAAGATTACCTTACAATACTCTACAAGGTAACCTCATTTCCGTTACCATCCAAATACCATAGCGACGGAAAGGGGGACTCTGGTTGATTGAAATGTGGTTATTGTCCGATTTCTTTCAATCTGTATATGTGTTATGGAAACCCTACCACAATGCCAACACCCATGGACCTACAACTGCTTCAGCGGATGCGACGTTTCGGTGGAGTCTTTGGAGCAGACCAGACAAAGTCGTAGATGGCGGTGGGTTGTTAGAATAGTCCATTAACAGAGATTTAGGCATTATAAAAGGGACAGTTTGAAACAGCATTACGCACATGACAGTCACGCACACACCAGAATCACATGATATAAAAAAACCCACAGGAATTCGAAGACAATGATATTTTTGTTAAAAAAGCACCCCGTCGGTTTTAAAAGTACCGTGTCGAGTCAAAAGTGTTTTTTTTATCACAATAGAAAGCATTTATTTTTCGGATATGAAGTCTATACCTTTTCTATAGCAGTTAAGCATGTTCTGTATTAAGACCATTGCTGATTGAAAACAGCGAAAAATGAACATTAGGCATACGACCTGTATAGCATTTTATGTCAGTTAAGAACCGATCATTTGGTCTTCAAGGGGAGCTGGGATTGACTGAGTTTATTTTTATCGTACAGACCGACAGACAGGCGGGTGGACACTACGTAGCGGGGGTACAATGAACTAATAATCTAATGAAATGATATTCACGTGGACTTTCAAAAGATATTTACTGATTTAGATGTTTGAGACCTGTAAATTACACAATTGCGACTGTGAGACCATCTTGGATTTCTGAATGAGGTTATTTTACTGGACAGTGTACTGGACACTCACACCTAGTTTCATAAAGGGCACTTATAAGCATTGGAAAATAGTCTCAAATAGGGTAAATTATCTAAAGTCCGACCAATTAGATGACTCCGTTCCGTTCCTGTTGTAATAAAATGCACTTCGTGTGCAAAAAATGTATCTAAATGCCTTTGAACGAAATTGAACTTCTTAATGTCGACCATTCAGATGCCTCGGTTACATTGCCAAGGTAAGAAAAGCTATTCCTGAAATACATTGTACCTAAATACCAAATTTGAACAAAATCTCTAAATATCGATCAATCAGCTTTGCAGATGCTGTTTTCCGTTGCCATGAACGCAAGGTAGTAACGTAAATTGAAGTCATATTGTGTATTTTCCCTAGATACACCTTTGTTCCAAGATTAAACAAATTCGGCTAAATGACATGTTAGTAATGATGACTTAAAGAAAACCTGCCAATAACGACCAGGTTGTCGTTGTTGAGAGGTTGTTGGAATATTGAAGGTTCAGTGCACTAACACAAGTTCCATGGCTCTACTATATGTAGTTTCTGAGAAAACGAGAAAAATTGAAGGAAGAGAATATATTCAATTACAAATAATTATAAGAAACCGAACAAAAACAATAAAAATGTAAAAAAAGAAAAATGACCCTGTATTTCAATCAAACTTTGTTTATAAGAATCTTTAACAATAAGGAGCGATATGTACGATATTAACCCTTAATGTAAAAATACAATTTTTACTTTAAGGGTTGCGGGTTGTTATTCTTAATGTAACGATTTTACCTCAAGATTTAAGACGTAACCCTATTTGTAAAAACAAAGTTACATTCAGAGAATTTTGTACATTGAGGGTTGTTACATACCTGCTACAACGAAAAGCTCTACGAGAATCTCCATATTTTACTAGCGCTTCTTGAACCAAAGCGAACGTTAAACGGACTTTCCCGTAGAATGTAGTGCTTATATAAGGACGTCAGCACAATCACAATATTCATTTGGAGAAGAACACGACAGTTAATTACACTGGTACTAAAACAACCTACAATAACGTTACAGTACGTCGTACTGATCTCAATCTAAATCAGCAAGACATTATATACACCACAAAACATTTAACATTTCTTTGCTGGAATCGTACCTACATGTTCTCCTTCAGGGTTGTTGTGGTGATTGTATGATGAGGCATAATTCAGGCTTAAACATATGTAGCTGTAAGGACTCCTCGCCAAAGTATGAAAAACACAAAAGAAAACAAAATACTACATATAAGTTTAAAGGTCACATTATAACTGTTGAATGTATTTTTCATATTTTGTCATTACAAGGCAGAATTAAATGTAATCTGCGCCACTTCCTCAAATTAAAGGCAAAATAGGACATAATAACACTGGACACAATCCCTTGCTAATAGGTCTGTAGTTGACGGTGGGTTTAATGGTCCCAGTTATTCAATACAAGAATCGCGTAGAGCAAGCCTCCGCTCCAGATGGCCCTTCTATCTGCCTGCAATCTCATTAAAATAGGATCTTAGTGCTCGCTACCGCTAAACAAAGATCTGAGGACATCCCATGACGGATCATGTCAGAACGACCTTTTGCGAACTTTGACCGACCAATGGAACGACTGAGAAGTCGACATTAGCCAATCAGAAGGCTCCTTTCTCGTGCTTTACAGCACTAGTTTCAAACTGGCGACTACTCTTCAAAACATACTTGAACAAATTATCGATTAAAATTTTGCACACTGAACAAAATAGCATTCTGCTATCATGGCTAATAGATGGCCTAGATTGTATGGATTCAGTTACATGTATAAAGCCCGTGACTGTCGTTCGGTACAGCCCATGGTTGCATTATTAGAAAACACATTCCGAATGTCACTTTCGTGATCTGGTAAGCGACGCTCCACTTGGTCGGATGAAAGGTCGTACTGACGTGACCTGTAATTGGATATCCTTATATCTTTTGTTTAGTGGTAGAGAGATCTGAATTTAATGAGACTGATCCATCTACTGAAACTGTCACAACACTAGTGAAGATGCTGCATGGAATAATCTCCACCATCTGTAACAAATCGGGGACCGTAGGTTGAAAGATGTCTTAAAAAAATTGCCCGCATCGGAAATTGTCACCGGTATTGATGGCCACAAATGCACGTTATATTTGGTGAACTCCTAATGTCAATCATCGTACTCGATTAATTCGTTAACCATGTTTTGTTTTGCATTCCATAAATTATTATGCTGACCGTTTGATATTTTATGTGACAATTGTGGTGCGGTATCTCTAGGTACTTACTAATCCAGGTTATCTTATCAGCTTGAGGCACGGGGCGACAAGGGTTTCTTCAGGGGCTATATATACTTTTATCTGCTATCATACAGAAGTGAAACATGCACACGGATAAGGACGCAGATCACGTGACCTGTGATTACAGCCCAGGCTCTGTGTTGTGTGATACTGACCTGTGCGCTATGCGGTGTGTTGACATACTACAACTCGCGACATCTGCAGGTAGGCGTGTTCAGAATGTCGTCACCTAATCAGAGGAAATACTAGGCTAGCAGATGGCGCATTCAAAATTGTTTATACTCTAAAATTTAAGACATTCATAATATAGCTTAAGACTGTGAGTAAGTCAGTGAGTTTGGTTTAGCGCTGCTTTCAACAATATTCCAGTTATATCACGGCTTGTCAGATTAATGTGGGAGAAAAGCCAAAAGTGATGAAGGGCTCAGACGTTAACCCCTTTGGTGAAAACCACGAGCATGGATATGGTGCTGACAAACCTAGAAACATATTCGGGGCGAACCGGTTTTCGAACTCACAATCATAGGTTTCTGGTGTAGCCAAGGGACGCAACTCTGCACAGCTGATTGCGGCGCCTTAGACGATAAGGGCAAGAAAATGTAAATATCGTTCCAGTAGCTATATAATATTTTTGTTAAAACGGTTAACAGTTTATTAAAACTGCCATTGTGACCATCTAATTTAATGTGAAAACTTCTGGACGCTTTGCTTGCTCCCTAGCGATCAAACTGTACCAACTGGGGCCTAACCATCATCTAATAAGCACCAAAAGATGTCCAGACATATTCCTATTTCTTACACACAGTAAATATATTATCTATATGCAATCTTTCAGTCATTTTAAGAGTGGCGACATCACTACCTCCATCCACAGTAGTCGCAAGGACCGCTTCGACACAGACAGCAACTTCACCACAGACAACCGCTTCGACACAGTCAACCATTTCGACACAGACAACCACTTCAACACCAACAACTACAACAACCCCAGACCCACGCACGAATACAACAGTATGTTACCCGCAAGTTGGCTGCTTCGACAACATTCCGCCATTTAACATCGCGGAGTTGGCGCTTCCTGTAGCACCGGAAGTAATTGGGACTGGTTTCTGGTTGTACACGCGTGCAAGTTCTGGTAACGGCGACCACGATAATCTCAACTACACCGACCATGACAGTATCACCGGATCAAAGTTTGACCATGCGAAGCTGACGAAAATTATTATTCACGGTTACAAAAGAGGGGGGAACTCATCATGGGTACAAAACTGCAAAGATGCTTTTTTACGACAGGTAACGGTAACATCATACATAATACATGTACAAGCATATAAATGTGTATTCATTTAAGGAAGTACAGAAAATAAGTTCATGATGTCAATTACCAATTGTCTGGGCCAGACTCGATTATTTACAGACCACCGTCATATGGCTGAAATATTGCTGAGTGCGGCGTTAAACAAATGAACAAACAAACAAAACTAAAGATATATATACCCCACAACAAAAGTTCCTGTGACACCAATATTTTAGTGTATTTTTCAAACAAGTAAAGTTTGGTTTTCAATATTGTAGTACATGTATGGAATCAAGTCACAAAAACGCAACTGCTACAGAAAAGCATGCATTCCATGCAAAAGTTGACTTTTATGCAAGCTCCATGCATTTCACTACCAAGAATGGGTATAAAAACATGTACGTTAACGGGATTCCATATGCATTATTTAGCATTGTGCTGACAACAACCACTCAGAAAAACAACAAAAGTACGCAATTATTCAACATTACGAAATGCCACGCCTGTCCGAAAATGAGCTTAAATGCTTAAAGCAGGATCGAGTCAATGTGATGTTGCAAGACAATTTAACGTCCACAGCAACACCATTTGGTGTTTATGACAATGTTGGCAACAGACGAATGCAGGAGACCATCCTCGGAGTGGCAGGCCACGCGTAACCAATAATCGACAAGACAACTGGATTCGAACAACACACCTACGAAATCGATTCCAGCCAGCAACAGTGATTGCAAGAAGCATCCCTGGCCTTCGACGAATATCTTCACAAACCATCTGTCGTCGCCTCAGATGTGCAGGGATTGTCGCCAGAAGACCCACCAGACGTCCTAGTTTGACAGGAAACCACCGTCAAGCACGTCTACAGTGGTGCAGACAGCGTCTACGCTGGACCGCCATGCAGTGGGGGCAAAGTTCTAATCACTGACGAGTCTCGTTTTCACCTCAGCCACAGCGATGGACGGATTCGAGTGTGCCGACGTCGAGGTAAACGTTACGTCAATCTTTGTGCCATGGAAGAAGATCGGTTCGGGGGCGGCAGCGTTATGGTATGGGGTGTGATTACAGCAAGACAGAGGACCCTTTTGATAGTGGTAGATGGAAATGTCAATGGACAGCGCTACCGCGACGAGATAATCGGCCCTGTTGTTCTACCGTTTTTGCGTCGTCATGGCCCAGGCATTACCTTTCAACATGACAACGCCCGGCCTCATATTGCTCGACTTGTTCAGGATTCTCTTCAACAAAACAACGTGAATGTCATCCCCTGGCCGACTCGCTCCCCTGATCTCTCACCAATCGAGCACATGTGGGATGAGATTGATCGGAGCCTTCGACGTCAACCACGTGTTCCACAGACACTCCAGGAACTTCGAAACATGTTCCAGCAGATATGGACAGATATCTCACAGGACTTTGTGCGACGCCTGGTCCATTCCTTGAGACGAAGATATGTTGCTTGCATTGCAACCAGAGGTGGACACACACGCTGTTGATTTGTAAATTGACATTTTGGCATGTTCATGTTTTTTTTTTATGAAATCACGCATTTTCTGAAGTCAGTATGGCAAATTAAACCATTTGAACACTTACAGGAGTCTTTTATCTGTTGCAAACCGAAATTGTTTCAGATTTGATAAACTTTGCATTAAATCTTATTCAATGTCACAGGAACTTTTGTTGTTCAGTATAACATGAAACATTTTTAATCTGTTAAGTCCTTTTAAAGGTAAATATTGTAATCAGTGGCCAGTTCACATCATCAGTAATTAAACTACATACAGACGTATCTTCATTTAGGGCGATATCAATGTCATCATTGTCGACTGGGGACGAGGTGCAGTTGCAGGTGATTACAACCAGGCTGTTGCCAACACACGATTGGTTGGAATACAACTTAGATTCATCGTTGAAATGCTAATAGAGGCGGGACTTAAGACGAAGGACGTGCATCTGATTGGTCATAATTTAGGTGCTCATATAGCGGGCTATACCGGCTGGCTGATGAGGGGCAACATAGCAAGGATAAGCGGTAAGAAGCTGATATAAGGGTTGAATGATACGAGGTTTATTATTATTTATTTATCATTTATACGAATCGTTTATTGTGGATATCACAAGATAACATAGCGGTTTATCCACAAAACCTTGAGGCAAGTAAACAAATCATTTCGCTGTGGCAAGTCAGTAAAATGGGTGAGGTGAAATGGGGTTTAGCGTTGCGTCCAAGATTATTGCACTTATATAGCGACGTGCATGTACGTGTGTGTGTTTGTGTGGCTGCTTGTACTAATCCGGACTGATGCCGATTGATAGTGCTAGCTCACTGAGATACCATGCCGCAGTTTAAGATGAATACCCCACTCAGACACAGTATACTGACTCCGAGCCGACAAGTCCTTGTTTTAGCCCCTTAATGCCGAGCGCCAGACAGGGTAACAACAAGTACCATCTTTTAACGTCTTTTGGTATGACGCAGCCGGGGATCGAACCCCGGAACTTCCGCTCTCCGGGCGGACGCTCTACCACTAGACCACGGATGCGGTAGTCAGTAAAATAAGCGCGGCATGTGACATTTGGAAAACGGACAAACTTGAAGCAATGTCCACAAGGGAAGGTTTCCCTATATGAGGCTTGGGACCTTTCGATACACTATTTTCCGATTAACAAACATTTCTGTCTCAAATGCACAGAACAGATGTGCAATACAAACATGACTGTCAACAAAAAGTCGGAGAATAATCCAAGAGTGGCAAATAATTTGAAAAAAAATTAATATTGTAACATTTACACATAAAATGGCAACATTATACTTTAATCTTGTATCCTCCAAACATGTTCTATATATTATGTTGAGTGGTATAGATGTACACGTGAATGGTAACATGTTAATTATTATAGGATTGGATCCCTCCGGACCAAATTATGACCATGCAACTCATGTTCTGAAGCTTGACAAGACCGACGCCATGTTTGTTGACGTCACCCATACAAATGACGGCTTCTTGGGTCAGGAAGTAGCTTCCGGTGACGTGGATTTCTATGTGAATGGCGGGAAGGCACAACCCGGATGTCCAACAACAGCACCGGCTGCACTAGGTCCGCTGTTGACAGACAAAGGTACTTTTGTTTAGGAAATAAACGACGAGTGAGAGTTGTTTATCGTACCATAAAACGCTGCAGGGAGAATAAACCATGAGAAGCTGCGCAGTGTACAGCCTCTTTATGGATGTTGATTAATTGTACAGCTTTAAAAATATTTCCCCAAATTTCAGTAATGATGACACCCTAATAGAATCCGACCTCGGAAATGTCGGACAAGTCCATTTTACGAACAGGGGGGTTAAGTCTGGTATTCACCTCATTTTTCACAATCCTTACGTAGATTATCTGTACATTTTCTCCTAATACCGATTGTCATATCTCCCCCACGTTTGGATGCAAAAGTTCGGCCACTGGGTTACCTGCGCAGCCCAGCTTCATTTACGGCGAACGACTTACTGGACACTTCCCTCTCTACCTTTTCCCCTGACATCAATTGTCATATCTCTCTCGCTTTTGGATGCGATTGTTCGGCCACTGTGTTTATCTGCGTAACCCAGCTTCATCCACGGCGAACAACTTACCAGACACTTCCCTCCAAAAAATAACGTCGTCCAAGAAATGACATCATCATGTTACGAGGGCATATTCGAATCTTCAGAAATGACGTCATGATAGAACAGTGTTTTATTGTGAAATAAACCACGATTCGTTCTTCACTTTATCGGGTATCTACCTTATATAACCGGATTAAAATTAGTGGGTGGATGCGACAAAAGGTTCAAGACATTTGTTACGAGGTTATAATGTATTCCACAAGTGTCTGAGAACACACCCTGAGACAATATATCATTCAATAAATACAGGATCATACAATACAGACTTTCAAAGCAGGCCATTACATAAATTAGATGAAATTTACAAATGAGATATTATGACGCAATTAACTACACAGAGCGATAACTCCTCGATTGACTCCATACACACAAATCAAACAGACACTGACTTCTTGATGTAATTCGCATGTCAAATTAAATAGATGTGATACCAATAATCACATAAACATATACTATCCTAAAGTCATATCTACCCGGTGTATTGCACTAAGATGCAGAAGTCCCCCCCCCCTCCCGCCGCCAAGCCAGATGTACCAAGCGTACCTCCATGTAATATCTATGTAAACAAGATACAACAATAATTCTGCAGTAACTGCGAATCAATATATCTCTTATCATTACAAAAGAATGGAACACATCAAAACAGCTCAGACTCAAACCACAAATTATTCAGTAAACTACGGTTATAATGAACACGCTTATAACGAACTTACTTTTTTGGTCCCGACCATTTGCGTCTTATACATGCGGTATATATGCTTATAACGAACTACGGTTATAACGAACTAAAGTTAGCAGTCCCTTTGAGTTCGCTATAACCGTAGTTTACTGTACTTACATTTACATAATATTATACACTATTCTTCCTGTCATACATGAAATCATCAATGAGGAAAATAGAAATATTTGAATGACTTAGGTGTGTTTTTTAATAGTTTTTTTATATTATATACTATACTTTGACTTCACTAAAACCTGACTGAAGTACTATTAGTAGATATACCATTATTAGGGTTGAATGTACTGATTATATTCATGCACAAACAATACAAATATAGCATGTTAAGGGATATACACTTTAAACTAATGTAAAAGATTAAACTAACCAGTACTGACTCCTATTTAGAACACAGTCTTGATGGTCCAAAGGGTAAATGTAAAGTGCAGATTTGAATTAAGAAAGAGGGCAAGAGTTTGAATGATCCAATCAGCGTTGATTAAATCAGGCCACATAATACCGTGGTGGCCCTACCTATCCACCCTTAATTAAACTTAAATGAAACAAACTATAGAGCTAATTATAGACCCAACTCTTCTACCTTCTGTGTTCATATAAGTATAGTCTGTTTTAAATAAAACCCTGAAAAAAACATTATTTAGTTAAAATAGAAAATAATATACCTGCAATTCTTAAAGTAATTGTTGGTATACCAATACCAATGCATCGATTAAATTACTTAAAACTAATATGTATATGACTGTATAATACAATATTATGTATCTGCCACACGTTTTACTTTTCGAAACAGCTGTTCGTGACAGCTGAACAACAGATATATAGAGGAAGAATATCACTGAACAGACCTTTTGTTTAGTGAGTGAGTGATTTGGGTCTAACGCCGATTTTAACAGTATTCCAGTTATACTGCGGCGTGTCAGCTTAATGTGATAGGAAAGCCCGAAGTGATACAGGTCTCAGACGTTTTATACTTCGATGAAACCCACGAGCACGGGTATGGTACTGACAAACCTAGAAACATGATCGGGGCGAACCGGGATTCGAACTCACAATCATAGGTTTCTTGCGTGTCCAAGGGACGCAACTCTGCACGGCGAATCGCGGCGCCTTAGACGACCGGGTCACCCGTGCTCCCTTTTGTTTAGTATTATGTATAATGTGTATGATACAGATCGCAACAGGAAATTACAATTATTTATAATCCCAATATGTTTTCATATACAGTTCAATGTTATAATTGTTCCAGCGCTGAAGTGGGCGGTCGGGTAGCCTAGTGGTTAAAGCATTCGCTCGTCACGCCGAAGACCCGGGTTCGATTCCCGACATGGGTACAATGTGTGAAGCCCATTTTCTGGTGTCCCCCGCCGTGATATTGCTGGAATGTTGCTAAAAGCGGCGTAAAACCATACTCACTCACTCACTCACTCACTCCAGCGCTGAAGTATTTGGGGATATACCGAGGAGCAGACTAACGTACACCGAGTTTGTATTCTATGTAATTGAAAATTGAAAGAACTGTTGTTTAATTTAAATGTGTCTATTTAACCATCACTCATTCCTGCAACAGTTTGTGAAAAATTATTTCTTGTTTGGTAATTTTGTCTTAAAATATTGGTTCAATGAAAACTGGGATAAGAAAAGAATTTTCAAAGACATGCCTCCTACCACGTTTGAAATGTAAATTTGTGCCGAATTAGGCAAATTATTGATTTTCAAAGACAAGATGTCAAAGACACCCATCAGCAGTTGTGTATTATGAAAGAATAATTTAGAAAAAAGTTTTGAATCAAATTACATTTTATTAAAAAACCACGCGGGCGCCAGTACAGTTCAGGTTTTTGATATGATATCGCTAACTTAAGATATTTTCTAAAGAAAAATATAATATAATATGAGCTGAAAAGTATTCACGTCGACGTCCTGTTGGTAGGCAGGAGTACGCTGATCACTATGTCGGATTAACGAGACTGATTCATGAGTGATTTCGGTAATTCGTTGCAAATTAGGTGTGTCGGAGTCGGAGTGCGACACTGTCGGATTAACGGGTCTAAATAGCACTCATTTAATCGGTTCCCATCATCAGTGTCGGATAAAGCCGATTGTCGGATTAACGAGTGTCTGTAACAAGACTTGACTGTAGTTTGTTTTGGTTCTTGGTTTATTTGGAATGGGTTGAATGGGTCAATTATTGAACGTGTTGGAGAAGTTGATGAAAGCAACATATTTTTTTTATAAGTGAGTGAGTATGGGTTTACGCCGCTTTTAGTAATAATCCAGCAATATCGCTAGGGGGACACCAGAAATGGGCTTCGCACATTGTACCCATGTCGGAATCGAACCCGGGTCTTCGGCGTGATGAGCGAACGCTTTAACCACTAGGCTACCCGACCGCCCATTTTTTAATTTATTTTTTTATGAAAGGAGAGTATCCGATAAACACTTGTCGCAGTTGTAATGCGAGTCACTGAAGATCTACAATGCTAATTAAATTTAATTTTTTTATTACAAAGCATAATCTAGCATAATCTATTATGAGTATCTCAATTACATAACAACAATGTCTAAAAGGTTCTTATGGCACACATAACACTCCTTGGACCAAGACTGGGAACTGACATCAGTCATCAGTCCACAAAAATAGGTCTTGTTTCGCGAAGTTGAAATAACGTTCACCTTTCAATAATCTAGTCCAAATACCTCAAGCCCAGGTGACGAAAGTTCGGTCTCAAAAACATAAAGATCAATGCTATTTATTAGGGAAACAAGATCGTATCCTTCATGTTTCAGACGGAAACAACACATTAGGTTGCAGCAGCGGCCGAGCCACTGACTACTACATAGAGTCAATCCACACGTCCTGCCCGTTCACAGCCTATCCCTGCACGGACTATGTACCTATATATACTTTATTCTTCGATAGACAAAGATATTCATAATTATATAACTACATAGATGTTCTAAACTGTCTGTACCCAAATTGCCTTATTTCGTTTTCTCTATGAGCTAATAAGGTAAATATTTCGTTTTCGAATTCCCACTTTTAGTTGTTTTCGTGAGAACCATGTTCCTCCGCCAGAAGGCACGTGAGCATTTGATCCTGATAAATTGTAAGTGTTTAAAGAGTTCTAAAGCTGAATTCTGAACTGATGTTGAGTCCGAGAAAGTGTTTAATCAATAAATGGCTGTTTTGAATCACAAACTTTTCTTCACAATAGATGTATTAAATGTATGATTTTATAATAAATAAGTATGTTGCATGCACGCATCAGTTCAAATCTTGTGTAAAACATAAATGAAATATTGCCTTTATATTTCACACGGTTATTTTAAGTATTCCACAGAAACGTACACTTTCACGTTTAAGTTTTCGAAAATTGCCCATACTGTTGCAGAGCAGCTTTCAAAACGGCCTCTGTCTGACGTGCGGAAGTCGAGGTTGCACACAATATGGGTATTATGCGGATCAGTTTTCTGGCCGTGGCAGCATGTTCCTTGACACTGGTGGCACGTCTCCGTTCTGTGGTGAGTTTATTTAAGAAATACACGACGACTGGGAGTTTTTTATCGTTCAATAAAACCTTGCAGGGAGAGTAAACCATGAGTGGCGCAGTGTTTTAATGTACGGTAAACAACGAACACGAGTCGTTTATTTCTTAGATGAGATATCAACATTTTGTTCAGCCACTTGACTGACTCCCCGAAAAGAATCCGAACAAGGCAATGTCGGACAAGTCCATTGTATGAACAGGGGCGTTAAGTTTGGTATTTCCCGGATATTCTATTACTCTTATACTTTTACGACGATTATCTGTACCTTTTCTCCCAATACCGATTGTCACATCTCTTCCCCTTTCGGATGCAATCGTTCGGCCATTGCGTTTATCTGCACTGCCCAGCTACGTCTATGGGAACAACACACTTCACACTTCCCTCTAAAAAAGCGTTCAATTTACGACGTCATCAAGCTGCGAGCGCATGTTCGAATCTGCAGAAATGACGTCATGGTAGAACAATGTTTTATCGTCAAATAAAATACGCTTCATTTTTCATGTTCTTTGCTATTTTACATATTCCGAATTAACACGTTACTAGGCACTGGTGGTTCATCTCCGCTCTGTGGTGAGTTTATATTATAAGGGTAACGCTATTTTTCAGGGCATTATCATTTGCAGAAGCTCGAGGTCTTCCATAACTGCCCAACGAAGGAGGGCAGTTGAAAAGACCGAGGGCTTCTGCAAATGATAATGCCCTGAAAAATAGCGTTACCGTACCGTTATTATAGCTAAAATGGATGGAATTTGTTATCAAATAAAAAGAAACAACAATATCGGTTTTGAAACATTTACTGCAATCGACGCCAATGTCACTGACCCACTGTTACAAATATGGAAACGTCATAGATAAACCAGATGACGTCACTATTCAACGTGACGTCACCTATCCCTATCCTATAACGTCACCTAACAACAGGCGTGATAATTGCCCGTCGTCAAGCAATATGAGGGCATTATAAAGTTACAGTGGCCCGCGCATTTGTAATAACATGTGGGCGGTTTAATGATAATTCTATCCACTTTAGCTATAATCCGAAATAACACACAACTAGACACTGGTGGCACGTCTCTTTTCTGTGGTGAGTTCATTGTCCGTGGTAACACGTTACTAGACACTGGTGGCACGTCTCCATTCTGAGGTGAGTTTATTGTCCGCGGTAACACGTAACTAGACACTGGTGGCACGTCTCTGTTCTGTGGTGAGTTCATTGTCCGTGGTAACACGTAACTAGACACTGGTGGCACGTCTCCATTCTGAGGTGAGTTTTTTGTCCGTGGTAACACGTAACTGGACACTAGTGGCACGTCGCTGTTCTGTGGTGAGTTTATTGTCCGTGGTAACATGTAACTGGACACTAGTGGCACGTCTCTGTTCTGTGGTGAGTTCATTGTCCGTGGTAACACATAACTAGACACTGGTGGCACGTCTCTGTTCTGTGGTGATTTCATATTCCGAGATAATACGTATTTAGACACTGAAGGCACATCTCTGTGTGTGGTGAGTTAATTGTCCATGGTAACACGTAATTAGACACTGGTGGTATTGTTACGAGTTAATTTCCAAGTTGAAGTGCGAAGGTTAACCAAAACTATCAGCAGATATTGATTGTGAAATCAGTGAATAACCACAAACGATCAATGAATAACTAACACATTATATTGAAACACACAGGATAAGGATTACTCACTAATGTCTCGAGTTTGTCCCAGCTGAATGTATTGAGCAAGGCACATATGAGTGAGTGTAATTCAACACCGTTCGTTATCCGTGGTAAAAAACCCTATAGGTACCGGCTGGTACGAGTTCTAGGTCCGTGGAAGCATAGACACAGCTTTGTTTTGGAGGTGAGGTGAGGTGAGGTGAGGTGAGGTGAGGTGAGGTGAGGTGATATTGGGTTTAACGTCGCGTCCAAGATTATTGCACTTATTTAGCCACGTGCATGCACGTGTGTGTGGATGCTTGTACTAGTCCGGACTGATGCCGATTTATAGTGCTAGCTCACTGAGATACCATGCCGCAGTTTAACATGAATACCCCACTCAGACACAGTATACTGACTCCGAGCCGACCAGTCCTTGTTTTAGCCCCTTAATGCCGAGCGCCAGACAGGGTGACAACAAGTACCATCTTTTAACGTCTTTTGGTATGACGCGGTCGGGCATCGAACCACGGACCTTCCTCTCTCCGGGCGGACGCTCTACCACTAGACCACGGATGCGGTCTGCTTTGTTGTGGAAGGGACACGAGTAGTTGAGACTCTGCAACTTCTTTGACTGTCAACAGCAAACCCGCGCTCGTTTAACGGAACTCGATGCACTTGGCATTCCTGCACATCAAAGCTGATCGTGAAACCCATTGTTTGATAACATAGCTATATATGCTATATGAAAAGGCAGCGTCGATATAGAATTGTTAATGCATATTGAACAAGAAAAAATGGTGACCATGAATATTTTGGGGAAACATTTATAATACTGTGTGCTCAGTCTTCACTACAAGGGGGCACGGGTGGCCCAGTCGTCTAAGGCGCCGCGATTCGCTGTGCAGAGTTGCGTCCCTTGGGCACGCCAGACACCTATGATTGTGGGTTCGAATACCGGTTCGCCCCGATTATGTTTCTTGGTTTGTCAGCATCATACCCGCGCTCGTGGGTTTCACCGAAGTGGTAAACGTCTGAGACCTGCATCACTTCGGGCTTTCCTCCCACATTAAGCTGACACGCCGTGATATAACTGGAATACTGTTAAAAGCGGCGTTAAAACCAACTCACTCACTCACTTCGCTACAAAAAAATATTCCCCGCAAATATTCAGGACCTCTGTTTTTCAGTATATATCCTACTGAGGAATTTTGTTTTTTTCTTTTGAAGAATACTGATTGATTTCTTTACTGTATTTTGTAAGTATATGATCTGATACAGTCAGAGGCGTTAAGGTAACGATTGCTGTCTTTATCATGCACTGTGTACAACAGGTTTTCACTACGGTGTGGAACTGACGACAGCGAGCGACGTGACGGAGACACAGGGCCAACTAATGCTCAATCTGTTCGGCCAATGGGGAACCAGCGGGCTCATCGCAGTCACGGGGTAACCACCATATCATCAGTCACATACACGATACACAGTATTACCTATTACGTCACACTAAATGTGGCGACTCTGAAACATCCTTGACGTCACGGCCTGGACAATCTTGCTGTGAAAGTCGATCTCCCTCACGCCCATGATTCACTAACCCGGACATGGGTTTATCCGGATGATTTCAGCAGGAACGTTACCGTGCGGATTAACAAGGTCAATATGATATTGATCTTCATAATTCACAGAGGGTATGGATGTCCATTTGGTCCATTCAAAGCACCGCAGTCTCCTCTGCGATTTTTATTTGTCGTCACTCTGCTTAAATTTTAAAAAAAGGTGTCTCCATTGAAACAATGGCCTGTGCATTACGTCAATAGTGGTGCCGGTATTGCGTCTTTGAAGGTTTCTGTAATTCGAATACAACAGTGTCTGTATTACATCAGCGAATGACCCTTTTAGGCCTGGGAATTCTTGAAACACGGTAGTTAGTCAGTCTCAGAGTATGTGAATTATATTTTCCTCATACAGATGCTACCAAGATTTAATATTACCGTATTTTCTTGAGTAGAGTGCGCACTTTTTTCTCTCCAAAAAACATAGCTGTGTAGAAGGGGGTGCGCATTATACACGAATTAATGAGTTTTGATGTTTTTTCACCCCATGGAAAGACATTACCGTGAGCATGTAACACCGGAAATTCCATTTCAACAAATCCATACTGAAGTTCGCAAATTATTGTTTTAATTAATTTCGGCGAAATCGTGTGTGGAGCGATCGGAAGATCGCACAGCTCACCGTTATTAACAGCAACCACGGTCAGATTACCGCTATTGACGCCTTGAAAGAAACTTTAGAGAATGGATACATATATCATAAATGCCATACTTTGATTCGTTAAAAGTCATATTTTTTGTTGTTGGACGATTCTATGTCAACACGTAATTCTCGCAATCACGCGATCACGTGCACGGGAGCCTTGACGGTGACTGGTCAGACTGGTTCCATGTAAAAATTAATACCCGGCAATAGCGATCAGCTGCTTCGCTTAGGGTTATTATTATTTAAATATGTTTAGTAAAAGCTGCATCTAAATTAACAAGATATTGGAAATATATTATTCCTGATAAAAACAATAGTTTCAGATACAACTTTTGCCGATCCGTGCATGAAAATACTGTAAAGTTATATCATTGGGTGTGTCTTGACCGAATCACCGGTAGATTCCAAGAAAACGTGTGTACAGCTGATTGCTGTGTCCGGCTTAGTTTACGAGAAAATACACAAGGTAATCATAATCCCTGGATATAAAACAATGCCTAGCTGAACAAAAAATACAATTTAAACGGTAAATCAACATGTCTGGTGATTTTTTATCTCAAATTTCGAATTTGTACTGACGAAGTTTCTCATCCCTCGTTCTTTTGCCGGACTTCGCTGAAGGGGTACGGTGTAATTTTTTTCTGCGCATAATATTCAATTTTCTTTTTTTTCCAAAATATTGAACCCGCTAGAGGGGGGCATGTATCTTCCGTCAGCAACCAACGCTTGTCGTAAAAGGTGAGTATGCTTGTCGTAAGAGGCGACTAACGGGATCGGGTAGTCAGGATCGCTGACTTGGTTGATGCATGTCATCGTATCCCAATTACGTGGATCGATGCTCATGATGTCAATCACTGGATTGTCTGGTCCAGACTCGATTATTTACAGACCGTCACATAGATGGAATATTGCTGAGTGCGGCTTTAAACAAAAACAAAAAACAAACAAACAAACACGTCATTTGACAACCATATTAAAAGTGTTCCATCATAATTTATTTATTATTTCACTTTCAAAGGCGTCTGAAGGTTGTATCACACATTTGTTGAACACCTGGTGTCATGACTGACTTTCAGTGGTCCATTCATAGAATTTCAACAGCCATTTGCCTTTACAAACAGTGAAATCTGTTTTAGCAGAATATCTAGGCTGGTTATTCTCTTGCATTGACAATTGATATTGTTTAAGGGACGGCACGTTGAGCCCAAAAGCAACGATACTGCATGTAGCTGTCGCCAAGAATGAGATAGGGGACGTCACTGCTGTGGAGGTTAAATACGTCAAACATTCAGGTTTCTGGTTCACGAATGGAGAGGATACATTTGAACTCAGCAAAGTAAAGGTTACTTCCGGTGAAAATGGATACACGTAAGTATTTTAACATACAATCGTTAGATTTTTGAGTGTATACGCGAGAAAATGGAATCTTGGGGCGCCATTGGGTTAGAGCGTTTTCCCATCACTTAAAAGTCCCATGTTCAATTCTCCACATGGGAATAATGTTTGAAACCCATGTTGGTGTGCCCTCTGTTAAAAGCGGCGTAAATTCCCAACTAGCCCACTCATACACTTTGCTGCCATTGCATGTCGTCTTTAAATAAGCGGAGTAAGGCAAGCTACGAGTTAAACATTTCATTTGTCGATAAGAATTGGAAGGCCGAGCTTAAAAGGAACTGTTCGCTATTTGCGGATGTGTGGATTAATATGCTGTTCAGACAGAAGTAATGTGACGTCATAATGATATGACGTCAGTGTTTATAAAATATATGACGTCTTCTATGGTTAATGATGTCACATATCGTTTACGAAACGTCTGTATAATAGATTAATTTCAGATATGTGGGCTGATACATAACTTTAATACATCTTTCTTCTTTATCCGGAATGAACTTTGATGTCTTTAAAACAGATAATCCTCAGTTCACAATACGTTTTTCTTCTTCAGGTACCTTTTTTGTCTTAAAGGACACACGCTTCCTGACAAGGCGCTGATTAAGACGGACGTCACACACAAGGCCACATGCTAATTTTGGTCATTTACTCGTATGTAGGACGCTGTAATAAACATGAATGTCAGACTTTCACTGCCACAAGTAGTTACTTGCTTTTGGAATATCTACATCAAACCTTATACAAGACCATGCAACGTATTGATGCATTATGTGAATACATAACGAAAAACATTACCAAAGAATCTTGGAGTATCACTTCCCAAAGTGTTTGTGAATAAAGATTAATAAGACACCGTGTCTTGGACAGAACCCTGCGGCGCCAAACTGCTAGAAGCGGTATCAAGAAACCACGAGGAATGTCCACTTATGTGCTGTGTAAGAGACATGTCTCATGAATATTTATCTGATTGCTTTAATTTCTGTCTCGTATCTGTCTCTGTAGAGTTGGGATGTGACCTAGGCCACACACACAAACACTTATCACCCAGGCGTTGTTCAATTATCTTGCTTGTAGGTTGCCGTGTGATGTTAGCGTGGAAACAGTCACCGTATGTTCAGACCAACGTACTATCATATGTCAGACATCCGCCAACAACAGTGAGGCCACACAATAAATACACATTTGTTAGTCATAACCGCTACTTCAGGTTTTCTTTGTGAATTGTTCTTTGTAGTGATTTTATGCAGAATGAACATATTTAACCAGAGGAATATTTCCAGAAGACGCTTTCACCCAACTAAATAAGGTTCTTTGAAAGGTAAAACAATCGAACCCAATGAATAATAATATCTTGGGTAATGTACGTTAAGGTTTGGACAACAGAATCAAAGTTGATGTGAATACATGTAAAAGATCCTATATTGTCGGAAGTATAATTTAGGATGGACCGAAGAGATAAATAGTGCCCAAACAGGTTACAATAATATGGGATTCGTAGAAAATTATTAAACAGAAATATATTCAAAAGGCATTCCTAGGGTTCGGCATGGCTCATTTACGTACATTAATGTTCATAAATAAATTAAACTACTTAAATTTGGAATATGTGTCCATCATAACTACCTTGCCTTTAGTTCGCGCACCACTGTGGGGGGAACGGGTGGCCCAGTCGCCTAAGGTGCCGCCATTCACTGTGAGTTGCGTCCCTTGGGCACGCCAGAAATCTATGATTGTGGGTTCGAATCCCGGTTAGCCCCGATTATGTTTCTAGGTTTGTCAGCACCATACCCGTGCTCGTGGGTTTCACCGAAGTGGTAAACGTCTGAGACCTGCATCTGCTTTTCTCCCACATTAAGCTGACAGGCGGTGATATAACTGTAATACTGTTAAAAGCGGTGTTAAACCAAACTCACTCACTCGCACCACTGTCTGAGCATCGTGTCCTTTGGGTTCCTTGGACAGTTCAACCTAAACCAGTGGACACAGATTGAACAGGTACAAAATAGGTATTAATCAATTATTTAGAGAATACACATAATTGTATACGTAAACAGCAAATCATTGCAATTAAAACAAGAAAATCCCGTGTTTACAAATGAAGCATTTGCAATTAATACAAGTAGGAGAATAGACATAATAAGACAGTCGACGATATACGACACTATTGGGTGAGACAGTATGGTTGCAGCAATATTCCAGTGATATCATGGGGGAGGACATACATATGGGCTAGAAATTGGTTTTAACCTTGTGGCCAATCGAACCTGGGATTTCGGCGTGAGGAGCAAACGCTTTAACCACAAGGCTACCCCGCCGTCCCAAAGACATTATTGGACGTCAATACAATGGAGTATAGCCATAGGGTGTGAATACTCGTGTCACATTTCATTTCAATGTTAACCGCCTTGAATAACAAAACATCACAACAATGTACAACAATTGTATTTATTCCATTCAATTTCAAACACGGTTGGCCAACGGAGGAAGATCAACATCGCTGACTCAGCTGTTTCGGAGAGTTGTTGGGGACGGGCAGGTTGTGTCCGCAGATGTGGATCCTGCAACAGTTGCCAATGTGTGAATGATTGAGTGAGTGAGTTAGGGTAAACCAAAAAGCACTAGTAGGTTGCTAACGAATCAAGGACCGTTGTCGGTTGGAACATGGCAAATGCACAGGGAGATGTTTTGTTTGCTTGTTTGATGTTTAATGCCACACTCAGCAATATTCCAGCTATATGACGGCGGTCTGTAAGTAATCGAGTCTGGACCAGACAATCCATTGATTGACATCATGAGCATCGATCTACGCAATCGTGATACGATGACATGGATTAACCAAGTCAGCGAGTCTGATCCCGTATGTCCCCCCTAATCGACTTTTACGTCAAGCATGGGTTGCTGAAGACTAATTCTACACCGGATCTTCACGGGTCAGCAGGGAGATGAATGTGGCGCTTCTGTTTCGGTAATGCTGCTTTTTGCAGAAGGAGTATCTATATGGCACCGATGACTAAGATATACTCTTAAATCCTTACAAAATGTTAGATTGCAAAATGGTTCTTACGTGCCTTCTAAAAAGTACAAATCATTTGAATTTTCTTTTAAACTTTTCGTATTAGAAGTAGAACAAAACAATTGTGCTCCAGATTTTAAATACATGATCATACACGCACAGGCAGATATTCCCTACCGACTGTATGAATAATTGATGTAACTCATAACATAAGGCTAAAACTGAAAATGTAATTTCCTGTGGTAATGGTATTGGAATCGTAAGCCATATAAACACGGACGGATTCCTTCACCTTTCATGATTTTCAAGGTTTGCGATTTGGAAACCGTATTTTGCCCTAAATAAATTAATATCGCAGTGTTGCATACATATTAGTCTTACAATAAGGATTGTTTTCATGTTTGATATATCCCATGTGTACATGCAAACACGTGAAGATCCGGGGTCGAATTGGTCTTCAGTAGCCTATGCTTGTCGTAGGAGGCGACTAACGAGATAGGGTGGTCGGTGTCGCTGACTTGGTTGATCTATGTCATCAAGTCACAATTGGTGCTCTTGGTGTCAGTCACTGTAATGTCTGGTCCAGACTCGATTATTTACAAACCGCATTCATATAGCTGGGATATTGTTGAGTGCGGCGTTAAACATGAAACAAACTAACACAGAAATGTACGTATAATACTGAGATAGGTTAATGTTACAAATAATACGGGAACCTTTCTCATTAACAAGCTTAACTGTTTACGGGGTTTGCAGCAAACAGATATATCAGCCATACATACTTATTATGCCTGCCTCAAAGAAACGTTTGTCCTAAATCAGTTTTAACCCAAATTTATCGTTTTATCCAACTTACGATTTCGCTTCTTCGCCACTGGCAATGACAGCACCGTCCAGGAAGACATATGGCTCGCGAAGGCCTAACGGATTCCAGTCAAGAGGCTTATACCAATGGGATGAGTGACTCCACCGGAAGGTAATCCGCGATATGTCGCCAAGGTTTGTCTGTGACGTCACAATGAAACTGAAGGTGCGTCCCGGGATCACATCGATGTCACTTGGGAGAACAAAATAGAAAAAATGATGCATAAGTGGAATTTTTTAAATCTTGTTTATATTACTAAAGAAACCAAAACATTCCATTTGGTGAGTAGGTTTCCGTAAATTTGTGGTAGACCTATATGTATTTGATCTGGTTTACAAAGCAAAGCATGAAATGCATTTTTACATTATTGTCTATTTATAATAACCAAAAAAATATATGTTTAATAATACAATTGAAAGTATGTTAAATAGGTCAGGCAGTTGAATCATGCACAAAGTGTTCATGTCCTGCCTGTCATCAATGCTGTTGACGTTGTCGCGGTACATGCATGTGTGCTGTTCCTGGTTTACCTAACGTCAACGCTAAACCAGTTAAAGGTAATCATTGCAAACATGTGTATTGGGGTTGAGGGGTTGAGGGGTTGAGGGGTTGAGGAATAGCCTCGGTCGCCTATAATGCAGAAGATCATTGTTCGATCCAGAACATGAGACCGCCTCCCTGGTCTAGTGAATAGACTTTCTGCCCGGAGAGTGGAAGGTTGGTGGTTCAATCTCCGGCCGCGTCATGCCAAAAGGCGTAAAAAGATGGTACTTGTTGTTATCGGGACTGGCGTTATGTGTGAATGGGATAAAACAATGACTGACTGGCTTGGAGTCAGTCTACTGTGTTCTGAGTAGGATATCCATGTACAACTGTATACTATATGGTGTCTCATGATCAGTGAGCTGGCGTCATGAGTCTGGACTAGTAGAAGCCCCAACATTCGCACGCACGCTCACATACACGTGCATCATCATATAAGTGCAATAATATTGAACGCGGAGTTAAAACCCATTCCGTCAACAAACATGGGCGCAATATGGGAAGACCAGTACATTTCAAAAACCAGAACATACATCAGCTGTTATCCGTAGTGTTGGTTAAAGATATACTTTGCCAGATTTGTCCACACTGCAAATGTGACGTCATTATTTGTTCTCACCATTTGGGAAGAGTGAGTGAGTGAGCATGATTTTACGCCGCTTTTAGCAATATTCCAGCAATATCACGGCTGGGGACACCAGCAATAGGCTTCACACATGGTACCCATGTCGGGAATCGAACCCGGGTCTTCGGCGTGACGAGCGAACGCTTTAACCACTAGGCTACCCGACCGTCCCCATTTAGGAAGAAGCTTGAGAGCAATACTTACATGCAGTAGCCGTTAGTGAACAGCTGTATATAACTTGACACCTTACCTTGGACACGCTATCCCTACACCTACCCGCTGTTCAGCTGAATCTCGCCACTCTGGCCTCCAGTTCCGATAAGCGTTACAAACAGGTTGCCTGTCTCTGTCCGTGCTGCGGCCGGCTTGCCGAAAGACAGTTTCACTTGATAGTGGAAGCCTGAAAGAACATATAGTGCACGGGAATAATGAAGCGGACCTTCAATCCTTACAGGTTAGTGTGTTCTCGACATCAAGACGCAGGCTACAAGAACCACTTGACCATTCGTAACGCAGTACCAGCAATGAAGTACGGAACCTTTCTAAACACAAATGCGCACGAACTTTTGACTAAGGGTTTAGCGATGCTATGAAACTAGTAGAAAACTTGCGAATTACGTTTCCATAATCATAAGAAGACTCTGCTAAAAGCAGAGTTGTATGATTCAAACTACATCATGAGCAAGCCTTATTAATCACCATCAAATGGTGATGGTAAAAGAACAAGAGAACATATGGTACAAGTCGAAATAGGGAGTTTTCGTCATTAATGCGTTAAATTTGAAAACGTCATCACCATTTTCCAAATGCAATGCAGAGCATTCACTGACAGGTCAAATATCAAACAGTCAAATATCATAAAGCAGCGAGCATTCCTTTTCTTTTTCATAATATGGTAGCAATCTTTTTATAAACACATGCTTATGATGTACAGTAAACTACGGTTATAACGAACTAAATAAATATAAGTTCGTTGTAACCGTAGTTCGTTTTAGGCATGCATACAACACCTATGCAGCATATGGCGGGGACCAAAACTTAAGTTCGTAATATCCGTCAGTTCGTTATAAACGTATTTTACTGTTGTCGGAATCGTACTATCGACTGTGCTTTTAGTAGTAATTGCTTATGATTATGGAAATGGTATTGGCACTTTAGTTTAAAATTCACCCCTGTCTGAAGCATACATTTTTTCTGAAGGGTCCATTGGACATACGAGGAAAAATAGCGGTGAAACTAATAAACATGAATCAGTGAAAATCAATGATGACCCCAGGTGTTCGCGAAAAGGGTAAGCATGTCCTGCCTTTCACATAATTTTTATAAAAATATGTTTGTTGCCTGACACCGCAGCGGAATATTCCTGTCATTCCTGTCATGCGACGGCGACATGTACACATCCCAGGCAATCAAGTCATGCACCAGAAAGCCAGTTACATGACAGGTAATGATTGGGTAATTTTGTCCTAAACTAATGCCCTCTTATGTCAGGGCACACAATCTTTTTCATGATAATTTTATCATAATAACTATTTTGTCATTTCGCAGAATGGAGAATAGCTGTATCAGGTATGTTCATTGTGAATTATGAACGATACTGATGATCGTTTCTTGCGTTGGGTTATATGTCAGTATCTGTGTCAGGGGTGTATAATTAGTAGTAAATGAGTGAGTTAAATCATCATCAAACTTTTTATGTCAATCTGAACTACCCAAATGCACCTGTACAATTTATGCGAGGTTTAACACTTCTTAGAGAAGAGAATTTAGGTTTAATAAAGATTTTGCCTGCTCTGTCCAAAGTGAGCCGGGGCTGTTTTAACTGACATCAGTGAAATGGGAAGCTTGATTTAGTTAAATCTACTCACGGCAGAATGGTCCTTCTCCACCTGTCTTGAGGAAGTACTTCACTAAGGTCTGGTGGCCGCTTGGTTTTACACGGTCGGCATGAAAACCCATGGAGCCACACCCCTTCCCGCTACAAGGCATACATCTGCCGTTCTGTAAAGTGCATATACATTGTTATTTGTTTGAATCGTAATTGAATAAAAACTTCAACGACTCCAAAATAGGTTTCCTTTTATTTTCTCCTCCATATGTATTTTCCCGTCATTGGAAATAAAACAATTCCGATGAAAATTAATCCAGAAATGACATTTTTATTGTCCTGGATTTATTGCTTGCCTTTATTCAAAGCGAAGACTGAGCAGTGGTGCATTGAGCGAAAGATAGTTATCTATAAGTTACACTTCCCTTCACATCATGACTAGGCATCTAATGGCAGTTTACCCTGATACCGGCATAATATAAAGCGGACGATCTTCATTTGTCTGTATTGCTACAGAAACCTACAGAGCCATCTTTGACCTGTTTTTCAAAACAAATCTGTATTCAAGTATTTGATTCCCATCATGCTGTCTTTATCATATTACTCTCCAAAAACGCAGGTGATATTCGAAAATGACATATGATAACAGAAATACAAAGAGGCATCGAGTGTTCGCAATGGATGCATCAGAAAAATACATGTAACATGAAAATCAACAGAACAATCACCATGTAGCGTTTTGTTGTCAGAGTGCAAACAACCAGGAAAGACTACGTGGTGCGTAATACAAAAATGAACGTTTGAGATGACTTGATCAATAATGAGCCATTCCCCTACGATTGGTGATTGGCGTGACATGAAAAAACCAGTGACAATTTGAAGGTATCTTATTCACTCTTGCAGCTTCTCTCTCAGTTCGGTTAATGTTGCGTTGGCCTTAGACGTCGGCCTACACGTCTCCCGATGATGATGTGTTCTATGGGGAAAGGTCAGGACTCATGGCTGGCCATTGGGATGCTCTGCTGCTGGGAGTCGTCAGTTACAATATGAGCACTGTAAGTGTAGCGGCCATAAAATTTCCGAGTCCCGTGATGGGATTTGAACCACGGACCTTCTGATCAGAGGTCGGACGCCTTGTCCACATGAGCAAAGAGGTTAACCCCGTCAGCAAGCTGACAAGGTAAGGATGTCATCTGTAGGATGACTCCACGCCTTGCTACATACTCCCACATCAACAGTAGGCACGTCCAGGGCCGCATAGTACTGAGGCTTATTTTGCTCAAATTTAATATGAACGTGCTCAGCCCCACGTTGGGCGCCAATGTAGCGGCCATAAAATTTCCGAGTCCCGTGATGGGATTCGAACCACGGATCTTCTGATCCGAGGTCGGACGCCTTGTCCACATGACCAAAGAGGTTAACCCCGTCAGCAAGCTGACAAGGTAAGGATGTCATCTGTAGGATGACTCCACGCCTGCTACATACTCTAAACACCATTGGTGTCTTGTTAGAATGTGTCGATTTGTTGACTGTTTCTAATCATCCAGACATTAACTTGAACTCTGGTGGCCTGGCACAAGTGAAGAGCGATTTCATTGGCTTATGGGCATCTTAAAGCGTGGATTTTGATTAATCTGTTGTTGACCTAGGGGCCCGATTATTAACATCACCATGTTTCTGCAGAAACCTGTTCCACGTACAACAAATCACGAAATGAGACACATTGATCATATTGCAACTCGCCGAGGTCCGCTTGTTTGAATGCCAATATCCCTTTGGCGTTCATCGCGTTGTAGACGACACATTTCCAATCTGATGACAAATACTGCATTAAAACAAGAGTAGAGAGTTTCGAATTACTGAAGGTAATGAAAATCATCAATACTAATGGTTCAGAGCGATCTGACGACCTTCACCAAAGTGTCAAAATCAAGAATGACGGCCAGCACCATCCTAAACCATCCACGTGCACGGAGATATTTGTTGGGTCCACGCTCATGTGTTTCGGATTTGTTAGGGCGTTATGTTTTGGTTATCTGCATCTTTCTTCTGAAGCATTTCATGATCCCCTACTTTGTTTTCAGAGTATATATCTTCTTTTTGTTCAGTGAAAATGAGTGTCCATCGTATATAGTGGGCGAGAGTGGCAGCGATCTGACCGTTAATGATAAAATAAAGGCACGAATAATCAACTAGACTAGAAACCCATTTCAAGGATAATGGATGGGGCAGTATATGACATATACAGCAGGAAACTTGGTGAGAACAAGAACCTAAGCGTTCCGGTCAATTTTTTGCCTTTGAGATTCAGGAAACATATGGATAGGACCGAGTGGTGCCACAGTTAGGCAATTCGAAACTCCTAGGGTTCTGATTGACATGAAGGATGCGGTGTTATTAACAGGAAATTATCGGATATGTTTGTATAACAGCTGCAAGTGTCATGGGTGACTGTACCTATCTAGTTATCTAGTTGCTTTGACCTTTACGCACTCCTCTGTTTAGAGAACGCCAGGTGCTGGCAATCATACCTAATACACGTGATCTATGGTCTAGTGGATTAAGTAAGGTCTGGGTCAGGATACTGTGTCTGCGGGGGGTGGGGGTGGGGGTGTTGTGGGGGTGGGGGTTGGGGGCTGGGTCCATGTTAAGAACTGTCATGGTATCTCAGTGGGCTATAAAAATGAATATATAAAACCGGCGTATTTCCGGTTTAGTACGCGCAGAAAGATGCCCCACCAACACACACACACGCACGCTCGCTCGCACGCTCGCTCGCTCGCACGCACGCACGCACGCACGCACGCAATAAAACTGCAATTGTCTTGAATGCGATGTTATTCCCCATTTCGGGGGCACAGGTGGCCCAGTCGTCTGAGGCGCCGCGTTTCGCTGTGCAGAGTTGCGTCCCTTGGGCATGCCAAAAACCTATGATTGTGGGTTCGAATCCCGGTTTGTCCCGATTAGGTTTCTTGGTTTGTCAGCACCATACCCGTGCTCGTGGGATTCACCGAAGTGGTAAACGTCAGAGACCTGCATCACTTCGGGCTTTCCTCCCACATTAAGCTGACACGCCGTGATATAACTGTAATACTGTTAAAAGCGGCGTTAAACCCAACTCACTCACTCACTCACTATTCCCCATTTCACCTCCACACCTCACTGGTTGAAATGTTTCACTGACTTAGTCGTCTAAATTTTGTACACATTAACCGTTTGCATTATTCTCTCACGAGAAGGAATACTACAGTTACGATGTGAAGTGAGCTTGCTTGCTTGCCCTTAGTATTGTCTTAATTTGATAATTTCAAAATATTTCGGCTCGCATGAACAAACATTTACACACTTCAGTTAAAATTACAAGGTTAAATAATTATGTACTCTGATTGTACTCGGTGTGTGGGACATCGGACTGCATTTAGTGACATTATGACAATGAACGGCAAGGGAGACTCTAACTAACGTCACGTGTTCGAGATCAGAGTAGCTTCCCTTTCATGAAGGGCAATTACTCTGGCGGGCGGACTGATGGAGTTATTAAAATATAATGTTTATTCCTGACTCAGGATATCTACCATCCCAAGACACAGCATCTATGCAGTGGTGACACATACTTGCTTAATCACTAAGTTGCGTATATGACATGCTTGTGGTCAAAATTTATGTTGTGATATCTTTACCCGAAAGATTTGATTATTTCGGATTGCGATCTGAGTTTTAAGATTTCACAGGGAAGGGAGGTAACTCCGAAGTTTGAACGGCGGTTCGATGGGTCCGTTGTGCCTTGCTGCGGCGAAGTTACCACATTGTAGGCATTTGGGGGTCAGACATTTTGTAAGTATGATTATGTTAAGTGAGCAACATGTTCATCTATTGCCAAATTCAACAATAATGTGCAGTTATATCTAACCATTCTAACATGTCTGAAATGGTTTTTACCTAAGAAGCAGTACACTGTGGGTATAATAATAATAATAATAATAATAATAATAATAATAATAATAATAATAATAATAAAAAAAGTAATTACATTCAAGGTAAAGTTTTCTGTATATTGTTTGTTTAATATGGTTTTTGAATATCTAGACTGAGTGGAAACATTGTATTTGTTTTAGCTTGAACCGACGACTAGATCAACGAATACTATGTACAAAACACTGCGGTGTAAACAAAATGTGAAGATGAAGTAAAAAATCGAGTACAAGAAACAATGCCCTTTTGTTGTGCCCACAACATCATACCAAAACCTTGTGCTGTAAAAAAGACTACAGCTAACAATTCAATCAGTTCTCTCACGTTACAATTGTCATAAGGTAACAATAACACCATACGCGGATCCGTCACCTAACACAGTTGTAAGGGGCAAGGGTAATCCCTGTCGTCTAAAACACCAAAGGTCGCGCCGCGTCTCTCTGTCGAGCGAGGATCGGTTTTCGAATTCGGATTCGCGCCGATTTTGATTCCTGTCCGAATATGTGCCGTCCGCACCAGCGCCACAGACTTGACATAAGATGGTCATAATTACAGTGGGCACAGGTGGCCCAGATGTATAAGGCGCCGCAATCCGCTGTGCAGACGTTTTGAAACTCGGGCACTCCAGAAACCTATGATTGTTGGTTCGAATCCCGGTTCGCCTCTTTTATGTTTCAAGGTTTCTAATTTTTTCGTTGGTTCAGCTAAAGAGGTAAACGTCTGAGACCTGCACTAAGTTCAGGCTTTCCTCTAACATTAACCTGGCACGCCGTGATATAACGAAAATAACTCACTCTTAACAAAAATAAATAAATGGATATTTGTGACGTGCTATATGCCATCCGTTGAATCATGATCAAAGAGCTAACACCAGCATCCCCGGTCACTTGATCAGTTTGCCCAATTTCTCAACTCCCTGGTGTGTCCAAGCTGCCTGCGAGGCGCTAAAGGTTAACATTCAAACTACCCCCGGGTACCCATTTACTGCTGGGTGAACAGAGGCATATTTCAAACAAGTCACTTGACGAAGGAGACACTACATTTGCCACATGTGGTTTAGTGTGGGGCAGGACCGAAGCCCCAGAAACTCTCAGGAGTCAAGCAACCGAACACGGTCACCAACTTACTGGACACGGTCACCCACGTACTTGACACGGTCACCCACGTACTGGACACGGTCACCCACGTACTGGACACGGTCACCCACGTACTGGACACGGTCACCCACGTACTGGACACGGTCACCCACGTACTGGACACGGTCACCCACGTACTAGACACGGTCACCCACGTACTGGACACGGTCACCCACGTACTGGTCATGGTCACCCACGTACTGGTCTTTAATGAAATTCAGGCAGCTAGAAATATATATTTTTAAGTTTGCAATTAGTAGAGACAGCGAGCGCAGGCATTACATAAAACATGCTGATGCAATGACAAGAACTATATACTCACCCATGTAACATTTTGATGGATCAGCTGTGATAAACATACTATTATGCTGAAAATGAATAAGCGTGGAGTACACTACCAGAACATTTTAGCCTGACTTTGTACTACTTACATTGAAATCGTCATAGCTGTTGCATTTAAATCCCTCAAATGGGCACTTGGAGTTGATGGATTCCGTGAATAGCGCGTATGAACGTAGGTGGTTACAAGCCACGAACTGTTTCACACCTGCAAGATGCAAATAACTTCAGGATTATCCATTAGCTCTGGAAAGGTCTTCTGTCTGAAGTGGCAGAAGCAGCTGGAACCGATGATGTCATTTGAAATACGTCCCAAAGGAACTGGGTAGAATGTTAAGCTACACAAATGGTGCTGGTGTAAATATCGCCCAGATGGTCTGCACTCTGTGGTCTTACACACGGTGCTGTCGTTTACTGAAAACGCATTGAAGTAAACGTGGAAAAAATAATCTGGCAGTACATTTGCCATTCGGAATTTGATATTTTTGTTTGAAAATCTATTTGGAAGGTAATATAGCTAGCAAGCCTCTTGATGTGGAAATATACCCTATTGTCACATATCTTCATAACAGAACATTAAAGGCAGGACGGGACAACTTTGGAATGGCATGCAGTCCGACCACACAGAAGGAAGCTAGCTGCAGAAACATTATATATATTACCAGAAGGATCTCAAGGAAATGAATCCGAATAATGTGTGTCCCAGTGTGTTCACATGTTCATAAAGCATGAATTTAACAAGAAACACAATAAAGGTGTAAAATCTGCAAAGAGTATTTTCAGAAACCAGCTGAACCCGAAGCTCAGAAAGTGTATTCGTGAATATGAGGGAACGAGTCACTGTATCAAGATAAGGAAAGGAGGAAATGTATCCGTCAACTGAAGATAAAGCACAGGTTTGTGCAAGTGCGTGGTTGTATACAGATGTGTGGAAGTACGTCACATGGTTGTATACAGTAATGGAAGTACGTCACATGGTTGTATACAGATGTGTGGAAGTACGTCACATGGTTGTATACAAGAGTGTGGTAAGAAGGCAACAGGTTGTATACAAATGTGTGGAAGAAAGTCACATGGTTGTATACAAGAGTGTGGTAAGACGTCACATGGTTGTATACAGATGTGTGGAAGCACGTCACATGGTTGTATACAAGACAGTGGTAAGACGGCACATGGTTATATATAAGAGTGTGGTAAGACGGCACATGGTTGTTATACAAGAGTGTGGTAAGACGGCTCATTGTTGTATACAAGAGTGTGGTAAGACGGCACATGGTTGTATACAGATGTATGGAAGCACGTCACATGGTTGTATACAAGACTGGGGTAAGACGTCACATGGTTTCATACAGATGTGTGGAAGTACGTCACATGGTTGCATACAAGAGTGTGGTAAGACGGCACATGGTTGTATACAGATGTGTGGAAGTACGTCACATGGTTGTATACAAGAGTGTGGTCAGACGGCACATGGTTGTATATAAGAGTGTGGTAAGACGACACATGGTTGTATACAGATATGTGGAAGTACGTCACATGGTTGTATACAAGAGTGTAGTAATACGACACATGGTTGTATATAAGAGTGTGGTAAGACGACACATGGTTTCATACAGATGTGTGGAAGTACGTCACATGGTTGCATACAAGAGTGTGGTAAGACGGCACATGGTTGTATACAGATGTGTGGAAGTACGTCACATGGTTGCATACAAGAGTGTGGTAAGACGGCACATGGTTGTATACAGATGTGTGGAAGTACGTCACATGGTTGCATACAAGAGTGTAGTAAGACGGCACATGGTTGTATACAAGAGTGTGCTAAGACGGCACATGGTTATATATAAGAGTGTGGTAAGACGGCACATGGTTGTATATAAGAGTGTGGTAAGATGGCACATGGTTATATATAAGAGTGTGGTAAGACGGCACATGGTTATATATAACAGTGTGGTAAGACGGCACATGGTTATATATAACAGTGTGGTAAGACGGCACATGGTTATATATAACAGTGTGGTAAGACGGCACATGGTTATATATAACAGTGTGGTAAGAGGGCTCATGGTTGTATACAAGAGTGTGGTAAGACGGCTCATGGTTGTATACATATGTGTGGAAGTACGTCACATGGTTGCATACAAGAGTGTGGTAAGACGGCACATGGTTGTATACAGATGTGTGGAAGTACGTCACATGGTTGCATACAAGAGTGTAGTAAGACGGCACATGGTTGTATACAAGAGTGTGCTAAGACGGCACATGGTTATATATAAGAGTGTGGTAAGACGGCACATGGTTGTATATAAGAGTGTGGTAAGATGGCACATGGTTATATATAAGAGTGTGGTAAGACGGCACATGGTTATATATAACAGTGTGGTAAGACGGCACATGGTTATATATAACAGTGTGGTAAGATGGCACATGGTTATATATAACAGTGTGGTAAGACGGCACATGGTTATATATAACAGTGTGGTAAGAGGGCTCATGGTTGTATACAAGAGTGTGGTAAGACGGCTCATGGTTGTATACATATGTGTGGAAGTACGTCACATGGTTGTATACAAGAGTGTGGTAAGACGGCTCATGGTTGTATACAGATGTGTGGAAGTACGTCACATGGTTGTATACAAGAGTGTGGTCAGACGGCACATGGTTGTATACAGATGTGTGGAAGTACGTCACATGGTTGTATACAAGAGTGTGGTCAGACGGCACATGGTTGTATACAGATGTGTGGAAGTACGTCACATGGTTGTATACAAGAGTGTAGTAAGACGACACATGGTTGTATACAGATGTGTGTGAAGCACGTCACATGGTTGTATACAAGAGTGTAGTAAGACGGCACATGGTTGTTTACAGATGTGTGGAATTACGTCACATGATTGTATACAAGAGTGTAGTAAGACGGCACATGGTTGTATATAAGAGTGTGGTAAGACGACACATGGTTGTATACAAGAGTTTGATAATACATTAGGTGGTTGTACACAAGAGTGTGGTAAAACGTCAAATTGTTGTACAAAAGAGTGGGGTAAGACGGCACATGGTTGTATACAGATGTGTGGAAGTACGTCACATGGTTGTATACAAGAGTGTAGTAAGACGGCATATGGTTGTATACAGATGTGTGGAAGTAAGTCACATGGTTGTTTACAAGAGTGTAGTAAGACGGCACATGGTTGTATATAAGAGTGTGGTAAGACGACACATGGTTGTATACAAGAGTGTAGTAAGACGGCACATGGTTGTATACAAGAGTTTGATAATACATCAGGTGGTTGTACACAAGAGTGTGGTAAAAGGTCAAATTGTTGTACACAAGAGTGGGGTAAGACGGCACATGGTTGTATACAGATGTGTGGAAGTACTTCACATGGTTGTATACAAGAGTGTAGTAAGACGGCACATGGTTGTATACAAGAGTTTGATAATACATCAGGTGGTTGTACACAAGAGTGTGGTAAAAGGTCAAATTGTTGTACACAAGAGTGGGGTAAGACGGCACATGGTTGTATACAGATGTGTGGAAGTACGTCACATGGTTGTATACAAGAGTGTGGTAAGACGGCATATGGTTGTATACAGATGTGTGGAAGTACGTCACATAGTTGTATACAAGAGTGTGGTAAGACGGCACATGGTTGTATACAGATGTGTGGAATTACGTCACATGGTTGTATACAAGAGTGTAGTAAGACGGCACATGGTTGTATATAAGAGTGTGGTAAGACGACACATGGTTGTATACAAGAGTTTGATAATACATCAGGTGGTTGTACACAAGAGTGTGGTAAAAGGTCAAATTGTTGTTCACAAGAGTGGGGTAAGACGGCACATGGTTGTATACAGATGTGTGGAAGTACGTCACATGGTTGTATACAAGAGTGTGGTAAGACGGCACATGGTTGTATACAGATGTGTGGAAGTACGTCACATGGTTGTATACAAGAGTGTAGTAAGACGGCACATGGTTGTATACAAGAGTGTAGTAAGACGGCACATGGTTGTACATGTATACAGATGTGTGGAAGTAAGTCACATGGTTGTTTACAAGAGTGTAGTAAGACGGCACATGGTTGTATACAAGAGTTTGATAATACATCAGGTGGTTGTACACAAGAGTGTGGTAAAAGGTCAAATTGTTGTACACAAGAGTGGGGTAAGACGGCACATGGTTGTATACAGATGTGTGGAAGTACGTCACATGGTTGTATACAAGAGTGTGGTAAGACGGCACATGGTTGTATACAGATGTGTGGAAGTACGTCACATGGTTGTATACAAGAGTGTAGTAAGACGGCACATGGTTGTATACAAGAGTGTGGTAAGACGGCACATGGTTGTATACAGATGTGTGGAAGTAAGTCACATGGTTGTATACAAGAGTGTAGTAAGACGGCACATGGTTGTATACAGATGTGTGGAATTACGTCACATGGTTGTATACAAGAGTGTAGTAAGACGGCACATGGTTGTATACAGATGTGTGGAAGCACGTCACATGGTTGTATACAAGAGTGTAGTAAGACGACACATGGTTGTATATAAGAGTGTGGTAAGACGGCACATGGTTGTATACAAGAGTTTGATAATACATCAGGTGGTTGTACACAAGAGTGTGGTAAAAGGTCAAGTGGTTGTACACAAGAGTGGGGTAAAACGTCAGGTGGTTGTATACATGAGTGGGCTAAACATCAAGTGGTTGTATAGAAGAAAGCGGTAGTACGTCATGTAGCTGTATAAAAGAATGTGATAATATGGCATATACTTGTATACACGAAGTGGTAATACATGTTCGTCATATGATTACATACGGGAGCGTTGTAATGCTCTTTCAGATTGATACAAGGCTGTAGATACATGTTGTTAAATATCACGTTTTATGATTGTTTTACAACATGGGGATACAACATCACTGTGATGTTATATTCAAGGATGTGGTCGCATGCCATATGACCGTATGCATTACAGTATGTTGTATATATGGTCATAGGTTTGTACACGGCGATGAAGCACATACGGCTGTTTCGTACAAGAAAATGTAAAATTTGGCCATACAATTGTCGAAATACTATAGATGAATGTACATCGTGTTGATGATTGCATATGTCATATGGTTATTGGTACCGTGTAATGTCATTGTGTGCATTAGTAATTCTTATAAAAATGTGCATAATTTATATGTTCCAAATATACATCTTAAAACATGATCAAAGATGCTCCAGTATTACTCCGGTCAGTGGATCAGTTGGCACTCGAGTAGTGTGCCATTACGTCATATACAAGAAAAAAGGTTATCTATCATAGGGAATGATACAAGAGGGAAGGTAATATGTCATAGGGTATTATAAATGAATTAAGGTAGAATGTCATAGGGTGATATTCAAGGGAGGTAATATGTCATGGGGTAGTATACAAGAAGAAAGATATGTCATAGGGTAGTATACAAGAATGAAGGTAATATGTCATAGGGTAGTATAGAAGAAGGAAGGTAATATGTCATAGGGTAGTATACAAGAATGAAGGTAATATGTCATAGGGTAGTATAGAAGAAGGAAGGTAATATGTCATAGGGTAGTATACAAGAATGAAGGTAATATGTCATAGGGTAGTATACAAGAAGGAAGGTAATATGTCATAGGGTAGTATACAAGAAGGAAGGTAATATGTTGTAGGGTAGTATACAAGAAGGAAGGTAATGCGTCATAGGGTAGTATAGAAGAAGGAAGGTAATATGTCATAGGGTAGTATACAAGAATTAAGGTAATATGTCATAGGGTAGTATACAAGAAGGAAGGTAATATGTTGTAGGATAGTATTTCTGATGTATGTTACCCCATGTGATATGAAATAAGGATTGAGCGAGTTAAAATTAAAGCCGCATCAGAATTATTTCAGCCATATAGTGATGTACAAAAGAGAAGGTAATATTTCATATGGTAGTATACAAGAAGGATGGTAACATGTCATGGGGTACAGGAAGGAAGGTTACATATCATAGGGTAGTATAAAAGAAGGTAGGTAATATGTCATGGGTAGTATACAAGAAAGAAGGTAATATATTATAGGGTATTATAGAAGAATGAAGGTAGTATGTCATAGGGTATTATAAAAGAAGGAAGGTAATATGTCAGAGGGTATTATAGAAGAATGAAGGTATTATGTTATAGGGTATTATAGAAGAATGAAGTTAAAATATCTAAGGGTACAAAAGGGAAGGTAATATGTCATGGGGTAGAATAAAAGAAGGAAGTAATATGTCATAGGGTAGTATAAAAGAAGGAAGGTAATATGTCATTAGGTACAAGAAAGAAGGTTATATGGCATGGGGTAGTATATAATATGTCAGCTAATAAGAAGGAAGACACTATATCATAGGGTATTATACAAGAAGGGAGGTAGTATGTCATTGGGTACAAGAAAGAAGGTTATATGTCAGGGGTTGGAGTATGGGAACTCAGCGCCGGAGTGAAACCCACCTTCCGCCACTCCACCAATGTTGATTTGAGTGATGGGACCCTTGTCACAGCCTGGTTGCGTCATTCCGCCATTAGGAAAGTAGTCCACGTGTCCACACGCCTGCCGCATCCCATAACCTTCAAGAGAAACACTAATAACTCCCACCAGCTACACAACAGTCTGTATTCACTCACCTTGGCATTTCATTATCCTAAATCGCCGTGGGTAGATCCAAAATTGCTGATGCAACGTTAAGCAATAATCACTCACTCATTCACTATCTCAAAAATTCACATGGGACCATAGAATCATGAGTCGATTAAAGTAATGGCACTTTGAGTCTTTGCCAAGGTGTGTATCAACTTTTATAGACGATCGTCGACAGATTTCACATAAACACATGAGGATGCACCAATTTATAACCAATACCTTTCTGAATAATTATTTACGCTACAGCACAAATTTGATGATAAAATAAACCTACCCATATAGAAAGTGCTAGGGAATGTTACAGCGCAAGACAATATCTCTCACGGTCTTCTGGATTACACTGCAACCAAGGCAGTCAGTGTATCAATATGAAGAAACCAGTCAGTGTGTCAAGATGAGGGAACTATTCAATGTATCAAGATGAGTGAACGAGTCACTGTATCAAGATGAGTGAACGAGTCACTGTATCAAGATGAGGGATCGAGTCACCGTATGAAGATGAGGGAACGAGTCACTGTATCAAGATGAGGGAACTATTCACCGTATCACGATGAGGGAACGAGTCACTGTATCAAGATGAAGGAAGTAGTGAATGTATCAAGATGAGGGAACAAGTCACTGTATCAAGATGAGGGAACAAGTCATTGTATCAAGATGAGGGAACAAGTCAATGTATCAAGATGAGGGAACAAGTCACTGTGTCAAGATAAAGGAACTAGTGAATGTATCAAGATAAGGGATCGAGTCACTCTATCAAGATGAGGGAACAAGTCACTGTATCAAGATGAAGGAACTAGTGAATGTATCAAGATGAAAGAACTAGTGAATGTGTTAAGATGAAGGAACTAGTGAATGTATCAAGATGAGGGAACGAGTCACTGTATCAAGATGAGGGAACAAGTCACTGCATCACGATGAGGGAACAAGTCACTGTATCAAGTTGAGGGAACAAGTCATTGTATCAAGATGAGGGAACAAGTCAATGTATCAAGATGAGGGAGCGAGTCATTGTATGAAGATGAAAGAACCAGTCACCGTATATTGTTTCACTTTGAGCTTTCCGGCCACATCAAACTGACACGCCGTGATATAACTAGAAGATTGTTCAAAGCGGCATTAAACCCAACGTACTCACTACCTGTATTGAGTTGAAAGGTGAAAGGCGACAAGCCAGTCGTGGACATCCGTGTTGTCCCTTACCCAGTTTAAGAATCGATTCGCCGTCAGTGTGTATGATGTCCACAAACAGAGCATCAGTCGGATCGAGCCTCACTTTGATGTCTGTGTTCTGGTAGTACGGATCAGCTGGGTCCAATCCTGTCAACAGAGTGACATCAAAGTTCTTCATGTGAAGAGCACATCAGCTGCTTGGAGACACTAAAAGTTTTAGTTAATTATTAAATATTCTGAATAAAATAACATCAAGAGTTTGATTGACCCCGGAATTTTGGAAAAGACCATGCGGATTTTGACAGATCATGTAAACGTCCCATGGTGACAAAGGAGGAATTGCATGTAAAAGACTTCAAAGTGATTATTTACAAAAGTACAATCACGTGTTGAATAAATCTACCGACCTCCGCCATCACAACAGTGACGTCACAGTCTGACAGAGCATTGCCAGCGGAATCAGATTAACGACTCCTTTCTGCTTGCTGGTTCCCTATGGCCCCCAACTCGTGAAATGTTCCCCATTTTCCCCCGACAACAGGCAGCGTTGTGTGACATCGTCAAGACCGACAGAGACATCGTACCTGTAATTCTGCCCACGTACTGGATTCTCTCCCCTGCATAGCCTGCAACGTGGGCTCCCAGACTGTGACCGAGGATATGGAAGTCTTCAGGTTTTGCTCCTGCCTCAGTCTGCAATGATAAATGACTACTACAGAACTCGATGAAACAAACAACAAACAACGTCCCTGAAAGACCGATTCCTCCCGTCATGTAATCTGTTCTGAACGCTACAATAATACATAACGTTATGGGCCTGTGCATGTACTAAATGTAATCCATGTACATCTAACCCGTGAAGTTCTGGGGTAGAACAGGTCTCCAGCAACCCATGCTTGCCGTAAAAGGCTACTAACGGAATCGGGTGGTCAGGCTCGCTGACTTGGTTGATGCATGCCATCCATCCCAATTACGTGGATCGATGCTCACGATGTCAATCAACGCCGTCATATAGCTGGAATATTGCTGAGTGCGGCGTTAAACAACAAACAAACAAACAAACAAACAAACAAACATGTACATCTCTTTAAAGCCATGCTATAACTATTATGCTAGTGGTATGCTAGTGGTATGTGCTGATATACCATACTATATACTATGCTATAAACTATGCCATATACTATACCATACCATACCATACCATACCATACCATACCATACCATACCATACCATACCATACCATAACTCTAGTGAGGGTATATGTTACAGTATTATATGTACTACAATACTGTAACGCTAGCGAGGTGGTCATATATTGTATGTACGAGTAGACTGTAACGCCAGCGAGCTAAACATATAATATAAGTATATATGTAACTTTCTCCCACATTTTTACCCCGTCATACAGAAACGACAAAGTTCAACAAACACTTAAAACATGAAATAAGTGATTGATGCATTTGTGTAGCCCGTCTCCAAGACCCGAGAGATTAAATTTAGGAAGGAAATAACGTCATGAATTATTTGCAAGTCCAGTTTGCCTCAGCTCTGGGGACATTAAGCATTGTTTTGGGCTTCATTTGTATTATTTTTTTGTATTCTATAGATATATATTTTTTAAATGAGATAACAATTCTTCTGGGCCTAGTATATGGAGTCTGAAGACACATCCTACATAACAACATAACGGTTTGACATGAGACATGCCCATTCTTGTACTTAACACTAAACCCATTATTGGCACAAGCGCATTTATCATTGAAGTAATTGTTTTATTTGACCGTGACCCATTCCTAAAATGCCTTCCAAGCTGCCGGTTTCAGTCAAGGTCTTACATTGAACATAAAGCAGCATCTGGTGGCTCTAAGTTATTGCATTTCCTCCGGCGGACATAGCTTTTTAGACGACTGCTCGTGCCAGGGAATTTGATTTTGTGTAGACGATAACAGAAACGATTTCTATCTTGGATAGATTCTAAAATATTAAAGGAGCCTAAGCCTTAATTACTAAATTTCGTGAGTACATCCATCGATTGAATATTTTTTGTAGTTGCATTAGCCATTTTTTTACACCTGATTACGGGAAACTGCCAGTCTCGTACCATCTCGTGCATGAAACACGGTTAATTGTCTTGAAAAATTGATACATGCTTGGCCCTACTAAAAACATGTTTGACATCGCTCAGCAATTGCTCCATAGTCATAAAAGGGTTTAAAATGCGTCATCGTAGGATTCTGACGTCCAGTAAATATTTTATGACATACGTGATTGCTTTTTAGTGATACTATCTTTGTTGTCGCCAGATTGCAGGTGGATTAAAAATTCCTAATAAAGGTGAAAGATGTTAAGCTGAAATAATTAAAAAACGTCGTGGGATCCATTTTATGGTTTCAACTTCAATTAAGTTATAGTAGGTGGACACTTCTTTGATTTCTGAACGTTATTCCAGGAGAACTAATGCCTGTTCTACAAAAGTCATTAACAGTCATTACATTAAGGAAGATAATTTATGGATGTCAACTTTCTATATTATGAGGAACACAACGTTTCGGAGTACATGCTTATGGGGTTGGTGGTGGTGGTGTGTGGAGGGACATGGTGGGAGAGGGGGGAAGTACTGGTGGTAATGGTGATGTTAAATATCAAAGTCAGTTTGTAAATATAAATAATAAGATCTCGCGAGTGCGAGACTTCATTCCATATGGCGGCGCCCATCGACGGATCGCTGGTGTTTGGGAAGGTGGAGGGGATTTGGAATTTGGAAGATGAAGATAGGCTACGGTTCGGACCTGGACAAAGGAAATATCGGATTAGTAGGGAGTCGGGAAGAGCTGAGATGTTACTAGCAGGAGAGGAATGTTAACTCACTTTGAGGTATGTAATCAGTTGAGCAATGATCGCCCCTACAATCCTGGTGTTGGCTGTGGCCTGGGTGTACGGGGGAGCCGAGCCGCCGCCCCAGTCGATGATGATGACGTTGTAGTCGTTGTTTTTCAGAAACTCGTCCTTCATTGTCTAGATAAAAAGAACAAACTTCACAAAGCCTCTGGTTAGATTTAGATTGGTGGAATCACTCGTCGGTCCCTCATACACCTTTCACCCTTCCTGTGTTTTGCCCCACAACAATATGACACCAATGTGACGACGGCCTGTCAATAAGTACGTATGGGCCAGTAGTTGATCCACGGCGCCGGTACGATGACACTCCCAAAACCAAGCAGCAGAGTCTACCACTGTGCCAGAGAGCAGAATTTGGTAATTGTCCTAACTGAACAAGACTGACCCTCATATCCAAGAATGTATGGAAATAATTAAATTATATGTACATGATTGTGTCATACTGCAACTACGCATACACCATTTACACACAAAAAAACACACACACACAAAAAAACAACACACAAAACCCCCCCAAAAAACAACAAAAAAAACCAAAAAAACCAAACAACAAAACACACATCTGAGGCGTAACCACCGCATGGGTTATCTGTCACATTTCAGGCAACGCTCCGTGGCAAGGTAATCTTATGCTTCACTGTTTTTCTGTCTATCCAGCCTGTCATTTACACAGAGCCGATGTAAATGTTCTGCATTGACTTTCTTACGTGAAGCCATGGTTCCTTCCCCGTATCGATAAACCCGTGTGTGATCATCTTGGTAGGTTTCCCGGGGTCGAAGTGTGACGACGACACCGAGTGAGCACTGCCGGCAGACAGGTACTGGGCCTTCACAGGGTTCAGCTTGGTGTACAGAAGGAACTGGACGTGGATATGCAGAGGGGACTGTGGGAGGAAGTTGAGGGGTCGGTACAGGCTGAAGAATGGCGGGGCGGTGTCGAAACATCCCAGACCATCATAGCATACATTAGACCCTGAAACAATTGTGGTATCGATTATGGTTCCGTTCGTGATGTAAGTCTTATATATGGTGCTTGTTTGTTTATTATTTGTTTGTGTGTTGTTTAACGCCACACTCAGTAATATTCCAGCTATGGGGCGCCGGTGTGTCAATAATAGAGTTGGACCAGACAATCCAGTGATTGACATCACGAGCATCAATCCACGCAATTTTGATACGATGACATGCATCAACCAAGTCAGCGAGTCTGACCACCTGATCCCGTTAGTCGCCCCTTGGGACAAGCATAGTCGCCTATTACGGCAAGCATGGGTTGCTGAAGACCTATTCTGCCCCGGATCTCAGGTATAGACGGAGCACATGTGTCACGAAGAAATATGTATGTGCGTTGATGTCAATCTTAAGGAAGACGAATAGAGTGCTACTGAAGTGTGACACACTGACCTCTTAGTGACTTGCCGGTCGGCTACTCACTGATAAACTGGCCAGTAGGTTTGGTACTGACTGATACGCTAGTCACTGACAAACATACTGGTAGGTTTGTCACTGACAAACATTTTCCTAGGCTGGTCATTGACAAACATATTCGCAGACTGGCCATTGACAAACATATTCATAGGCTAGTCAGTGACAAACATTCTTTTCGGCTAGTCACTGACAAACATACTAGTAGGCTGGTCACTGACAAACATACTAGTAGGCTAGTCACTGACAAACATACTGGTAGGCTGGTCACTGACAAAGATACTGTCAGGCTATTCGCAGACACGCATATCGACGGGTAAGTCACTGGAAAACATATTGATATTCATCGACCAACTGACTGGTAGGCTAGTTACTGACAAAAACTCTAGTAGGCTAGTTACTGACCAGCTGACTGGTAGACTAGTCATTGCCCAACTTACCGGTAGGTGACAAAGCACCTGGCTAGCAGGCTAGTCACGGAACAACTTACTGGTAGGCTAGTCATTGCCCAATTGGTCGGTAGGTGACAAAGCAATCGACTAGCAGGCTAGTCACGGAACAACTTACTGGTAGACTAGTTATTGCCAAACTTACCGGAGGTGACAAAGCACCTGGCTAGCAGGCTAGTCACGGAACAACTTACTGGTAGACTAGTCATTGCCCAACTTACCGGAGGTGACAAAGCACCTGGCTAGCAGGCTAGTCACGGAACAACTTACTGGTAGGCTGGGCATTGCCCACTGACAGGTAGACTAGTCACTACCGAATTGTATTACTCTCAGTACTTAAACGATTAATCTGTTGGCATTTCTTTGGATTTATATTTCTTCAAGATTTGACGAGCGAATGACTAAGGATCATAATACACGCCATGGTCAGTAATTAACGAAGTGATCGTACTCTTTCAGATGGTTTCGACGTGAGATACATTATAATCAGCTCTAACGAATCTGTCAATCAGTATGATGCTCCTGACATGTGTTATTAACACCAACAGTAAAGTTAATCAAAAGCACATGGGATACAGCCAAGTTCGTAATATCCTATAATGTGTTATATTTTGAGTTATAACATTCACACAGTACTTTAAATTTGTGTCATTTTCTTTTGCGTTTCTATCCAAGGTCACATATCACTATATTTTACACATGTGGTGTACATGTATTCATCTCTGAACACATTGTATATGTGCCATATACAATCTTGTTGAGATGGATTCGTCTCATCCATCTCAGGACACTTAAGTTGCATCTGCACATGTCTCTCACACCGACGTCTACAGCTGGTGAGTTGGCTTCATATTATGTCGCGCCAGCTGGACCAAGAATGGCATCTTCCGAGACAAGGGAGTTAATCGACTTTAAGAGTCCAGTTTTCTCCTATGATATTCTGCCTCTCACATCACTTTCATTTGCCGAACAAAATGGCGGCGGCCAGTGCATCAAATCACTTAAGCATCTTGATTAAAAACATGAAAAGATTTGGAAAATATCTGTCAACGCCCAGTTGACGATACACATGCCTTGCAAATCCTGCAATCAAACGAATTCGACACGGCAGTTGCCATGTCGTTCATGAACCGGATGTTGATTTCGTTACGGGATTTTGATTGGACTATGCATAGACTCGTTAGTCAAGCCAAAATATAGAGTCATAATTCCGGCCTATTTCGGCCATGGTGGAAACTGGACTTTCAAAGTCAGTTAACTCCCATGCCTTGGAAAGATTGTAGAAGGGAAGCCCACAGCTACTCAGACGTTTACCACTTACACGTTAGACCAAAAAGAGCATGGATGGGGTGCATCAAACCATGAATAATAATTCGAAATCTGATCATAGACTGGATGCAACTTTGTATAGCGAATTGGGGCGCCTTAGGCTACTGGCATACCTGTGCCCCCGACAATCTACACGTTCATTGCTGTGTAACCAACCATGATAGAATGTTGTTTCATGCCATTGGCAGCAATATTCCAGCTACACCACTGCAGGTAGTAAATAACCCCCCTGGACAGGCAAGCAGTGTTTGGCAGTGGTAAGGAATGATCAACACCGTCGGGATACCGTGTCAGGAAGGTCACATATCCAATCACCTAAGTCGACTCTTACGACAAGCATAGGATCTTGGGACCTTTGCGGATTTTCCCAGGGGTATTGTTCATGACAAGAGGGACTCTCCTCTTCCAGCGGTGGAGAACCTCGCCAGCATTCTACACAGAGACTCCAACATGCGGATCAGACGCGCCTTGTAATATGGAATTATCAATACGGTAATGTTTCCATATTGTGTTCTTCCATAAAACACGACCTATAATTTGACAGTAATGACACTCAACATGTAATTTCGCTATTTTGTATTCGGTTCCTCATATGACATTGTTATTGGCCTTTTCCACTAAATTGCTGTACTCAGTTGGATTTAATTAGCGCCGGTCGCCGTAACGCCAATAAATATCGATAATCACCCTCTGAGTGGTCTTTAGCCTGGCGTTTGTGCAAGCGAGACCTGATTAAACAAACCCCAAATCTTCCCTCCGTGAACCGGCTGTTCTATTAGTCAGCGGAACGACGTGCTTGTGGCAAAATAAACACTAAGAATGGATGGGTTAACGATGTTTCTCAGGAAAAGTATTTCAAAGCTTTCTTAATGGGGAGAAGGTGTAAAAACTGTCAATTCCCTTTGGAGTGAAACCTTTCAGTGTTTTAACAACAGACCGAAGAGAAAGCGTTTTTCGTTGATATGTGAAAATAACCAGATGTAGGAATTCGAATGCAGATGATCACTCGTCAGATAGAGAGCTAATAAATATCGAAAACGAAATACGACTCGGCAATATGGATTTTGTTTGCTGTAACAAAAGGCATGTTTAATACAAGGATTTCTTCATTGGCATTTGAATTTAATAAAAGAAATGATCTTTAAAATCAAATAATATTTTGAAGGATTAATATGTTTCCCAGCAGGCTCCCAAACAAGTAGATCGAAATTTGAAATTTCATGTTGTAATGACGAAATAGTCCCTTTGACAATACGGGCCCGTTATGCAAGAAAGAACATAAAATATTTGTGATTGTGAAATTGTAAAATGTTTTCAGTGAATCGCATATCAAGCAGCTCGGGTATGTAACAAAAACTGCTTTGCTATCCAGTATTCACAACATATGCGACATATTATAAATGCATCACTCTTTCAAATGCCTCTAAAGGTTGACCTTAAACACAGAAACGACATCGCAGGTCGTAGAACTGTTTTAGAGGCTGTACGGCACTTACGCTTCTGGGACTCTGCAGCTGTGGGCGTGGCTACCGCCAACAGAGCCCACTGGACCAGCACGTGCAACATGGGTGACAGACCAGAGTTAGCTGGGTGTAAGAAAGAGTAACAGAATTCGGGAGCGGCTGATAAGACTCACGGTCGCGACCACGTTGAACTACAGAGTAAGAGATAAGTTTACATGGCGTCGAATGGAACAAATTGGTAATCTTGTCGTGCGCAAAGGTCACAACAAAATGAATACACTAAAAGAATGATATTTTGGAATGAAAGCCATATTTCTTTTTGTTCCATAAAAAATGTATTGATATATTGTTTACTAAAGAAGGTTTGATAGATAATAACGAAATCAAAACATTTTGCTAAAAAAAGGTTGAATATGTAATACAGAAATTGAACAAAATTTCTTATTATTATCTTATACCATGTGTGCAGTTAGAGCGCCATCTGAACACAGAGTCACTAGCTACACCCTACCAGTCATATCTCCACCAATTCCAAGACACAATCGTCAGATTAACTGCCCCAAGCCTACAAACGAATACATCCCCACACGGGTTTCATTCAATGTGAAATCTTCTGTTGGCATTATTTTTTTCGAAATCCTACACTGCAGCGCCAATCTCTATAGTGTTGCAATACCTCTCTTATTTTGCTCAGTTTTAATGAGAACATTTCCAACTTAATAAGGTTCGATTTGTTTGTCAAAATATGAGTTATATTATGCGAACAATCGTTTACTGGCACATCTCCCTCCTTTTTATCTTTAAGGCTTCTCATCGTGAAACATAAACACCATCAATGGGTCGAGATTCATTGGTGCAGACAGGAGTTATGGAGAAAGTGATGGGCATTGGGGCATAAAATAACAGAAGCACACGACAGCAACTCCGCTTCTCTCTCCATCTCCCCTCCCTGAAATACACACGTAATCATTAACGGAGATCCGGAAGTGGGAGCCCCGGGAAAAGCTATAAATAGCGCTGACGTTTTGTTCGCGTGGATAGTAACGATGTCTCACTAAAAAATACGGTGTAAAACAAAAACAATCGAGCTGGTTGAATAAGAAACTTAACTGTGTCATTAAATACGAATATAATACAGACCAGATAAACTAAAGAACACATTGCTACCTTTCGGAAAAAGAAGCGAAATATAAGTTGTCATTGCCTGCCGTTAATAGCTGTGAATAAAAGCGACGCAACCCTTTTCCATAATCATAAGAAATCCTCGCTAAAAGCAGAGTCAATTGTACGATTCTGACTTAGTAAGCGAGTGAGCTGGGTTTAACGCCGCTTTTAACAGTATTCCAGTTATATCACGACGTGTCAGCTTAATGTGGGAGGAAAGCCCGAAGTGATGCAGGTCTCAGCCGTTTACCACTTGTGTGAAGCCGACGAGTACGGGTATGGTGCTGACAAACCTAGAAACATAATCGGAGCGAACCGGGATTCGAACCCACAATCATAGGTTTCTGGCGTGCCCAAGGGACGCAACTCTGCACAGCGAATCGCGACGTCACTGGGTGAGTATATATAGGAATGGGGGAACACCTGGCATTGTCATTATTTCCGATCATCACTCACAAAGGTACGTTTTTTTCGTCCATATTTTTTAAATTTCTGATTAGAACAGAGGGATAAAGAAAGAAACAATTACACATTTATGCACGAAGAACATTCTCGATTTTATAGGCAAAGTTTGACTATCGACATTTTGATTGATACTACTTGAATTGCCAACAATATGGCGTCAGTCTCCATGTAACTGTAGTAATATGTTTCGAAATCATTCTCCCTCATTTATGACGTGCTGTGTGTGCGTGCCAAAATAATAGAACATGACCACTATGTTCATTAATACATGCAGTTCAGCTGCTTCAATCATTTATTCATTTGTCTTTAATTATTTTCTTATTCGTTTCATTCTCAGAAGCATATCAAAAGCATTGACAAGATTAATATGAAAGTACCAGATGTACAGAATAATAATTAAAGCAGGGGCAATATACGGATATGAATTTCTCTCTCTCTCTCTCTCTCTCTCTCTCTCTCTCTCTCTCTCTCTCTCACACACACACACACACACACACACACACACACGCGTAATTTAACAATTGTAGGGAGACATTTGAATTAAAATATACAGTTTTTGTAAAGTAGCAGTGTAACATTTACGATTGAAATAACAAATGTATTAATACATGCAAGAGTTCAATTTGGGTTCGATCAATTGGATAAACATTTGTTCTTTTTCCAGTCTCTGATGCTTGTTACTGGTATACAATTTATAAAACGGATAACATTCATTCATTAGTGAATTGCTACCACATGCCAAGACTGACAAGAAATCAGCAACAACAAGCCCTTGGACGATTGCAAGCTGGACAAACCGCCCGGCAAGTAGCCAATGCATTTCAAGTCCACATAAGGACCATATACAGGCTCCAGCAACGTAGCACTACAGATGACCGAACACGTAGTGGAAGACCAAGGGTCACCACCCAATGTCAGGATCGTCAGATTGTGCGACAGCATCTTCAAGATCGCCTTGTTACTGCTGCGGAAACTGCTTGACAGACCATGGGGACATACCAGCGACATATTAATGCGGACACCGTGCGTCGACGATTGACAAGCAGACACCTCCACTGTAACAGGCCACACAGACGACCCATTCTGACACCACGTCATCGCCTTACCGTCTTCAGTGTGCAACACAGCACCAGTATTGGCGCCACCAGCAGTGGAGAAGCGTCCTCTTCTCAGACGAGAGCAGAGCGACGCCGTTGGGAACGTTATTCGGATGCTTGTGTTGTTGAGGGAGACTCGTGGGGTGGTCCGAGCATCATGGTGTGGGGTGGAATTGGTCTTGCACAGAGGGTCACTGTCACTGCAAGCTCGGTACATTGATCAAGTCTTGAGACCACACTCCCTACCTCATTTGGCACGTCGCCACAACCACGAGTTTCAGCATGATAACGCCCGTGCCCACACTGTGAGAGCAACAAGAGACTTCCTCCAGCAGAATGGCATCAGAACCATGCAGTGGCATGCCCTCAGTCCCGATTTAAATCCCATTGAGCACCTGTGGGACGAGATTCAAAGACGGCTGAATGACGTCCGACCAAGGCCGACAACTGCAGCTGAACTGCATCAGGCGTTCCTCAGAGTGTGGGCTCAGGTGCCTATGGCTTTCATCAACCGCCTCATCCATTCCATGTATCGACGTTGCACGGCAGTCATCAGTGCACATGGCGGACACTCGAGATACTGTCCTGTGATGTCATTTTCGCAGAGACTAGTGTTGTGTTTCACTTTAAGAACATTTGACACTTAAATTTCAACCTTGGTGATCAGTTTTGCCCAGTTTCATCTTTTTAATATGTTTGGGCAATTAAGGTTTCTCATATATCTATCCACGGTGACGTTTCTTTTGCGGTTCAGTATATATACTATATATCAGTACAATTGCATGAGGAACGAATGATACAACGAGTGTTCTACTTCATATCGCCTGTTCAGAAATGCAATGTCCCACCGAATATATAATTAAGAAGAACCGTCAATACCTTGACACTTCAATCATTCCAAGAAGCCGTCCAGTCATGTCAAGTGAAGATGGAAGCCATTCTCTGTCATTTCTGAACCTAGTTGTACAATTATTTAATCCATCTCGGGTCTAAGTTTTCTTAATAAATCGTTATTTAAATGTCTTGTGGATATCGCGTACACCAAGGGATGTTATGTATCAGGTAGTATGACTAGTAGCATTCGTGAACTCAGTGAATATACAACGTGAGCGTCAGAGAATAAGGGTAAATAAGTGCAACAAAAACTTTTCCATAGCTATAAGAAATCTCTGCTGAAAGAACGTCCTGTCCTACGGGTATCGCCCGCCAGTCACATTTTGCAGAAAAAATGATAAGCGTTTGTTGCCTGGCGCCGCACAGCAATAGCCATCCAATCCATTACCTGAACCGTTCTCAGTGGCATCATCCGTCGTAACGTATCATTGGTTTGCTGTAATATACCTTCAATAGAAACGTTCTCAACAGTACTCGATAGGATAACGTTTGGCCTTCCACTATATTTATGACAACTAATTTTGCTCTGTTTATACTCGACTATTCGTATAATCCGATTTAGTAGTACCCATGTTAGGCTGTGTAATTATTACTTATATCACTTCGACCCGACACGACAAAAGTCCCTTGATGATAGTTCTACAAATCTGACAAGACGAAGCTGAAACACTTTCAAAGTCAAACCGTAGAGAACGAGTATGTGAACACTAGAGGGCATTGTCGTTTTAATAACGTATAACTGATTCCACAAATGAAAAACAACTGCAAATAAACTAAAAGCTACGTCCCTGTCTAACAGAAACAGTTGTGCTCGAGGCATGAGTTGTATCTTATTCTACTTTTCTTGAACACTCTGTCATTTCGATGATAGCGTTAAATGCTTCAACATAAAAAGCTGCAGTTCATCAACGAGACCACAACCGTTGCGATGGCTTATTGAATTCTAGAAATTCCTCTGAAGTATTCTCTGAATTATTTCTAATTAATGAGGTTTATCTGAAACCTTGTGGTGGGGCCGATTTCTTGTTTTCTTTTCAGTTACTTGATTGAAACACTGGCCAAGTCTCTGTGAGCAGTTGTCGCGTGGTATGTATCAAACCAGGTTCATTTAAAGAATAGGTTCGTTATGATGCCACAACGTGCAATTTCAAAAAGTCACATGGGGGTTCAGCCTTTTCTAATTACATAATAACACCTATGACGTTGTGATGAGCTGTTTTCACGTGATGCTTTTCTTAGCTGAAGGACTTGAAGAAGCTTCGCTACCATGTCACGACATATGTGTCAATTCAGTCACAACGTGATCTCAAGATAGGTCACATGAGACTCCATTAAGACAGTCTTAACGTAGTATATCCGGACGTTGTCACTCGGGATTCTCAACGTGTGTTTATAAAAAAATTAAAATGATTATCAGGTGTCTGGATGATGAGTAGAGCCGAAATGAAAGCACTTTCAACAGAAACTGTTGACACGAAAGATTTAGTAGCAAGAAAGTCATAAATTTCTATTTTATATTCCGACACCTTCTAACAGTTGTGCTTTCTATGAGTTTGTTAAAGAGTGATGG